TGAATTCTCTTCTGCCTTCCGCCTTCTGCCTCGGATTTTCAGCGCTTGACCTCCAACTGTAGTTTGACCATCGGCTGGCTTTGCGTTCCATGAAGTCTCAATAAATTCTCTCCCGAACTTGTTTGCGCTCTGACCTGGTCCGACTGAAGAAATCCGAAAGAAGCTATAGGAGAAATCCGGAGAAGAGAAAGCAATCCACTAACCCGTGGAAACAGCCATACCTTATGTACAATTTCTAACCGTGTTTGAATTCTGCTTCCATCACCAAACTCACGAATCCGTCGCAAAATCAGAAGCAATCAAAAAGCTAGTTGTATTCTTTGACAGGTCCGCTTTGCTGAAATCTGACCTAATTTGAACAAAGAGATGAAAGAAAAGCAAGAACTCCTAGGTGTCACTAATGGAGCTTCCTGTTAATGACTAATCTCTCTGTGTAGATAGGGATTAGCTTGGCCCACAAATACGATGAATTAGTATATCCAATTTCTGGAATGTAACAGTGAACAGCGTTCAGGTTTCTCTCGTCTTGGTGGCGAAACTTCAGTATTGCAACTCGTTATATAATTGAGGTTCCCGGATTGGAATTTAAATCTACGCATTTGTCACGGTTTCTTGGAAAATGCTAAGCAGTAGTTCCTTCTTTGACTTTAATCTTGATCACGCAGTTGCCAACCTACATCTCTCCGACTATTGTCAAACTGAACCACAAACACCACTGATAATCACACAAACCACGCTTTTCACACAAGGAAGTAGTCCTAACAATCAGCGTCAGGTCTCCGTTAATCTTCAAACGGAAGCATTTGATCTCTCTTCTCGAGGTCTCTCCACAATTACTATATCAGAAGACACGGGTTCAGAATACCAAGTAGGCACTACAGAGCACTTTCTCTACCTGTCTGTCTGAGACACCACTTCAGAACACAACTGATAATAAACAGGATGTGACCCTCTCGGTTAACCTCACGGGATCTGATACGACAGTCCGTGCCAAAATTCAGGAAAGTGGAGAGAAACCACCATGTAATTCTGGTCATTCTTTGTTGGGCTCAATCTCTTACAAATCTTCGAAAGAGTTAAAAATGATCTAGAGTTCTGGCTACGTGCATATTCAGCTCCAAACAGAAATCTGCCTTTCGGCTATGAGGAACCTAAGAAAACGAAATGAGAACAACGTCATTGTAGTCTCAAAATTCTGGTGACAAAATTTCATCAGAAAACCGTCAAAAACACTATTGAATTTTTTATCACAACCAAATCAGGTTGGTTGTTTCTTGAACGCAAAATACCACTCTAAAAAGACACTGTCATAATAATCATGATAATCGTTTACAGGAAAAAATCTATCATTAAAACATTGTCAATAGCAAAAAACATGTCACAAATATAAAAATTCACGCTCTGACATAGATTCCAAACCAGAACTTACTCTGATACCATTTGTAACGTCAAGACACACAAGTGACAAAAAACACTCGAGACAAAATCCACTCCTTCTAACGGGGTACGTCCACCAAGAACATGCAGCACTTTATTTCAGGTTTTTCTCTTTGAAAAAGAGTCTCTTCGTATATGTGAAACTGAAATATTTATTACCAACGAAGGCGAACGTCCTAGCTAGAACCCGAGGTTACTCCATAACTGGAGTTAATCTCAACAAAAACTTGAAGTTGATTTATAGCTAGTAAAAATTAATTATAATTATTATATAAAAAAATACTTAACATGCATATCATATATAGCTTTGATTTTAAAAAATTGATTCGTCCAGATATTGGGGAAAATATTCTACTATTGTGTTCATAGTTTTTACAAAGAGCACTAGCTAGCATTTTATATGAAATCAATCAATTGAGATAATGTGATGATGGAGTCTAGCGATAATGAAAATTCATTTTTCTCTAAATAAAATATATTTTATAATATTAATATTATATGGATTAAATATGAATAATTGAAGATATAATATTGAATTATCTATAGATTCAAGTATATGACAATACTCTATACTTGTAAGATAGACTATACACTAGTTAAATTTGCATTTAAAATTTATGAAATATCATTTCTAATTGCTTCTATGTATACAAATTTAAAAATGTTTGAAGTTTTGCAAAAAATATTTAATTCTGATTTTTTAAAATTAATTAAAATTATAATATTGTCATAATATATGAAAAATATATAAAATATATATTATCTACGAGAAATAAAAAAATTTAGAAAATAAAGTATTAACTATTTTCTAATAAAATTAATTATTTTGAAAATAATTTTAATTTGAAATTTTATTAAAAAATTATTTATGGATCTACAATTTACTGTTACTGATATTGAATTTATAGCGTTTATTTTTTTGTCATGCTCAACATCACAGTTATTTTTATTATTTTTAATTTCTTATTTTTTTATGTTTTTTTTTTCATCTTTCGATAGAGCACATCAATCAATCACTAAGATAATAATCATTTAGTCTTAGATAATTAATGAAAGAGATTTTTTTAGATAAAAAAACTTGAAATATATGATGATATATACATTCTTATTGTCAATCAATAACTGAAAACCACAAGATAATTGACGATGATTCTATCTTTTTTTTTTACTCATTAACTCAAATCTATCTAATAAACTTTGAAAAACTGATCGCATGAAGAGTTTCGTCTTCTTCTAAGATCAATATTATATCATAATCATCAAGATAAATATCATATTTTTAAATTTTTCTCTGAATAAGCTCATTTAACACGTCAAGATGATTTTGCTTGATTTTGATTAACTAGCATGTGTAAAATTTGCCAGTCTGCTCAATTTTCTTCTTAACTTGAAAATTTCCTCCTTGAAATCAATAGGTAGTTGTGATTTATCATAATAAATTTCACTTTCAGTTATATTTGAAGAAAAGTTTTACTTGTCAATATGAGTCATTTGAGCTTCACCTCTCATTCAACCGTCTGGATCTTTCATAGAAAAGAAAGTTCATTGTCATCAATTCACTATTGACTAAATATCATCATCTGTAAATTTTCATACAGCTTACTTATCCAAAAAATAAAAATTGGAAAGAAATAAGATTAAGTTTGAATCTACTCTTTTTTGGAATAAGAGTATATGAATTACATATCTATAGTCTTTAAAGACTATAATGTATTTTTATCTGCTAGTCGTCAATACCTCATTTCAAACTAGTTACCGATGCACACCAGAAAAATTTGAAATTTATCAAATAAACTACCTGATCCAACGTAAAGATTACGTCTTTGTCAATATCAAATTATTAAGGGACGAAGTGAAGGAGTTGAAAGCGGATTTTTTATTTAAGTAAGAGGAGTCCTGGAATAGGTAAAGCAATGGAAGGATCAACAAGTTATCCAAAGGCGCAAAGATTACAAGAAGAGAGAAGCTGAACGCAAGGAGCGAGAACAAAATCGGAAAGAGAGGCAACTCGAGAATTTTGTGGAAAGTAACAATGACGAGATAATTATTCTCGATCAGCTCATCGTGTACCTTCGGAAGCACGCACCGTGCAGTAGAGGAGAGCGCTTCTGCAGTGCCCGTAAAGGCAGACATTGTCGCTTCGAAAGAAGGATGTAGGGAATGTCCTGATCAGCTAAAAGAGCAGAAACGATGAAGAGCTCAACATGTGGTTTCTTGGGTCTGGCGCCGAAGGCAAGGGTCACCGCCCACTGCCACGAATAGCAATGAGAAGTAAAGATTGTCTTTGTCGGTGGATGTGCTGACTTCGTTTCAGAAGGTGAAGTTCTCGCCTCCTTTAATGGTTGCGGACGCACCCAAGACGATGGAAGACGTCGAACTCACGAAACCCCAAAACAATTGAAACCCCAGAAGCAAGTCAAAGAGTAGAGGGAGCGAGGAGAGAAGGCAGTGGTCTCGAACGAAGCGACTCCCGAAATCAGAGGGCCACTACAGATGTAGTGGAGAGGGTCAAGGACGATGTTCCCGAATTCGTCACTAAAGCTACAGAGAAAGTCGCTGACCAGTTGGAGCTGCCCGACGATTTGGAGAAATTTGAGAAGAGCCTCCCCGAGAAGGTCATCGATGATGAAGTCATCGATCCCGAAGTCCATGATCGTTGAGATCCATGACATCCTGACAGCAACGTAAGGGATGGAACCGTCGAGATATGACAGAATAATTCATTGAAAAAGCTTGAATGCATTATAGATTACATTAAATCACTAAGAAAGTATCATAAGGTAGGAAGAGGGTAAATTGATTACTTAGTGAAACGAGCAAGTAGACCTCTAATCAATAATTCTTGAGACAAAGTAAAACTCAAAAAGTTTCGAAGGTACAAAAGAACAAAAGTGCCTAATTGTAAAACTTTATCAACAAATGATGCATTCACAACATTTTATTTCACCAACAATGTATACTTATAGATTGTAAAATGTTCTACACATTGGTACACAAATTCATGATGAGTTTGTACTAAGTGAAAGCAAAAATAAAGCAAAAAGCTTTCAGAAGTAAAAAATAAGTCAGTTGTTATCCTATAATTATTGTTTAGAATCATATTTTAGTTATAATAGCGTATCTAAAATATAAAAGTGATGTACAGATAAGTTCTCATTCATAATAATCGAATTTAATCATTGGTTTTTGTTCATTCTTGCACCGTTTGATGGTACCCGCCCATCTTCCGATTTTACATCTGATCCCATCTAAAAGTAAGCACAGGAGCGCAACATGTACCAAATCACAGTATTTGTACTCATGCTATTTGGATGAGAAATTGGAATCGTTAGTTTGGAATTCTCAGTTTATATTGTTGTAGGCATAGGACTGATAATCTCCTAGTTCTCGCTGGCGATAAAAATCTATAGAATAATGAAGACTCTCGATCGCAATTAAAACACAAGCATACCTTCCTCAATCGTAAACAATTTCCATTCCACATGCAGGTGACGACACTGTCCAGACGGAAACTGTGGGCATCTTAAGCCATGGACCAAAAGCACAAAAGCCCATTATTTCACAGTCTCCACAACGACAACCTCGTATCAAGACAGAAAGATTTGAATAAGAATTGAGGTCGGCAGAAATTCCACCTTCAATTTGGCATTTGTTTATAATTCGTACAATTGAAATATGCCAAAAAACAATGACCCATGTACGCTGAGAAACACGCTTTCGTCTCCCCAACTGTACCTTTCAATAAATCTAATGTTCTCTAGTCAGAAATCTAGTAACACGGGGTGGTGAACACCTAAAGAGGAGAGAGGGGAAATAAAGAATGATATTCGTTGCACCCCTGTTGCACGAGGGAAAGAATCTCTTGTAATTGGATACACTGAGTGAATAACCTCACTAACCAACTCGATACTGATATAATCTGGCAAATTTACACCATCTACAAGCTGAAGTTGAGCATTTACCTCTCTACAACTGAGGGGCTTCTGGGTGTCATTCCAGAATCATCATAGCCTGCTTTGATCTCCTCATCTTACGACTGACAACCTTCGGTATATTCACTTCGCAACACATGAATCAGTGACGTAGCAGTTACCCTAACTTCATCCAAGTTAGAATGATTCCACAGGTTGCCACAGTCGCTTTCGGGCCATCAGAATCTTCTCGTCTCCGTGAGAAAGGGCATCTTCGACAATTTCGAAATCGTCTTTAGACCAGTGGTCCCACCTCAGACCCTTCAAATACTTGCCAACTCGGTTGACCATCGAGGCGTTGTCCCTTATGATTATGATGCCCCAAGGTCGCACTACACGATCCATCTCCAGGAGCAAGTCTTCTATGCTGCACCCTCTCTCGTCTACCTTAGAGAAAACGTCCCACGCATGCAGGACATCGTAGGTACGAGGATACGTTGAAAAGGCCTCGCACCTGACAGTAACAACACCGTGTGCCAACGATCATCATTAAGTCGCGAGATCCATTAGAATGCAGAGTAATTCAACTGTCGAGCTCTGAAAGATCATCCTAGCAAATCCGATAAGACGGATTGCTAGGCATTAGACAGAGAATACGACACTGATGACAAATGAAAGTGGGTTGGAAACATTTACAACTTACCAGTCATGGAGGGTACCGATCAAGCCCCGGTCATACACCATCTTCAGAGTATTCGGGCCATACGGAGAGACGACGTTCATGATCCAAACGTCCTGCTCTTTTAAAGCCGCGGCAAAACCTCCGAAGTTTGCATTCATGTCCATGATATTACGAACACCATTGTGTGCAATTTGTCCGTTGATCTTCAACTGCTTCCAGTAATACTGGACCCTTTGTTGCCATACGAACTGCAAGGGCATCATCGCATGTCAACTTTACGTGACAGGAGCAAAACTAAGATAACAAAGAAATGATTATCGAAGACGTAGGGAGGAAGAAGCATCTTCCAGGGATCACCCTAGCTAGTGCTAGGATTGAGTTCAAATGTCCTCCAATCAGATCGGAGGTTATCGTTGATACAAGACGCCTAAAACCCATTCACCAATGTTCAAGTTTCCAAATCTTGGATTCCCAGCACAAACTACAAGGCGGGCATGACAGCTGTAATTAATGTATTTCCATCCGGTAAGAATTCAAACGATAAGATTCGATAGGAGCGATTTCGCTCTCGCTGGTTTCATGCTTATCCTCACATTCTAAGCACAGACGATCTCAGCTCTAAATGTAACTTCTATTTCGTGAAAGTAAAGAAGCCCAGGTTTTGAATCGGCTATTCATATTGCAGAAATGGGAGAGCTCACTACAAGCCTGAAATTAGTTGAAATATTTCGACATGATCCAATTCGCAACATACGGCAGACATGAAACCAATTTCAAAACTTTGTGAATAATGGCACCACTGATTGTGACGGGGAACCTCCGAGATGTAGACAAGGCGATTTGATCTCATTTCGTTGGCAAATAAAAATCTCCTGAGAGAATTCACTAGCAACTGGAGAAACATAAGGCTTACCGTATCAGTTTCAAACGTTCTCTCGGCAATCCCAAGTTCTTGCAATCTTGGAGAAGGAGCTGTCAAACGTTGTGGCCATGGCTCCAGACTGTCTTCATTATCTGAATTAAGCATAACATGAAGTCAAATACCGGCAAAATTATCAGCCAGTAATAACCTTCGCTGTAGATGGTCCAAAGACCGAGGATGCGGAAGAAACTCGAGAAGGTGAGTCTTCTACTCCGTGGCGTGCATCTGCAGCATGCATTGACAATAGAATGACCGAGAAATATCTGATGCATGAAGTTTTCAGCCATTGCTGAGTACATCAGAACACATATTTGTACTTACATTTCGTCAGAGGTGTGATACATGTCTTCATTGGAAGCCCCCAGGCAGCGTCAGGGTCCTCCACGGAGCTGCAAAGCGGCGGGTGCGTTCCGGGAAGACGTTCTTCGTAGCACTCACTCGTAAGGGGCTTTTGCCAAATCACAGTTTGTCCTTCTTTAGCAGCCTCTGTCCAGCACATATTGCGCACAAGAGTCGTCATTTCATTCCACTCCTGCCTGTCTGACTCGGTCTCCCGGTAGGCGGCTGGAGACGACCAGGCAAAATAGCCACCAGGTCTCAGCAGTCGATCGACCTCAAGAAGCAAGATTCCATCTCGCTTGTGCCAGTCGATACGACATCGTGAGCAATGAGCCAGATCGAAAGATTTACTTGGATAAGGAAGTCTCATCGTTCCCAACACACCAAGCATGGACGGGATTCCCCTCTCCAATGCGAATTGAATTTGGTTTTGATGCACATCATTAGGGGCCAATGACATGGCAATAATGTCCAGAGGTAGCAAAAAAGCGCCAAAACTAGCGACACCACATCCTACGTCAAAGACTGTGCGGATCTTTCCGGCTTTGCTCAAGTCTCCGTCCGCTTCCCCGAGCATCTACAAAAATCAACACATTTAAGACAATCTCTTAATGCAGGTCTGAAAGATACGAACGGAGAGCCGAGACACAAGGAATGAGGATTCAAGTTGTGTGACATCTGAGTGTCAAAAGCTGGAAGGTCACCTTGCCAAGATTCGCAATGTACTTATCCGCTCCGTCATGAAAATGGGTGCCACCACCGGGGAAGATCGCTTTATCGCCTTGGAGTTCCATCCAGTGCTGATCAGACTTGTTAGTGGCGAGGAAAGTGTGGGGAATGTTCGCTTGCCAAACCTCGTCTCTGCTCTCAGGCCACTTGACTGGAACCTGTATTAATCACGGATGCGGTGTCACACATGATGATTCGAAAACTTTTCTAAGAAAAAACATCTACCACTCAGAGCGGCATGTAGTGAAAATCCCTTCCCCTGTGAGACTACATTACTCATGGGGCAGCCCGGAACCTGAGGAGAAAATTGGCAGGTGACATGCGACGAATAAGCACTAGGATCCAGCAGTCCCGTGAGAGCGGGCGTTGTAGAGATACAAACCTGGTAGTTGGGAGGTGGGGGGATTAAACAGTTCAGTCTCTGTTGAGGGGGAGGACAATGACGCTCGAAATGCTCCATCAAAGAGTGGTTGAGTCTCATCTTCAGCTGTTTTTGAAGGGATTGGTCGAGGCACGGGATAAGCTCTGAGTATCGTGAGTCACAAACCTGAAAAGTCAAATGCAAAGAAATCAAATTGAGTGTCGTGGATCTAAACATGAATGTTTTAAATCTTCTAACAGCTTCGCTTACAAGGATTTATTTATCTTGATGGTGAGCTCCAAGTGTACTTCAGTAAACAGATGATGGTCAGCGTGCACTCTCTTCATGGTTTCTCCAGTGGAGAAGAGAAAGCGAAGGCAAATGTGCAAACTCCAAACCCAGCATACGTACAGGAAAAGTTTTCAAAGTAACTTCGTCTATTCCCTCCTCATCCTTGGGATCTTCGGCGGAAGCGTCTTGATCGTCATTATCAGTCCTCTCATCGCTGTCATCCTTGTCATCGTCTGCTTCGTACTTATCGGCCTTTCGTTTCGTTTCATCGGGGCGCTCCTCTTTCAGATTGATAGTATCGACATCCAAGTCCGCTTCCCCTTTGTCGGCCCCGGTGTCATCCATCGACAAATCGTCTGCTAGAGGTTTGGGGCGTCGAACGACCTTGGAGGCGCCTTCCCATTCTCTCTCTTCCTCACTGCTTCCGTCACCATGGACGTGGTGCATGCGAGAGTTGAAAAACGAGCTGTAGTAAATGGAAAGCAAGGACAGCATAAGGACCGTGGCGCAAACCGTGACAAAGACGCGCCTCTTATGAACTGCGTCATTATTCCTGGACCCCCTCATCCTGTTGGGCGTGGTTTTCCCGAGCATCCAGGCCAAATTTTAAATAACCGCTGAAGCAATTCGATGGACGCTCACCAGACCTACTCCTGCCGAGAGCTCACAAAGAATTCCCGTCTCAAATGCACAAAGGGCCCGTCGCGAGAACCGGTAAAATTTCAGCTCGACTCTCCAGGCCTACTCGTCTCCGGTCCATACTCCAAATCCCCATCGACAAATTGCCCGCATATTCCAACAAATTCAAAGCTCAAACCATAAGGAGCTGCACACGGACCACTCCGGCAGCGGGAGCTGGACGAGAGACAGAGACTCGCAGCCCACCCACACTCTCACCCGCACAATGGCGGAAGGCGAACACCGTCCCAACGTTATTCACGGCGATGCGACCACCTCCTGGCCCATCCGCGGCATTGGCGCCTCCCCGCTCGAGCTCCACTGCTCACCTGAACTCTCTCTACGTAGACGAGATCTCCTGCTGCTACTGCTGCCGCTATGGAGGTCGAGGAGAAGAGCAAATAAGAGAGAAGAGCTCACAATCCCACCGCCACCAGCTTCTCAGCCGTCCGACAAGGCCACAGCAATCGGGCCCAGGCCTGCGTCGAAACTCCCGGCCGCAGCGCTCATCGCTCGCCGGCTTATATGGAATGCGACGACCGGTGACAGAATCATGCGAGCCAGCGGAACGCAGCGAGGAATAAAGGAACGGGCCGCAGGCAGGCCGCAAAGACGAGAGCGACGAATGCCGCACGGGCCGGGCCCCGAGCAGAACGAGAGGAAAGGAGAGGGCCGGGCGAGGGCGGAGCCGGGCGCTGCGGAGCCGGAGAGCGGGCGCGGAAACGCGACAAGACGCACAGGAGCTCGCAGTTTACCGCTGCCTCTGTGGGCCCCACGGCGAGAGAGCGAGAATAGACGGGGTCGCTATTCTTCACAAGCGCAGCGTGCTGGACGACATTGCTGCTGCAACAGCAGCGCCAGCAGTGAGATGAGTTTTGGATACCAAGTGGACGCCTCCCAGTCTACTTCTCCACTACGTTCGAGGAAAAGCCTCCGTCGCGCTCCATGGATGTGGTTCACGACCAAGTGCATACACAACTATAATACGTATTCGTATGATTTGATATACGGAGTCCATAAAGTTTGCTGTACTTCTAGTCCCTTGACTCCGACAGCTTCCATCGTCGCCTTCTGAATTACCAGCCCTCCGCATCACCCACGAGATCGTCGAATCTCGGCCGTCCATCGCCCAACAACTACATTCAAAGGGACATTGCCCTGGCTGGCTGTCCGGCTGGCAAGCGGGCGCGCGCGCTGGCAGCCCGCGGGCGAAGAGCGCCTCGTTTGTCGTCCGTTGGAGGCTTCACCCTCGCACGGATTGAAAGTCAAACTCGTCGATAATGGTTGAGCGTTCGGTCGCTTTGGTTCGCCGCTCGGATGAGATCGAGCGGACGCGGTGGGCCCCGCCGCCGAGAGTCGGGCTCGGGCCTTCCTTTCGGCCGCAAGGGCCAGCCAGCCAGCCAGCCAGCGAGTGCGTTCGTCGTGGGCCATGAGAACATGGAACGCTGGAAGGGTGCGCATTTCGCTTCCGTCGGGGCTTCTTGCATTGTCTCGCATGCTCGCTATCCGATCCAATCCAATCAATCGCCGGACGACGACGACGGAGGACGAAGGTGGAAGGACGAAGGACGATGAACTTTTCTCGCTGTTTTCGCTTTGCGAAAGTACGTTGGTGGCCGTTGTGGTCCAGTTGCGAGCTCTGTGCGCTTTTCGCCTTTTCAGACATCACTTGTTCATGTTGTGACACAAGAATGGCATCCATGAGTTTTGCCCACTGGTAACCGACCGAAGTGCCTCCATTATTTGATGGAGTTTAGAGAAATCGGAAATAGAGGCACAAAACTGCGGGTCCCGAGTTGGTATTCTGAGACACTTCGAAAGAATTTTTGAGTCGTACAATACAGGCTCTTGGAATGTACTTGAGTAAGAGTACTCATCATGATTTTCAAGATTCCAGTTCTTATATATAATTGAGCCTTCCCATGTACGGACAAGTGATTCTAGTTCCTTATATTGGTTATTATACTGAGCCATAGCTTTTCAATTCTGTAACATATGGAGTTTTTCACATAAACTTTCTACGGTCTCCTTAATTGTATAGTTTTGGGATATCTTCAAAATTCCAGAATCTCGTCGAGACTCATCTACTCATGCATGACAGTGGTTTTGCTGTAGTAGTACAGACAGTGATTGTCAAGCACTCCATTCTCGATATGGATTTAAGCGAGAATGATATCCACGCCACCTTCATCGCCAAAAGACGAGTGACGCTCATTTCTCTTTCTTTCCTTTAAATGAAAAATAAGCTTAATCCTAAAGCTAGAAGTATTTGACATTGACTACGATGTGTCATTACGTCATCTGTCTGCACTACAAAACAGGCTTATATAAGAGATATTAACATTACTTAGAGCGTTGCATCTCTTTCATTAAAATGAGGACGTCTCATCATACTAATAGACATTAACCTCTGATTATAAATAATACTTATTTATTTATCGTCTCAGGATGTGAGCCGTGCTCATGACATGTCTCCCGCAAACATAAGAGCTGCAACCGGATTGATATTAATTTATCAATATAGAAACTAAGTACACTATCTCCGAAATTTTTTTTCCCGGCAAGGCTAGATTGACTCCAGCCATTGTTGCTGGCATTCCTACCGACTATGGCAGATGTTTCCTGTCTTGCTCCTATTAATAACCAGCTCCCACGCTTTACGAAGGATGCTCAAGATTCTCCACCAAAATTCAAAGCCTATCATAGATCCAATCTTGTGATATGTTTCATGTTATTTCTTGTTTCCACTCTTGGATGTTAGTGTAAAATAAAATGATCCGAATAATCTACGATAAGCACTCCCAACGAAACCTATGAAATCGATGTAAGACAAGTATGATGAACCAACGGGGAAGCATGAAAATATCTTCTCGATATCGTAGGCCATCATATCTCCCATAGATTTTTTTTCCTCACGTAGAGGAAACTAGGGCCAATAATTTTTCCAAAATATAACGTCTATGTAAACGAAAATCGGATATCATAAAGACTCGATAGTCGTAGTTCTCCGTTGAGCTGAACTAAAAACCAGTTCACATTATTCGACAGCTCTTTTATGACTGGCTGTTTTGCTCTTGCATGAACAAAAAAGGAGTCTATAAGAATCATAAAATTCACAGAGTCTATAAAAATCACACTATACTCCTTTGGGCTTTGATCTCTTCAATAAACTAGATTCTGAATTACAGACAAAAAGAAAGATAGAGTTGCAGTTCAAATGATTATCGACAAAGATGATTAACGTCTATACGCTCATGCACTAATGAATATAGATCAAAGCGTAAAAATCAAAGTTCTCTCGCTATACTTTATAGTCTTACAGGTCGTTTACTATTAGATTATCAATATTTTTCCAGAAGTTGAAATAAAAAAAATATTTATTTTCTCAAGTTTGTGTTGATGGTCAATATCAATGACAAATATAAGGCTGGAGAAAAACCATGTTACTGAAGATTATGAAGAGATAGTAATGTACGGAGAAAAAGAAAAAAAAATGGAAAGTCCTAATCAAATGAGAAACCGGACTGGCGCCAAGGTTGATGTTGCCCGTAACGATATCTGCATGGAAAGAGGTATACCCACGCACGCACGAGCAGTAAATACAGAATATGTATATCAGAACTGTAAATGCATACGGCGACCTGTCCTCACTCATACGTACTATTTTCTCATTTCCGACTGGCGCCAAAAGGCCTCCCTGACCACAGTCAAGGCGTTGCGACGTCACAGTCCCAAACTGCGCAGGAGATATTGCGAAGTCGCGTTCTTTTATATCGTGTTCGTTGTTCGTTGATCGAACCTATCATGCATGTACAGTAGGTGCTCTCCTTTTCCGCTCTATTTATGAACTAGTCGACAGACTAGACAGACAACCATGAAAGCATGAAACTCTCCGTCCGTCTGCTACCGAAGCTCGCAAATGAAATTGAGTTTACTTCATGGCGTTTTACGTGGCATCCGTATGGGGCATGCCGTCGATCCAGACACCGAACCTTGCTACACTTCTGCGACATGTATCACGACCTTTTTATCCCATCCATCGAGCTCCTTGTGAATTGCGGTTGTCAAATAGATGAGAAAAAAAAGTTCATAACAGGGTAAAAATATGGTAGGCCTCATTATGTAATACATCCAAAATAAATAGGTCAAATATGTGATCCACACTTAGGATGTCCAAAATTTTAAGGCAAAATTTTTTACAAATTATAGATGCATTTCCATCTAGTACGATAGACTCTCATAATAACGTCTCAAGATATGAGTTGAACCTTGACTTGGACAGAAATGACAAATTGACCTACTGAGCTAACAAAAAGGATCTGAGTATCCCAGCAAGGATACTTGGGCCCCTTTACTTTAATTTTCGTGTAACTCCTTTTTGTAACCACATTATTCATCATCATGACAGAGGCGACCAGCCAGGAAAGTGGACGGTAGTTCATGATAGTATCCAATGGTCAACCAGGACCTAAGATTTTGAGACCTATCCGCATCCTCCTGCACATTTTTTCCCCTCTTCTGGCGAGATTTGAATAGTTTACTTTGACAATTTCACACGATCTCGTGCCCACAATGGACATATGTTAATCCGGGTACAAGTTTACCGAGTTGGCTACAGCTAGCTGGACTCGTGGCTGTGGACAACGAGTTGATTGATACTTCTAAGCTATTCACAAAAAACATTCCATGGAGTTTATAATGCTTGGAAGTTGTTTCTCCCTCGTTTATTGGAGCAATAAGGTATGGGAGTTGCTTCTCTCCTTGTGTGAGCACTTTGTACCTTTTTCAACTGCTTGGAAAAGCTCGACATGCACGAATCAGAGAAATGGCCTATTCCGACATGAAATTCTCCACATGTTTCTCTGCACAGGAGCTGCAAAAGTATCTTCAATGATAGCTGTCCATTTATTGACACCGTCAATCAAATATCTGTCGCTTTTGCTTGAAACAGCTAAACGGGTCCATGCAGATATGAGTGGATAAGGATAATGAAATCGAACACAACACGAAATACATTGCAAGGTTGTAATCTTGGATGTATTCAAGAATGTTGGTGATTTCCGTATTCAAATGGCAAAACTGATACCAACATGTTGAAAAGAAGAAATGTTCAATTCTCTTTGATTGCAAACCTTGTGTCTTTTGTAATCTAAGATGTTATAATGTCGATTTTAGGCTTTGAAGAACATCAATGTGTGCAGAAAAGACACGAAAAAATATACTCATTTCGAAAATTAGAAGTTTTTAATGTTGTATACAACAGCGCCAAAAAAAATTAGTTAATATTTCTACAATAATCATAAAAAGCGATATCTGTACTCCAAAATTCCACTCAAATATGAAGCCCATGTTCCGGTGATTTATATAATAAAATATAAAGAGGGGTTGATAAGCAAAATTTCCTTCTAAATGAGATCATAAACCTTGGAACTTGAAAATTGTTCTATGGAAAAACAAGGTTTGTTTACAAAGTTAGATTTTGGTGAATGTCAAGAGCTCTGTATTTTCCAAAGCAGCGAGATGGAAAATATGCTCGGCCATGTTTTCTCGTGCAATCTTTTGGCGGAACATTCAATGGGTGGGCACACAGCTGAAAACATGAAAATTTGCCAATCAACAGAAGATACACCAAAGTGTACATTTTGGTTGAAGTCGATCACAGAAGACGTCGTTCCCAACCTTCAAATAGAACAGGGGAGCTTCTTTTGGAAACTCCTGACCCTGGTATCGACGCCGACCGGTGGCGAACATTCCTCGCCATGATGAATCCATTCCTACAGCAGAATCCGAATGGACCTCGGAGGAATCTTGATACCACCCTCAATAATTGAATTTTCGTTCTTCACGTGAACGCATAACATTTAAGAATACGAGAAAAAATCGATCAAATCATTTGCCGAGGAGGGAAAAAGTCGCGACAATTCGAGCAAATAAAAAGCAGCAACAATTAGTGTTAGGACAATAAATTGCGGGTGCCCGCTCAGATGTTGGCCGAACGCGAACCGGAGAATGTCGACGGTCAAATATCACGATGGCATTGGCACTGGCAATCGCAAATTGTAAAGCAGTCGCTCACGAGGAGTGCTGCCTATGGTTAGGTCTCGTGCTATACACGGGTACCGAACAAGGAGCAATAAATATCCGGATGAGAAAATAGAAAGGGGGCCGGTGTACCCGCGTGGTACTGGGTAGTGCAAAAGGGTACAGGCGGGCGAGGGATGGCGAGGCTACGAAGAAAAAGGTGAGAGAAAGCTCTGCACCACGCAAAGCCGCGGGGTCGGCGGGGGCCACGACTGGCCCCAGAACGAGAGCAGCCCCGCCTGCGACGAGGCCCTTCGGGAGGCCCAGTGCCTCCTCCGTTGTCCCGCTGGCCGGCCGGCCGGACGGACGGACGGACCGGCTGTCTGTCTGTCTTGTCTGTCTGTGGGCGAGGCAATGGATGCCAGCTGCCACCTGCTCCGCTCCTCTACGTCTCGTATGGATGGATGGATGGGGCTGGTACGTGTAGGCCAGGAGGCGACCGAGAAATCGGACTGACGCTTTCGCGTTCTCGTCGCGTTCCGTCCGTTTGCGAGCATGATTCGTTATCGTGGATGGATGATTCCCACATTTGAACGCACTCCGATGAGCGCGAGGAGGACGAGGTGACCGGTACGGTTTGAACGTGGACCCAACGTGCGGAGCGGGGGCGAGCGGAGATTTGTCGATGCGTTCGGCTCGACCTGAAGTTAGCGGGCGCCCATTTCGGCCGAATCTTTCGTGGGTTTGTGCCCGCCGTGTCCAGGGCAGAGGGAGAGATGCTGGAGTGCGAGCATCGTCGAGTTGCGGGCGACTACTTCGTCTTCATCGTCGTCATCATCATGATCCGAAATCTTGCGACCCATTCGCGAACTTCTTCGTTTCATGTTTCCCGAAGATTGGCAACAGCGAAGGCGGTGATCGGAGGTGAATCTAGTGGTAATGTAAGTCACTGGATAAAAGGGCATGTGCACTAAGTTGTCGCAGTAATGCACATGCAAATCGGCAGTGATCCGGAGGGTTTCTATTGGTTGGTTGTGATGCCATCTGCAATGACACTTGAATGCCGAAAGCCATCATCAAGTCGTGGTAGGGTCGAATCCAGCGTAAATTGATCTCCCATCGCCCACTGGTGAGTTAAAGTCAATATCCGAGGGTGATAACGACGAGCATGTTGCGCTTTGAAGTTGCATGTGAATGTGGGCAGTCAAATTCAGCGTTAGAAGACAATTCGGCGTAAGCTGGCCGGATCCCGGGCTCTTTTTAAAGGAGGCTGATCCTCAGACGACCCGGATGAAATCTTATCACTTTCCGGATGTGCGAGGACCGAGGCTGTTGTTCATGTTGCACCATGTGCGCCGTTATGCCGGGAACATACTGTAAGACAATACATGTAGATTTATAGACAGCATGTACTGTAGGCTCTCGCCGAGTATGTTTCATAAATGCGACGCCCTAAAACGAGCCGTCTGAGCGTGGATGGTATTTGGAGGACGAGAAAGGCATCCTTGACGTGATGCCTGGATCACTCGGGTTCCAACCGGGTCCAGAATCGGTCGTTGGAACTCACGACGTCCCGCGACGACACAGTTGCTTTCTTAGACGCACAACTTTCCTCGTCCACTCCGCAACTTCATACCTCGGGTATGTCATTCGGGGCACTTTTATCTACTTCACCTAATCTATGTGTCGAGCGTTGAAGAATACAAGAGAACCGAAGTTTCCTCTGAATGTCGCGGTAGGTAAAGAAAATTAGCCATCACACTGCGTTATGAAGGGATATAAAGACATTCCGAGCAGACCTAGAAGTATGATATGCCCAAACTCCCGTAACAATATCGATTTGTTCAGAATTCCTAGTCATAGCAGAAATGAGGATGAAGTTCTTCTATTCATAATTCACAATCACAATTCATTATGCTTTTGCTACTTGCTTTGCCAGGACTGCTCATCGACATTGATTCGGGTGTACATGAGTGACACCTTCTCCAAACCGCCTACTGCCTTCTCCCTTTCGTTTTCTTTATTGTTGTCTTGTGGTGTGCAGCTAGTTTGGTCTGCATCTTCTCGTCAATGACAGAAAACAAGCAAACCTTTGTAAGGAGTAGCCATTTGATCCCATAAATTGAATATGTCGACTGCAGTGAGCGAAAACTATGGTGGTTAAAGTTGAGTTCGAGGACAGAAAAGAAGAGAGAATCTCGCAAGTTAGTACTGTAGTCAGTGATACCCCATTTTTTTCGAGAGGCGCTATCGTATATTTAGACCTGTTGAGCATCGCCATGGTTGAAATTAGGCAACTTTGTCTCTACCTTCAACAACTGGTTCTTAGTGGCTGAAACATATCCCGATAGCAATGCTTTAGATCGACTACTGAAACAACTGTTGATGGTTGCAGCGTTGACAACTATGACCTCAATCATTATGTGAGGCTGTCCCCTGAAAGTTGAGGGTGTTTTCCTCAAGGTAGGGGCAGTTTCGGGTTATAGCAAAACTTTATACAAGGTTGGGTTCGCGGCACATGGTTCTTCCATACACATGTAAAGGGGCAGTTGTATAGCAAGAGGCCAAACTTTAAGACTGACTGCCAGTGAATATACACTATGCATGTCTAGGCCCGTGAGACTTTTCACTTGCAGTCAGTAGCCCTTCAGTTGAGAGCAAAGCTAAAAAACTTCAACGGCATGATCTGATCACTTGAAGTCACAAAAGCAATTTTTCTTTGACAAAGTAGAGAGAATGTTGACAACACCCTCTCTCTCTCTCAAGTTTCGGCTCCTCCAAAGTCTCTTTACAGATCCTAGGGGTAACATAAATCATGCTGAAATTGCTATCGGTGTCCTACGGGTAGTTCTATATTGACTGGTCTAGACGACGGCCAATCACCCGAATTGTACATTACACACAGCTCACCTCATGAGGAACCTGTTCGATATTCGGCATCCAAGAAGCAGCTGTAATGAACTCCTTGACGCGTGCCTTTTCCTCAAGCTGTGAGGCACCTACTGACTGACTCCCACTTGAGCTTCTTCTCTGAGCACGAGTCGAGTCAACCTCGCCTCTGTCTACGAGACCTCCACTTACGTTCTACACTCAGACTCGTGTCGAGAGAAAAGGCAGCAGCTTTCTTGCGAAATCATTCGTAAGTCAGTGAAAGAGATCTGCCTCTCGGATGTATTTAGATTGTGATAAAGCAGCATATTCGATTAACCGTCATGTGCGTCACTGGTGTATGCATTTTAGAATCGATATGTTTCATCTTGATTGCCTACGAGTGAGGGATGGTGTGAGTAAGAGCTCAGTATTATGGTTTTTTTTAAAAAACTCAACGATGTGCCAGCTCAAGTTGAGCCTTCAGCTGATAATGAATCAGACGGTCTAAATCTCTTAGGAGGAAAAATGCAAGCGATGAGGCTCTTAGGCCGAAGGAATGTGTCTGCAGAACAGTGAACTTTCGAGACGCATGTCGTCTTTCGGTGTAACAGCTGTAGTTGTTCAATCGATGCCTTCCATCAATCGAGAAGGACGGCACGAACAATATCTTTGGACCTCATCCTGTTACACTGGTGTATGGGAGAGCCACAATCGCTGTCAAAGATAATTTCCAATAGTCGTCTTTGTTGTGATTCCTCAGGTGAGAGGACTGCGGCCCCACCCTAGTCGTTAATGCTTACCCTAGGTTTAATATACTCTGTTCTGATGAGGAGGTCGTCAAGTAAGGGCTGGATTTGAAAGGCTGCAGGACTCAGGAATCGAGGAATCTTTCTCCACCACTCTCTCGAAAGAAAATCAGGCCTCTACGACGGGAACATGCAAGGCCTATCAAGTAAACAAAGAGCAAATAGTGAAGTCGCGGAGTACCTCAACGCATCAACATCTACTGAAGTCGCCTGTCATGAGCTTGGGGGGTCTCCCTAAACGGACAACTATTTTGTACTCCAACTCTGAGCAGATCCATTTGACCCTCAACTAATCCGTTTGACCCACCCATTATTTTCAACAACCGCATGACTTTCGTACGAAGACTTTCAGAATATCATTGTAGATCCACAATTCGATCAACCAAGGCTCTTGTGACTGGGTTTCAAGGAGGAGTGAGAGTAGATTCGAATTTGCATTAGAAGATTACAGTTCGTGAGGATTTAGAGAAGATTGTTTCGACCAGGCCAGTTGGTCTATGTTTGATTGTTGCAAGGGGCACACGACATTGTACTTACAAATCGCGAGACAAAGGTGTGGAAAAGAGAAGGCGTTCAGCATGTCGCTTGCTCGAGCTCTTTCAAACATACCACGCATTCAGCTGGGATTCAATCTCGTCTCGTGTGCTGAATGGTGGAGCGAGTGAATAATGGGATCTGAAGATGTGTGGCAGGCGAACAGAGGACGGAGTACAGAGCAAATGCAAAACTGCCTTGGCTCGAATAAGTAAATAAATAAATAAAATTTCTCCTTGTGTCAAACCAATCAGCCCTCCAAATTACTCCAGCTAAGCCTCGCCATTGGTTATATCCGGATAAGAACACTCCACGTCTACGACTTTGCTTTTGACGGATGTTCGCCGTTCGGAAGACATCGATTCGACATTCTCCGAACCCCACCATGGCCTATCAAGGAAGAGTGGCAGAGCTTTACTCTGTAGAAGGTCCAGTTCTCGAGCCTCTGTCACTGGCTGCAAGAGGCAGTGGCGGAGGCGTGTGCTACGACCGTGCTTTTCTTGCCAGATCTTCTCGGCACACACTTTTTTACATCTTCTCCGAGACATCGTACCGTCTTGAAGCTCAGGGCCGAATCTTTGAATTGTTTCTGTTTGTGGGCAAGCCTCGACCGGGAGAAATTTGGACTGATCGAACTTCGGGATCCGAAAGCTGAATTGGAGTCTGCTTCTGCAAGACCAGCCTGAGCGCGATACACCCACAATGCAGGCGTTAGGAACCTTGTCTGTCTCTCATCGACCAATCAGCCTGCCAAATGTGCGTGCGGTGATAGCAGAGCCCTCGGGGGAGCCTGCGCCGATGGGACAGAAGACCAAGTACAACGATTCATTTTTTGACAAAATGTTCATGGGAATCTTCACTACCAAAATGGAAGAAGTCACAGGTAATTCTCTCGAATTTATACGAGTTCAAATGTTGCTAGTAGTCGCGGGCAAAATGTTCCTTAACAGCGAAATTCAATTTTTGAATGAAGGATGAAGTGCAGTTTGATTGTTCTCTGCGTTGTCGATCCATCATAGGTCAGAGAAAATTCATTTGACTGATTAGGGAGTTGAGAACTACGTTTACGCTGAAACACTCACATTAAAAATTGTCTAGGACGAGCAGAATTTCGAACGCTGCACAGTCTGCAGGATTTGTAGTTCTAATTTTTCGCAGCCTTCGAATTCAAATCGTAACCAGCAAAAGGCTCTTAACGCCTGAGACTTGTCTTGATTAGTAGAATCAAAGGACATGCGAGAGAAATTCGACTTTCCTATATGTCCTAATTGATTTGTCCAGTATGAGAGTACGTACACTCAGCAATTGACGAACGTCACATCTTACGACAATACCGATTCATTGTCCTTATGAATGCAGGAAAGAAAACTGAACTCGATGGCTACGAAGGACTCGTTGAGATTTCCAGAAAAGTTATGCAGGGCAGAACACCCCTACAGCAGCGTGCAGCTGTTCGTCAGGTTTTAATGTCAACTTTACCACCTGGAGCCCCAGAACAAGTAGGTTCTGCCTAACTCAAGCTCCTAATTTTTACCTTCGGTACCTGGCACATCTTCGTCTGATTATTTTCTAGTAACAATTACATGCAATAAGCCCTTTGACGGTAATCAGCCTGAGGCAAATCTGCTTTGCACAGAATCTTAAGAATACTCTGGATCTGGCCAACATGGACAGGCAGAAATTACTCCAGGACTCAGCAGATTATGCTGAGTTTTTGTCGGTGTGTATCCTTGATGTGATTTATTTCTAAATATGTTTTTATGAATATGAAGTGAAGTCATTTTGTCAGTAATATGCATAGTTATGACTTAAACGTTACAGGATCACTTCCTTGAAACATGGTACAGTGAGCGTGATATCAGACGTCTTATCACGTAAATTTTATAGATTCCATTGCAATCTTAAATAGCTACCGATTCATCCTCATACTTAGTGGATACCTGCAAGTAAATGCTAAGGAGTTCAGTGTTATTAGTCAAGTAAGTGAGTCCCAAAGTATCAGTTTTAGCTCTCATTTTCTTCTGCCAATCTACGGCAAGGGATTGTGATACAAGCTATTGATTTCCTTCTGTAGACGTCGATTCTTTTCTTGTGTTATACAAGACTTGGTCTTATCTGGATCGGTTAGTGCTTGCGATGGAAGAAACAATAGAGGCAACAGAAAATTAAAATTAAGATATTCCAAAATAATTTTGTTGTCTACCGTTTCTTCATTTCCTGCAGTTTTTTTATCTGAAAGTTGTATTTGCGTTACACAGAAAAGTATCAGTGATGGCAGCTGGGATAAAAATTCCACTAACATGAATAGAGAATTGATTGCTGTCTTCAGTAATCTACTGCATGATTGAGACGATGGTTGAACTCCGTCTTCTGTCTGTGCTAAAGGATGCTTTTCAATAATATCCAGAATCACGTTTTCTCTGCCTTCCGAGTTTCAAACCGAACTCATTGCATGATGAGGAATTATCTCTCATGTTCAACAGTCACGAGAATTTACTTGTAGAAGACTTCGAAAAACTTCGTATGGAAATCAGAGAAGTAACCATGGCGGTTACTTCCCCACTGTGCAGTTCAGGAAGCTATTTCCACCGACAAAATGGTCTGCAGAGTTCAACGCTTTCATCACTATTCCTGTCTTCAAGTGGCTGGTGGGGCCATGCGATGTAAGTGCATTCGTCAACCTTGGGTTGCGCAAAACTCTCGTCTCTTTGTCAAGCAATATTTCTATTGCTAAACTACAATATATCTCGTCCATATATCTATTTTAAATCTTTGTCCATTTTGTTATTGTCGAACAGTTACAGGACGTGGAAGTGAATGGGGTTATGCAGAAAAGTCTCGTTAAGATCAAAAAGTGCAGGTCAGTGCCAAGATGACCTGTTGAGTTCTGTTGTGTTGAAGACATTTAATTCCTGATGCCCGATAGAAGGGCCCCAGGATGGAATAAGACATGCTCCAGGAAGCTTCACTCATCCTATACCTCACAGTGAAGTTTCAATTGTCTCATAATCAAGTCACAAACAAGCGAACTAATGAGAAGTTAATCCCTCTTTCAACATCAGGTATCTGGAAAATAGCGGTTGTGTTGGCATGTGCGTAAATATGTGCAAACTTCCAACTCAGGACTTCTTCACGAAAGAATTTGGTCTGCCATTGTCAATGACTCCAAGTAAGTAGCCTTTGATCTTCGAGCTGGAAGTTGAAGAAGAAATGAATGTTATGCATGATAGTATCATTGCAAAATACACACCATCCGAACTTTTGATGTTCACTGAAGCTTTTTGTAAGCAGAACTTTCATAGCTTGAACCATTTTGTAATACACAGAGGAAACTTTTTCTGACTTCGCTATACAGATTTTGAAGACATGAGCTGCGAAATGGTGTTCGGTAAAATGCCAGCACCGCTAGATGAAGATCCTGCCTTCCAACAACCATGCTTCGAAGCCATTTGTAAGTACTGAATATTTTCTCAATCAAGCCATCCTGTCAGTACTCGAAGTGCGACTTGTGTGGTTACAAAAATGTTCTCGAATTGCTGAACCTTTTTTCCACTCTTCACGCAGGTACAATGGCACAACCAAAAAGTCCTGTCTGCCCCAAGCTCAAACCGGCCACGGAAAGCGTCCAAACAGACTCAGTACTTGCATGAGGTTTTCACCTTTTCATATGTACATACACTAGCCTTGCGTTGGCACACCACAAAGAGGGCTTCAATGTTCGATAAGCATCCTCGTCATGTATTTGACAAACTTGTACTATAAAAATTATTTTTTAAGGATCCTCAATCGCAAACCACACACGGTTGGGAGACTTGTTTATCCAACAGTCAGTCACCTGCTGTTTATATGGATTTGTACTTTTCAATCGCACACACTGATGGAAAATTGTAATGTATGTACTGTAGTAACAACTGTCCCGTTGCTGCAAACCAGTGTCCACATATCTGATGGACACAAAGTACTGCTTTATATATAATCCCAAGGATTGCAACCCTAAATGTGCTCTACATATCTCTACATATAACCGCCGCTGTGAACATCCAGCAAATTTTCAAGCTCCAAGCTTGCCTCCCATAAGAACACGCTTCAATCACTCGGATTGTCAACAAACCGAACGATCCACGGACACAACTCCCAAAAAGAAGAATCCAGCAACGAGGCGAAGGATGTGTGAACACTGCAGTCTCTTACGGAGATAAGAACATTAGACCCAGAATAGTTCCATATGATGCACATCAAAGCCGGCTGTCGCAGACTCTGATGTATCACCTCGAGTGAGGCGCTATGGCCACATAATTCAGCATTATGCGACGACGATCCACCTTAATTATTCACCTGGGATACAGAAGAGAAAGTGTCAACTTTGTGAAGGAGGAGGGCCACTGCATTCAGGGGCAGAATTGTCTACTCGATGAAATCTCACAACACCAACTCGATTTCCAAAACGGCTCCGCTTCTCAGTGAAGAAAGCTGTAGCCTGACGCCCGAGACCTCGACTCCTGTGAAACCACATGCGTCTACATAAACCGAAATCGCAATCCTGCTGAGGATGGGAACCAGGCACGGTTTCCTGGTCAGATATTGCATGAGCTAAGGGGCCGGCTCCTCGGAATCAAGTGCCAAACGGTCATCCAGGTCAGTCCCTTACCTTCGCTCTCTTCTTCAGCGTTGTCTGCGTCATCATCCTCGGCGTCGGGCTCGTAGTCCTCCTGGTCGTTTTCAGGCGTCGTCTTTCCGATGGGGATCAAATTGGAGTTGGCATTCCGAACTTCGCTGAGCTGCGGGATGGAGAACAGTTCACCGTCAACTTCCATGCTCGAGACACCGAGTGAAGCCAATCAAGCGAGTCAATTGCGTGCATCACCTTCCGATAGAGAGAAGATGGAAGAAAGAAGTATTCGCTCGATCGGAATTGCTTCATCATGGAGACGTGAAGGTGGAGGAGAAATCAAGTGAACAGACAATAAGACATCCAGCTCTGTCAGCTGGGAAAACTCTAAACCTCAATTATCTCACGAAAACATCCGAAATCAACGACCGTACGGACCGGAATCGAGCTTGGGAAACACAATTCCTAATCGGGGGAAGGAAGGGCACCGAAAGAGGGAGCGAGAATCCGACCTTCTCCTCGTACTCCGCTTCCTCCTGAGCGAGAATGGCTTCCTCGTTGATCTGACTCAGCCAGTCCGACGAGAACACATCGAATGACGGCACCACGAGAGTCGGAAAGTCGATCATCTTGTCGCCGATTGCCAAGCTCTGCCACGGCCACGTTCACGACCCGTCACCCTCGCGGCAATCTAAGCAGGTATGGTACGAATCGTCCCACTGCTTCCGCATCTACGAGAGATCGCGTCTGTCCGCTCGTGTCTCCGCTGCCGAAGAATCGTGCGCAAAGCTCGTCGCGCTTTTCCTTCGTGACGGGGCCAAATAGATCGCGCGCTCTCGATCTCTCGCGTCTGTGGAAAACGCCCGTGCTGGGGTTTCAAAGAGCCGTTACGGCCGAATGATTCCGCAGGTTGCCTTGGATGGGCGGGGAACGGAGTTATCTGAGAAGACGGGTTTCTAGACTTTGTTGAGTATATGCTTCTTCTGGCATTGGATATGAATTTTAGTTATGTAATCTACATGCTTTTCTATTAGCATATTTTCTAAAACTATGAGCTTCCACCTGGGGTTTGCAAATTCTTTCACAGCATCATTTGAACTATTTCCAAGTTTTGAAAATCAATTTGAATATTAAAATCAATTGAGCTATTTTGCTCAGTTCAATTCAAAATTATTCAATTTTCATTCTGATTATTCATATCACATTGACATCTTATAACAAAACTGAGAATCATATCCATTTTGCATATGATTCCAAACTATTTAATTTTAAGTTGTTTCAGAAGCAAACATATGAATGTCATTGGGTGCAAAAATATATTTATAAAATAAAATTTTATGAAGACAAAAATTAGAATATCACTAATAATTTTAAATCATATTGATGGTTGCCACACTAAAAAAATATTTCCTATATATAATAAAAATAAATATTTTATATGATTGATATTAATGCATTAAAAAAATTAAAAAAAAAATTTGATGTATACATCAATAATTTTGTTTGTTGATATATTCATCTTGAATTTTAAATAGATCCATCTTGAATTTCTAAGTCTGTTTTTTGATATTTCGTTTTCAACAATTATATTAAACCTACATGCTTATAATATTCAACAACTTCAATAGGTAAATTATAAATATGTTTGATGATATCATTCAATAATGTTAAATGTGCAATTAAAATTTCACCAAAAGATAAACAGCTTCAGCAATTTAGTAAGAATTGTGCAGGTAACAACTTTACAAAATTTATAATCTCAAACATGAATTCAAGCTTGCCATGACTTGTACTTATACTGTGAGTCTATACTTAATGAAAAATGATGAAAATGATGTGTAAACATCAAATTTGGTGTTTACACATATGACACCAATTTTGAAATTTTTTTTTTTTAGTTTTATTTGTAGATAAAACTATTCAATTTCTTTGATGATTGGCGAGTGAAACATCTTTGCTGGTTAAAAATAATATTCCGTATGAAGAGTTTCACATGTTTGATACTAAAAGATTGCAATAGATTTTAGTTGGTTTATAATAGATTTATGAATAAAGAGTTGGACATTTTTATTTGACATACTGAGTGATATGATTGTTACCTTTTTCTCTACTAGAGCTCAATAAAAAGTTTTGAACTTCTATAATAAGACTTTTTCAACGAATTACATGAGAGATATTATACAAACATGAAGCAGTCTAGCTTAAAAATACATCGATGGTATGGAACCAAGATTAAACTTTCGGCTTGGTTTTTTGCGCACAACTCTCTTTTATGAGACAAATAAACATGAACAAATAGTTTGAGAAAGCTAATGGCAACTAAATAATTTTGGGGAAGAATGGTGTGGTTTCCTTAATCAAATATCTTATCTATGGTGTTATGCAGATGAAGACATCTTACACATTACATGTTTTTGTTATACAATATTTGTATATTTTTATGGAAAGGTATACAAGTGAGTGGTAAAGATGTAACTAAATTCTAAAACACCGTAAAATTCATAAAGAGAATTGAAAACCAGAAACCAGTTTATGATAAATAATATATTTCATAACATACATAATATTCAACACGATGAATCTTCTATGCATAAAATTTTATCCATCTTTTATTGAACTTTATGAAAACATTAGGCAAGACATGTTTTTGGCAAGGACCCGTATGGTATTCATCCATGTATAGTTTAATGGGGTATTGGTATGATACCCCATTGATTTTGCTTTCTTACTCTATTTTCCCTCTACGAGTGAAAACTATACTTCATTCCAATCAATATAATACTTTGAAGTCTCCATCTCATGGCATTATAGCCTTATACACAAAGCCAGCTCGTGTTAATACATGAATAGGAGACCGATTGGACAGAAATTTAGAGAAAATCTGAAGAAAAATCTCGCCGCGTAATAAGCGAGTAGCGAGAGGAATTGCGAAGGGGGATGAAATTGGCGGGAAGTACGAACGCAACAAACGCGCCAATTTACGAATCGCAGCGACGGCGTTGTACCCAACGGTCGAAGGAAAGAACAGTACGTATTTACAGTCTATGCGAAGTATCCAGAAGATATTGGCGCTTCGACCGGTGGATTACCGGGTCCTTCTTTGCCGGAGCTGAATTGGCGTTTTGCTCCGGAACACGGAGAAGCTTCGAAGTCGAATGCCTGCTCTCGCTGCACTGGCGATCATTGTCTGATTTCAGGCGGCTTCGCACTCCTGCGAGGCGATTGTGTGCTGCCCGGATCGTGAGTTCTCCAATTGCGCAAGGCCATCGCGGTCCTGGTCCTTGTAATGATGTTGTCATGAGTTGAGTCGATTTTTTTCGTGCGAATTTTCTGTTTGGAGGAGCGAGACGTCTTTCTCACGCAGCCCTGGCTGATCAGATATTTGGGCTAGCACATGCCCACTTCGGAGACCGATTTTTTGACTGCGGGACAGGCGAGAGGGCAGGCTGCTCAGTACTGCATCGATCGAACTGAAAGTCCGCTTCTACTTCCCCGTCGGCGGAGATTGAGCTCGCCTTGGAAGAGTTTTTTCGATTTTGTGGTGGAGTTGGCTTTGGACAGGAGGATACTTTGGTGGACAGGAGAAGTTTATTTCAGAAGCTAAGGAGTTTATTTGGAATCATCGAAGTACCATATTGAACAGCCCGACTCACTCACTAGGACTGTAGTTGGTGTTTTCTTGAATTGACGCAGTGAGACTATTGAAAGCCCCGTGCATCCATTAGGGTTCGTTCGGAGTGGACGTCAGCTGCGAAGGGTACATATGCAGTGTTGCACAATTTCCACGCTCGAAACTGTTCTTCATTCTGAGGCCGCGAAATTGCTCGAGATAGCAGGACTGCAAAATTACCCAGGACAGGGGGACCTTGAATGGCGGAATGCGCCCTCAACTGGCACTTATTGACAATCGCCGGTGGATTTACCTGTTGGGTCTAATATTCATGTAGGAAACATCCGCAGGTCTAAGCTGGTCAGTGTTGGCTATTTATTACAGTTTTTTCGGTGGCCGTGGACCTTCTTAGGAACCACGTTTGAACGGTTGGCCGAAAGCTCCTTGCCACGCAGTTGAATGAGAGACCTCTGTCTGGCCGATGTTGGATAAATTTTGAAGATTACTGGAGGTTTAGTATACTGATTCGCTCTTCGATTTAGAGCTGATCGTTGAATTTCTAACGAAGATTTGCACCATGAGTGCTGTTAACGTTACGAACGTCACGGTTTTGGACAATCCACAAATGTTTATCAACCCGCTCCAGTTTGAAATCTCCTACGAGTGTCTGACGCCCTTGGAAGACGGTGAGTGCTCTATTTGACCTTTCTTGTTTTAACTTCTAGAGACTGTCAGTGTCCCTGCTGCCTGCGAGTAAGCCTGCCTTTATCGTCGCATCGTCTGGAGAAATACAAAGCATCTAACTCTTTCTGGTCAGACTGCTCTACATTTAAAGCATAAACCCTGACTGACTCTTCATAGTTTAGATAGTTTTTTTCTTTCATGCTTTTCAGCTGTAGACTGAGTAGTGTGAAGGCTCTTTCTCGCTGTGTACTGCAATTTCTGTAAAGAAAGTAACGTTAGGTTTTTGGGTTGGATGGCACTCGCACCGCATTCCCGGTTTCGAAACCCTAGATTGAGTCGCTCACATCCCTTTCATTGCACCCCTTCGAGGATTGATTGTGAGCACGTTGTCTTCCGCTTAGGAAAACTAGCCTTTTAATTTCGTGCATCTGTGTCTCCCTACTGAACTGTGAGGCCGAGGTCGCGACTTGACAGGTGATGACTTTGTAGTCCGACCCACTTCATGCTTCTCGTGTACCTATTTTTCACTCAGACTAACACCAAGATTCATGAATCACAGATCTTGAGTGGAAGCTCACCTACGTTGGGTCTGCCGAAGATGAGAAATATGATCAAGTTCTCGATAGTGTTCTCGTTGGTCCGATCAGCATCGGAAAGTACCGATTTATTTTTCAGGTGCGTTATCTTCCTTCTCTATTTCCGTGAATGTCTCGTTGTAGGGAAGTTATGCTTGAGCACGAAAACAAAGGTACTGTGTGCGAAGCCTGTACATGACGTCTGTACGCCGGGGAATTGTAATTTTCAACATGCTACTAAAGATGACCTTTTGCGAAGCAAATGACCCAGTTATTTATCTTCATCATGTCAGGCTGATCCGCCCAAGCCCGAAAAAATCCCAGAAGAGGATATCATTGGGGTAACCGTGCTTCTCTTGACCTGCTCATATATGGGTCAAGAGTTTTTGAGAGTCGGGTACTACGTGAGCAACGATTACATTGACGAGCAATTGCGTGAGGAGCCTCCTGCGAAAGTGATTATTGACAAAGTTCAACGAAACATTTTGTCGGAAAATCCGAGGGTAACAAAATTTCCAATAGTATTTAATCCCACACCTGCACCCGCAGCTCCCCTTCCACCTCTCGTCGAATCGAACGTTCCCATGATTCAGTAGTCACAAAGGAGTGTTTTATCAGAGAGTTTTTGTTCTTCGTCAGGTTTCATAGCTCGGAGTAGACAAATTAGGAAACCCTTTTTCAAACAACTGTCGAGGGTTAGGGAAGAGTTCGGTATCATAGACCTGTCGTCAAACGACGAGAGAATACACGTGACTTCATGCTTTCCAGCGAATGACTCTGTTCATCGAGTGAGATGTCGGTACATTTATATAGCTCGCTGGGACTATCGAGTTCCCCTCTGTAAGAACCAGAATGAATCTCAGGCCTTGAGCTGGAGCTCGCTGGAGATATGATCAGTTAGCATTTATCAAGTTTCTGACAGGACCCAGTCTTCAGACATCTCAATGTTAAGTTCGACCTAGATATTCTAGCCGGACTCGCGAAGAGAGGCAACGACGCGCTCTGTATTCAGGAGCCATGTAAACACCAATATCCAGTGGTATGTACTTCTCGAGCGTTCTTTTTGCGCTTGTAATTGTTTTCATTCGTGAAGTCTCCCACATCTTTCTTGAATGAACTTTTAGGTCTCCAATGTGCACCTTGGATGCACTTCGTTGTCGGAGCGAATAGGATGGGTCAGGTCCATGACGTGAGGCTGACATCCTGTTCTACTTCTGTGGTCATGAGGTTGGTGTAAAGTCATCCTGAACTTACCAAAATTGAAGCCCTGAACTTTTGACAGTCACCTGTAATTTCGGGAATGAAAAACGCGTCAGCGACAAAGCGGAGGTGTCAGGCATGTTTCATCTGTCAAAGCCGCGCGTCCGAGGGCAAGAATCAGCATTGTTAACGCTGTTAATGTAAAGTCTCACTTTCTCCACATTTTTGTAACGTACTGATAACATGCGTACAGTTAATTTGTTGTTCCTGGGTAAGGGAGAATATCTTCTAATCTGCCTGTTGCTTGTGATATCTCAGCATGCAGGCAGCACTCAGCTCCTTGCTCTCTGAGAGAGATGATTTGGATTGAGGTTTATACATACGCACCCCCGCTCTGAGACATTTCGAATGCACAATCATTTCTTCTTTCTACTTTGGAGGTATTTTGGTCTCGTGTGAACATTGGAAACCTCTGAATACATGATTGCCCCCTTCAGTATGCGGTGCGGGTTCCCTTTCTTTATAATGAAGATCAAACCGAACTGCCTCAGAGTAGTTTCGGTAGGTTTGGTGCCGTACCTGCAGGGCTTTTTTTGGCGAATGGATAGTAATTTTCATGAATTGTGAGGAGGAAGAGATGTGTAGTTGGCTTTCCAATTTAACTTGCGTCTTGCTTGATAACTCCTGTGACTGTCGGCCCATCCTACCATGGCACCCTACAGCAATTATTTTTATCGTGCCTCTCAACATTCCAATGTATCACTTCTGAGCTAATGCACACAAACATTCGCCAATTATTTATCTTCGCCGAAGGGGTTAAAGCACTATAATTCCCACAAGAAGCTAGAATTTGCATTGGTTAGTGCGTATTTATAGAACTGGAGATTGGCGTGTAAAACAATTTATGCTATAGGTTAAAAGCAGGGGATAGCTTTTGTCCTCTAGCATGGTGCACCAAGTTGAACCAAATGTATCGATCAAGCTGAAAGCAAGGGATAAGATGTCAACTTGTGTTCTTATCCCCTAGTTTCATGCAATTCCAAAACAGCACAGTGATGAAGACGATTGGAAAACTTTTTACTCGCATCTTTGCGGAGATGATTTAAATAATTTATTGTATCTACCTAACCACAGTAAGCAAGCGAAGGTCAAGAAACAACGAGAATAGCGAAATTAGGTCCAATGTGAACCTGTCAACGTGCGATCAGAAGAGGTCCTCTGTACGTGCAGATTTTTAATTGTTTTAACAATTCATGTGTATGAAACCCCTGCTACGCTCGACTCCTTCGTCTTGGATTGAGTCTCAAACAAAACTGCGGTGCCAAATAGGTGACAAGCCGAAATGTACGCTAAAAACAATGTCAACCGTCCGACATAATTTTATGATCAAGATGGACCTATCCCAAATGTAGAAAGAGTTCTGATTATGGTTGGAAATACTATCCGTAGACGCTGAAAGCATGATGATAATTATCTTGTAATGTTGAAAATATATCATATATGCTCACACCACTTTTGGTGTGAGCTTGGTCAGTCGAGCTCCACACTCGAGGATATTATGCTCATACGACTTACTGTGTTCAGGTTGGACCAAGTACAGATAATTGAAAACGCCAGCCTTTTGAAAAGTCGTAGTATCGCTGAAACCATGCAAAGAATTCATGCTTGATATGAAAGCAAGTAGCAGAAATAATAATTGATTAAACAAAGACCAATACTGAAAAGCCTCGTCTAGGTCATGTGTATACAGATATAGGTCATGTGAAACACATGACGTAGGTTATCGAATCTCTATTTTATATCCATGTGTGCACTCTCTCATAATCATAGAATTTCGAGTCTGAGAAATAGCAAGCATGGGCCATAAAAAGTGTCTATATCATCCAATGCCAATGGCAGTTGGTAAAATCATGTGAAAAGCCATTACGAAAGAGAAGTCGAAGGTGCCGTATACAATGAAGGGCAGTAGACTCTATTAACTCTCCAGGTACGTACGCATGTGAAACATCACATAATCGTTCTCCAAGTCCAAAGGCGTCGGATAGAATGCTGGAAATTCTTCCAATCCCATTTTTATATCCAAGTAAACTCCTTCATAATTCATATATATATATGTATATACATACGGGCAGCTATTAGTAGTAAGGGGTTGATGATTTGGAGACAACCGGTCGATTCAAAAGGCAAAAGGTTCGTTCAGTGTCGTTAGGGCCTTTTCAGAGCGTGCCGAGTAAGAAGAGTAAAGAAGAATGATGAGAAATGTGCCTGTCGAGAGAGTATGTCATGATTAATAGCACATTGTGGCCGCCACGTCCAGGGAGGAGGAACGAGGTGGAAAGGGGCGAAAAGCATATATTTATGCCGACCTGTCGTGGAAAGAAAATGCAGCGCGGGGAGTGGGGGCCCACAGGTACTACGAGATAGACAACAATTGTCGTTATGTTTCTGCCTGTTTTCTCGAAGAGACTGGCGCACAAAACTTCAGATACCGAGTTCGTGTCCGCACTAAACACCCTTAACTCCATGTGAGAATCGCAGCCGATCCCGTTGTCGACGTATGGCAGCGCAGACGGCCGGCCTCCTCTCGGCCTCATTCTTCTCAGTTGCTCCACCGCCCGAATGTCTCGCTGCCGGAGGGAGGATTGATCAGTCGAGCTCTCTCAGGAATTCGAAGGCGTTGCGCAGGCCGGTGAGTTTGAGGGTCGACGGTGGCAGGATTGGTCGAAAGCTCGGGGACTCGAGTTGTAGGTCGTTAGGCGTTAGGGTTTTGGCCGAGGGAATGGGGGAGATCAAAGTGATGGAGGTGAAAGAAGTCGAGGGCACTGATCAGCACACTGTGGAGGAAGTCAGCAACTATCAGAATATGCCCACTCTGCCCATAGCTGCCGCCTTGGCAGGTACGGTGGAGTCTTGTGGTCCTGATTCTTCTCTGCCGAGGCTTAGAGCTGTCAATGAATGAGTCCGCTGAAGTCATTGAATTTGTTAAATCTCAGGGCAAACATATTCTGCAATAATGTTGGTTTTTGACATTTCTGTGTATGCTCTGTTCGCTGTTGAATATTGGGCTTGCCCGATAGAAGCGCAATCGTGTAATTTTGTCACGAGTGTCATCCATCCATCCAATTTTAGTGTTGCGTTCTGGCGATCTTGTAAGGACTTCATTGTGACATGGACAACGGGAACTTGTCTGCGCAGCGTCAACAAGTGAATCGGTGGATGTAAACGGCACCGTGTGTAATCTACTAGATCGGGGTAACAAGAAACAAGTATGCTTGTTTTACAGCAGTGAAACAGAAGATTTGGCTCGGAGAATTGCAGCAGAAACGGACTCCATCGAGCTGAAGAGTATCAAATGGGGGTAAGTATGATCCACTGCAGGTGCATCCGAGTATACCGGCACTACTCACCTATTATCATTTGGTACTTTCTCCACCAGCCTTTTCGAAGCTGTCCTCGTCACGTATGTCCAGTCCTTTCGGCATGTATAGTTGATGCTTTTTCGGTTCGCATGGTTGCAGGACTTTTGCTGACGGATTTCCGAACATATTTGTACCAAATGCTCATGGAATCCGGAGTCAGCATGTCGCCTTTTTGGCATCTTTCAGTTCTCCTGGTGTCATCTTTGAACAACTCTCTATCATCTACGCCTTGCCCCGGATGTTCGTGGCATCCTTCACTTTGGTCTTGCCCTTCTTTCCCACTGGGACATTAGAGCGCATGGAAGACGAGGGGGACATTGCCACAGCTTTCACTCTTGCCCGGATATTATCCAACATTCCAATTTCCAGGGGCGGACCGACAAGTCTTGTCATATTCGATATCCATGCACTACAGGTTTTTGATCCAGATTCTTTATGTGTCTCATGAATTAAGCGGTTGCCGCAAAGTTTTACCCATTCAGTTCACATGGTTGTTTGCGCAGAATTTACATGAAATTTGAGGCGACTCGCAACTCTGCTATCAGAGGGACCCTCCTATGAGCTTGAAGCTAGGGATGACCCGGGAGGCGTGGTTTTGCTGCATGTCTCTTGTAAACGTAGAGTTCCAATTATTTGCGCACTAATTTCTCGCAACTCGATTTCGCCAGGAACGATTCTACTTCGGTGACAATGTTTTACCGTGCTTTGAGAGTGGTATTCCCCTATTAAAGCATCGGTTGCACCAGCTTCCTGACGCAAACAATGTAAGTAATTGTTATCCTGAATATTAGTGATTGATTTGTTTTCTTATGCTGATATGATTTTTACATGTGCATTTTGTGGCTGTTCGTTCCATGCGCCAAATGCTGAAAGCGTGTGCATGTTCCTAAGTTTTACATACCCTGAACTGGTGAGTATGTGTTTGATACATCGCAATTTCTACGTTTTTCGTAATTTTGCAGGTTAGCATTGCCTTTCCTGATGAGGGTGCATGGAAGAGGTTCTACAAACAGCTCCAGCACTTTCCTATGGTATGATTTCTTGAGTTTAGTAGAGAATGGATTCCTCATCCCAGTCTATATTTGTCAGGCTGCGACAGGCAGAGATCAATAGTACAGCTTAGTGGGGGGACTTTCATAACTGTTCACTTATCAGCTATGATAGAAATTCAGTTGACATCTTACAAGGTTTTTGCATTTCTCGCTTCTTAGATAATCTGTACGAAAGTTCGAGAAGGAGATAACCGCATCGTGAGGCTCAAAGAAGGTGATCCAAAAGGCAGGCACGTCGTAATTGTAGACGATTTGGTGCAATCAGGAGGCACCTTGATCGAATGCCAGGTCTCACCTAATCACTTATCCGCCTACCCGCCTACCATTTTGATTGTGCGTTTATCTACGGTTGTTTCAAATTATTGGAAGAAGAGCTTGTTTGAAACATCGTTCTGTATTCCTCACTTACAGGAATTCTGAACATCCCCTTGGACACCATTTTATTTCTCACGTGTTATGTCTCATCTGTTCTGTGAATAACACAGAAACTTTTAGAATCCCTCGGAGCGAGCAAAGTGAGTGCATACGCAACACATGGTGTCTTTCCCAAGAGATCCTGGGAGCGCTTCGCTCATGGTCCAAATGGTGAGACTGAAAATCCCATACGTTTTCCGAAGAAAGTCCTCGTTCTTTGGCTTAGTATTGACTGTATCTAAGAGGTCTTTCAAATGATTTTCCTACGTATAAAGCTAATTCTGTTGAAGACGTGTGCCGCCTGTTTTGCCTGGCAGTAAAGTTTGTGCCCACGTCACTGTGTGAGAAGGTTCATACACTAGAGGCAACTAGTGTATGAACCTGCTAACACAGTGACTAACTTCATTGAAGCTCAGCTAGCAATATCTTGAATTTGATTTTTAGTATCTCATACATATTCTATGAAGAAAACTTAGTTCATTTCAACTTTTGCAATTTTCAACATAATAGTTACTGTCGATGTTACTTGTTATTAGATTCGGATATTCTCACCTCGGACCCTAACTGGTCTTGTTTCTTGAGTATTACAGCTCAAATAAAGTGAAAGTCGTAAAGACGGGTGCAGTTCTATACGCGGTTGTTAATTATTATTTTTGTGTGCACTGTCGATAGGTTCTCAAGGTTTTACACATTTCTGGATCACCGATTCATGCTCAACGACTGTAAAGGAGGTGATGGGTAAGGCTCCATTTGAGGTTCTTAGTTTAGCTGGCTCAATAGCTGCAGCTCTTCATATATGAGTGCAGACTTATATTAGGCAGGATTTGGAAACTCTCGGAGAATCAAGAACGATTAGATTTCATTCTACTTCTAGATTTAGATTGAGGCTGTCATGTCACATATCGTTGGATATGTCGGAGTTGAGGTTAGAATATCGTGACGTAGTTTCATATCAATTTCACGCTGTCAGTGAGACAGGGTAAACCTTGTCTCGCTTTTCTTAGTTCCCTAGAATCTTTAGATCTTGAGGTGTCAGTTATGACCATTTAGCGCGGCGTCTCAAAGAGCGGTCGTGGGATCTAAGTTTTGTAGAATAGGAGGGTAGTAAAGAGATTATTATAATATATATTGACAATTTTTCCCACCTCGTTGTTCTCATCAATCAATTAGTTTTTATGTTCACACCTTCAGCATCAAGCGGAGGTAGATCAGCAGTTTTAACATATCCAAGACACTGTGTTCACATGATGTTTGTTGACCAGAAGCTGTCGTCTGTCTATGTTTTAATTCTGTTGGACCACGGCCCAGTAACACATCTACGCTAGCTAACACAACACAGCTATCTGTAGATGTGTTAGCTAGCGTAGCGCACTAGTGGCGCTGGCTGTGGTGTTATGTATCACTCATCATGAGAGGTTGAGAAAGGATATCTTCAACGCGACTCTTATCAACAAAATTGATGCACATACGAAGTAAATCACCTTCCTTGTCGCGTTGTATCCATCACCTGAGATCCAGATAAAATCACTCACTTCTTGTCCGCGTTGTTAAGAGAAGCGCTCAGTTGTCAGCATCTTGTGGTTCCTTCATCTCAGCTAGTATTCTCTAAAGTCGAGTCGTTCTCTCACCAACCTCATTCCTCCAATAGAACAAACTGTACAATGCCAGCACTATTTGCCACTCATTGAGATGAAGATATGTACACCTCCTTACCACTCTTTGGAGAGAGTACTGTGATGAGACACCTATATAGCACTGATTTTGAACCACGGAAGTTTCATCCCTCACACATTACAACTGAAAACTTCTCGACCAAGCTACTGTTGCTGTGCAAGAATGGAAAGGAAATAAGATTATGATGGTTCAAGGTGGACAAAACGAGCTAGAGTGGACAACTAAGTTCTTAAGTGGGTTCTTAAGTGGGAGAGGTCTCTTCCCAAGAGCTCGAGGTGGACAAACGACAATATACCAACGTAACCATGGACACGACTTTGCGAACCAGCTGCTGTAACGTCGGGTTCCTACAAGTTGGCAGAGATCCCGGAGGCCAGAGGTTCCAGGCATGTAATTGAAGATGGTCAATTTACTAGTTTGCACGAGTCGGTCCCTTGTTCTCGCTTGACATAAAAAATCTCGTTCTTTCGGTGTTATGAACGCAAGAAGTACCTTTCATAAAAATAAATATTAATGCTTTGTAAGTCGAAGCACTAACAAGCCTTTAAATAAGGACATGATGGTTGTCGTCTCATGATTAACGAGGAATTGTAGAAGCGGAACTAGAAATAACAAATACACTAACACAAGTTATATCTTTAATGTTTTATATTACATCATTTGTGTTTAAACTTATCTTATCAGAATTTATGTTAAATTTTCTTTTGTAATGAATATATAATTCCGACCAATAGGACTGAGTTAACGTGTAAAACAAGCGGTAGATTTGAAAATAAACTATCAGAACATTTGATACCGAGTAAATTCCATTTGATTACCCATTTTACGATCGACGTCATTAAATTATCACCGTAATTAGATTATTATATGTATTGCTAGTACATGTGTGTGTGCGCATATACGGAAATTTCGTGATCTGCGTTCAAAGGTACAGAATTTATTCTGTATTACTCCCTTCTTCCCGTTTTGATCAAGTTAGAAAAATATTAATAAAAGGTGCCTTGAAGTCAATTTGGTAAGCATTATAAGAAAAGGTAACATATCGGTTCGTAGGACATGGAACTGGCGATACGCGAGAATCAAAGACCATGCACAACGTGAAAATGGGATAATTTCAAATCGAGTATCGATTGAACAAGAAAACGTTCCCTTATAAGAATTTCAAGGTCACGTGAAAATCTACTTGCGGATCTTTGAGACATCTTGTCTAACGTGGAAGAGTAGGATAATGCATCCAAGAGCCAAATTCTTCATCCCGTTATGGAAGAATGGAAGAATGGTGAGCCAATCCCATGAGATCACACAACGTAGTTCCCTCAATCGGGAACTTGATTCATGTCCATCGTCTTGCGCCAGAAATCTGGGATGGTGAGCACCCGAATGGGTCTGCAGTGTGGGGAAAATGAGCGACGAACCTCGTCGTCTGGTTTGATAATCGACCGATCCCTGAACACCAACCAGTATACAAGATCGTCGTCACGCCGAACGCATTCCGGCGCTCGGAAGCGCGAGCAGTGCCTTCCCACCACTCGACGACGAGAGAAACGAGAACAAAAAAACACGCCGCATTCTTCAACATCATCTCCGAGTTCGGATCTCGGTGTTCGGGCCGACTGAGCACGCCCACCGCATCTGTCGGTAAGTGCTTTCTAATCTGCGATCGTATCCGCAATGACTCCGGATGTTAAAACAATTTTGTCTCGATTATCTGGAACTCCAAATCAACCGGTTCCGGTTGATTTGGAGTTCCAGACATTTAGAGCTCAGTCAGTCACTTGTACGAAGAGCACGAGGAGCACGAAGAGCAGAAGCTCGGGCAGATACGATATCGATTGTACAAGAACACGGAGATGCCGGATCATACGCGTGCACTGGTATGGCGTTTGGTGGTCGCATTCGGGCTCGGCTCCGTGAGCTTGCCCACCCCCCGTGGACTGTGCAGTGCGTCGGTCGCGGCTCCGGGCTTTGTCTTCTCGGTCGTAGGAATGCAGATCAGGGTGCAGTTGACGCACGTCGGGAGTTAAAGCTTAACGTCCAGCGAGGTAATCAAGGTTGTTGTGTTAGCACGTGATTAGCACGACGATAATCGCCGGCGCTGGCGTTCGGAAATTGTTTCTTTCTTGGTCGGCCGAGCGAGCAAGCAAGAATTCGCCGCAACCGTCGCGTCCAGCCTTCTTCGAGTCTTTCTTTCTTTCTTTCTTTCTTTGTTCGCCCTGTGCGCCGTGGGCGACGACCGCTGCCGAGCGATGCCATTTCTTGTTGTTGTTGTTGGTGTACGTGAGTAAGTGAGTAAGTCAGTCAGTCTTGGAACCCACTTTCATGCGCGCTCTTCCTCGTCGAACAGCTCGTCGAACAGCGCGCACTTCGGCGAGCGCGGCGAGCGGCAGCTTCTCTTTCTGGCGCTGAATGCTTGTTGTCCTCGGTGTCTGGGATTTCTGGCGATTGGTCTTAGTGACGGCCGTTCTCGACGATCTGGGATTTACTCGTTCGCGGAGAGTGTCATCCGCCGCCTCTTGCGATCCACCGACGTGGAATCTTGAATTCACGGTGAGTCGGAATGCTTGACAGCTTTCTTCGTCGTCTAGAGTCCTCCGTGTTAGCACGTCCTGAGACTACTATCTACGTTCGAAGCTATCTGAAGCTGCTAGAAAGTTGGAAGTCAGATTCTCGCTTAGTTGCTTATTGACGAGAGCCAGGACCTCCTCATTCATCTTCGTTTTGAGATTTCCGATTGACGGACCTCAGTGAAGCGTCAGTTTGAATGAAGCTCAAGGTCTTTTCGTTGTTCTTCGATCGATCTTCTTCAGCTGTCCGAATGGTGTTAGGACGGTACTGGGATTTCAGGCGAGTTTCTACTTCGCACTTTTCTCTTTGTGAGAAGAAGTGAGGGTTATATAAACTTTTATATCGTTTGTCAGCGCATCTACATCAGTGAAATATTTCCAAGCTGTCTCAGTTTATACTTCTGACCTGGCACGTGAAGGTAAAGCAATTGTGAATGTGCTCGTGCAAATGGGCCTGCGGTTACATCTCCTTCGTGTCGATTATAGAATAATACATAGCATCAAGCCTTGGAGCGCGTGCCTTCATATGTACTCAGACTTCCCCTCCAAGTCCATCTTAATTCCTTGTAAAATGAGTTTCCCTCTCTCACTGTGGTATCGGCGCTCATATGACAACAGGTTAGCAACTCAGCACATTGTTCCTAGGTAAAGTTGATTCTATATTGCCCTCCTTATTTCAATGCTGGTCAGGTTCAATCACTCTGAGTCGTATCATGTTTGTTGCACATGGTCGCTTGGGTTCGCGGCGTTTTAAGCACGTTCAATCTTCCGCCGAGGAAGTTGTGGTTGTACGGTTCTGCGTGTGCTTATGTCAAGATAATGCTTAAGGCCGAGTTGGGAAAGATCGAAACAGTTGTCTTCAGCTTGTGCATTCATCGACGAAAAGTTTAGAGCCCACCTATTTGACGGTTAAGGTTCAGAACATCATTTGGGAATCATGAGGATACCTTCTAGATGCAAATCGGTGCATTTTATGTGGCTAAATCTGCTGTAGCGCGCATGTATCGAAACTCGTTCGTGAAGGAACTTATATATCTGGTTTCTAAAGTTAGCAGATAATTTCAATTGAACTACGTGATGAATTATTATGACGATTGAGCACCACGTGAAGTATCTTTCTAGATAATGTTTACATGACATTCGTGTCGAATTTTCGATAGGATCTCGGTATACGCACATGTTCATAAAAAATGGTGATACATAGCAATAGAAGAGGGAATACAGCCGATGAGTTCCTCGGAAATTTGTGGATGTTATGTCCATTCTGAAACCCCACTTAATTCTCGTGTCGTTTCACTCTTGAAATCGTCAAGCTCCTCCACTAAGTCCTACATCACGTACGAGAACGATCAGTCTAGTGAACTCTCTGCTTGTTGAAGAAATGTCAAGTGCAGTTCTCGCGACTATGATGTTGTTCATTTAAGCACAGGTTTCTTGAGAGAAATTCAAGGCGTTTGCTGTTTTCATGGTGCCCTTCTTTATTGAGCCCCCTGAGCGTTGTGCGACCTTCAGTACAGTAGTATCATCAGTAGCACTCAGATTGCAGACAGATCTCATCCGAGATCTGTCTGCAATTTGTGGCAATCATAACTTGCAATCTGTAAGCGAGATGTTTATGCATTCAATCGGTCTCAAAGTGCTCACAATTCTCACCTTTATCGACAGGTGTTCATGAAGATTCTGCAGTCATATCTGGCATGCCCCTTCAAGGTTATTGGTGTATGTAGCCAGTCAGGGCCTTATTGCCAGAACGCAGCCTTCTGAAGTGGCTCGTAATGGATTCAATTGCTGACTGCGTAGGCCCGCACAGGGCGAATTTAAGACGGTACACTCCTGCCCATCGTCATTGTTGGCCGAACGGAAGGCTGATTTCTAACGGACAACCTCAAATTGAAGGCCAATTATCCAGGTTAATAATCAGAGAAGCTTCCCTGTGATAAGTTCTTTTGTACGTGGAGTTCAAATTACGTTTGTAGGGCTTTAATATACAGTGCCCATTTCTCTCTTAAGTTGACGATTGATGAACATTGCCGAACTTTCGTAACTCAAGACATGAGGAAATTTCCTGAATTTCTACTCAGAGTATCTCTTCCCCTTGAGGTCTACGAGAAGATTGGAGATCGATCGACCTACTTTACCAAACAGGTGATTCATTCCTGCAGGAGTCCCACACTGGAATTAGCATATCAAGCACAAATTGCTGCCTGTAACTATCTTGGCTATAGCCCTCGCGAGTTTTCTGCCTCGCAGTTCCGCCAGCAGGTACACAATTTGATGCCAAACATGCAAGGAATCCTTCACTGTCACTTATCGTAAGTGCATAACTGTAATCCTTGAAGACATAGCTACTTCTGCGTGCCGAGAACACAATTGCGACCGACTGACTACATTTATCTCCTAGTTCTATCGGTAGACTGCCCTCCTCGTCCTTTAAACATTGAGCACACTTTGAGCACGAGCTCTAACAGCAAGTCCATGTTAGAAAGATGTCAACAATCTAGACAATCTTATATTTTGTTTCAGAATTAGCGAATCCAATTGTTCCCGGATGCACAGTAAATCTGCTGTGTTGCAGATGATACCAGCAGACTATTCTCGCCCTTTGGAGCTGCACATGCATCATCACCACCATCACTACGTGGCATCTCCTACCAGTCCTTTCTCCCAAACAGTCAATACAGCTTATTACGGAGAGCCAGAGGTGGTTGCGCCAGTGGCCGATTTGAGCATTCGCGTGGGTAGTCTGCACTCTCAAGCATTCAATGCAATAAGTGTTATTTATCCTCTTCTAGGCCTGCATAAATCTCATTAAGCTCATTGTTACGTTTCGAAACTTCACCTGAGGAAATTTTTGCAGAATCCCTCTCAAGGACTTCTGCGCTCGCAAGGACATTCTGAAACCAATCAAAGGTCATCGTCGAGTTGTCTGTGGCTAAAAAATCAAGCATCTGAAGATGAAGAAGAGAAACCATCTTCCAGGTACGGACAAGAAATCAGGGGAGACAGCAATGTCCCCAAAGAAGGAGGACTTATCGTACGGGACTCTAGATCTCACAGGGACTTCGACAATGAACAACAAAAGCGTTTAGATAGAGAGATGCCAGGTTACAGACAAACCTTCGCAACTTCCAGGAAGGTCGACGTGAACACTTTAAGAGGTAGTAAGGGCGAAAACGATGCAGAGAGAGGTGGGTATCAAAGCCCCTTTGGTTCCCAATCCGATGAGAACTTGGCTACTGAGGAGAGCGTAACTCCCACTATTTACGAATCTCGCCCCACTTCTCAAAGGGCCTTGCAAGGTGTAATAGATCCATGGAAACCAGATTGCATACATGGAACAAAAGCAGAGTCGGGGATTATTGTGACGCCATCTTCTTTGGAAAGAAATTGCTCACAGGTAATACAAAGACCTGCACCACCAGGACGATTACGCACCAGGCATTCCTCACAACGGCAGTCCAACTCAGTGTATGGTGAAAGGAGCGGTTCTAATAGCACTAAATATGAAGATACAAACTCAAGCGCCGGAAATGATTCCACGTGCGGTTCGGAAATGGCATCCGGCATTTTGTGCAATTGGGCTTGTGGTAGTCGTCCAGATAAAAGCCAGAAAAAGGAACCGATCCGAGCAGCCAGAAAGAACTATGGTGCAAGAGCTTCACGGCGACAAGCGTCCAGAGAAGCACGAGCTTGGGAATCCAAAGACAGGAAGACGTCGAGAAGCTTTTCTCATGCTGAAGCACGAGATGATGAAAAGAATAAGCATCCTTGCATTTATGAGCTGGATTCGCAAAAGGAAGTTGTACAGAAGGTTTGTGCGCCTGCAATCTTTGATTCAACGATTGGCTGAGACATAGCAGATTTCTTCGCCTTGGCTACATATACAGTACATGATCTTTTTTCCTAGACAGGCAAAACGATAGCTTCATGTTTCTTGATATGCTAGAAATTGGGCTCTAACAGTGAGTCGTAAAATTGTCAACAGGCTGATTTAAGCAGATGTGACTACGAGAATGGAGGAACCCGGCCGGAAGGAGAAGCCTTTGTGGAAGATGTTTACCATGAAAATGATCGGAGAGGGACAGAAAAATTGAAGTTGGAGTATCTACAAGATTCCGTGTTGGGTACACCGTTCTATACTCCATGGACAGAACAAATCAAATCCATACAGAATACTTCGCAAAATCGATTTAGACAGGCTGTAGAAGCAGCTTGGAAGACGAGTTTAGGTACGAAGAGTGGGCCTCAAAGTGAGGATCCAAGCTTCGAAGAAGTTCTCGGAACAGGCGGAGCGTCGCAAGATTCACCACAAGAAGATCTGAATTCGCGAATTGTTTCTCGGGTGACCGCAGAAAAGAAGGTATGCGCATTTGAAGCCTCAGCCAAGGTGATCATAAGATGCTTGGCCAGGATCAAGCTACGCGTATGGCAATAAATAGCAGTCCTAAGAGGTTAGGATGGTTGTGTTAGAATGCTCGTGGTGATAGAGACCATATATACATTCGAATGCTGGAGAGTTTCGGGCTTTCATTCGTTGTATATGTTCAAATCTGTGCACCTGCACGCAGGTTGCCGAAGAAGATCTTCGTGGTCTACTTGATGAGCGAGCTCTGTGTCATGCCACTTGCAAGGAAGAGCTGGAACAAGGTGTCACCGATAGGTTGAGGTTACAAGAGCTTCTCCAGTTGGAGAAGCTGAAACTTGAAGTTACTGAGCGTGAACTTCGGGAAGTGAATAGGTGCTTTCATGAAACCTTGGTAGCTGAAACAAAGGTGAACAAGAAAAATACCTCTGAATCAAGATTGGAACAACAGTCAAAGCAGACACTCATCAACCCAGCTGATGTTGGAGTGCGTGATGACATTCACCTCAAGCTGATTTCTGAATCAGAAGCTCGCATCGACGCTGAAGCTAAAGCGTCCTATTTTGAAGCTTCAGCGAAGGTTATCTTCGAAGCCAGCAAATTTCCAACGCCTTTCGCATTCCTTCTGCCATTAATAGCTTCTCGAAGAAAGAATCCTCATAGTAGTCTAAATTAAGACTCACTTGCTTCTATGGTAGTTCCAGGTCTAACTATTCTGTTTCTAGCAGGCAGCGGAGGAGAAAATTAAGAGTCTGCTGAAAGAAAGGAACTCGTTTGATTCAAGATATAAGGAGGAAGTTGAGCGTAACAGTACAGATAAGAGAGCATCACAGCAGTCGACGGAGTTGGACGATGCCTCTCCGGAGCGCACAGAACAAACGCAAAGTCAGAATATGGACTTTGGAGATTTTGTAGCCTCCGGTGTGAACAAGCCATCAGATGGTGCTGCTCAGGTATAAAACAGATGCTGCAAATCATTCTGGACATAGCTGCATGAAAAGGACACGTTACACGAAAGTCAAAAGCGTATAAGCAAGTTGATAAATTACCTTCTTCGATCCTCTTCTATACAGTGAAGGAGGTCAATTAACGATTGAAGTAGTTTGTTCTTGTCCAAATATATTCGATTTTAGAATTGAATCTAAGACACTCTTTTTCTTGACAACACTTGGGTGCACAGAATGGAGTCCACGGCAAAGCTTCCGTTCAAGCTGGACTGAAGCAAAAGTCAGAGCAGGAGGATGCACGTAGACACAGATCACATTCACTATCAGAAATTGAAGAGGCTCGACAAGGAGAGGTGAAAGAGATGGTAGATAGGAGGTCCTCGTCATTAACACCAGCTGTATTTTCGAAGCAGAAAAGACTGTCAAATTCTGCGGCTGAAATACGGAATGAACTATCAGAAATTGAAGAGGGTCGGCAAGGAGAGGTGAAAGAGATGGTAGATAGGAGGTCCTCGTCATTAACACAAGCTGTAGTTTCGAAGCAGAAAAGACTGTCAAATTCTGCGGCTGAAATACGGAATGAACTATCAGATATTGAAGAGGGTCGACAAGGAGAGGTGAAAGAGATGGTAGATAGGAGGTCCTTGTCATTAACACCAGCTGTAATTTCGAAGCAGAAAAGACTGTCAAATTCTGCGGCTGAAATACGGAATGAACATGAAAGTGAGAAGACCCAGCCCCCTTTTCTTGCCACCGGGGGTGACAACGAGAAGCAGCTGGCAGGTTTGAATATTGAGAACTCAAATCTCAAGAGAGACAAGAAAAGACTGATTTCACCAAATTCCAGCTCAAGGGTGCAAAGGTGGACACCAGATATACCTTTTTCTGTGAGAATTGAGAGATGTAGCTTAGAAGACGGTGAAACCACCACAATTATGGATATTTCTCCTAATTTTGCAGACTCTGATCAGCGTGAAATTTCACCAAGTTTTAGTTCCTTCAGGCTCGAAGCAGATGAGACCATTGACACGCAGAGTACGAATACTAGCGAATTAAGTGCTGAGCTTGATTCGAAAGTTGGTGACGACGAAAAGTTGGTAAGTCGAAGAGTGAGATCCTATAGCTACGATATGTCAGATCAGCTCATTGAACATCCTGATATGGGACGAGAAGAAAACGAGGAAGCGATATCTCAGGCCGAAACGGACCTCGAACAGATCTCCACAGGCAGGGCAGTAACGATCTATCAGCAGAGTGCTGATGATGGCACAAGCACGTTTGAAGAAGAGCACAGTGCCTTTGAGTCGGAGAGTCCGAAAAAGCATCTCTACGCAAGAGAAGAGCGAACTCCACGAAATAAAATGCATTACAAGCTTTTTGATGCTCAAAAGCGGCATGGTCCGGATAAGCGTGGAAAATATGTTAAGAGGGGTGAAGACCACCCGAGGATGAAAGACGTCGAAGACGACATCGATGCATTCGATCATCACCTTATGCTGCTTCCATCCAAATGGAAGAAAGCGGCTAAGGCGGAGCTGCGCAAAATTATTGAAGAGCAGGAGTTGACTTGGAAAATTGCTGAGGATGCTATGGCCGAGCTGAGTAGAAGATTGGAGCTTCTGGAGAGATACAAGATGGGGTTACAGGATAACTTAGGAACTAGCAGGGCTACCGATATTATGGACTCTTCAACAATACCGGAGAAGAAATTCGAAAGCTCTCCTGGAGGCTTCAGTTCTCTGTATCATTCTCCCATTTATGAGGATCGAGTGGGAATACTTGAGAGAGAGACATACGGAGGGATATCTACACAAGGAGACCCCTCTGACAATGAGGTTCCTGCGAGGCAACAATCGAACAATGTGGAGATTCAGAAATTGAAAGCTGATATTGCAGAGCTGAAAAGTCAACTTACCCGCAGAAGCAGCCGAAATAGCAGTCCCCGAATGAAGGTTGGTATACCTTGTATCTTGATTCTCCACATTTCACCCTCTGCTCTGTTCAAGCTGGTTGAACCTGTAAGTGAAATTGCCTTCAAGCTGTTATCGGTTTGGATATTGTTATTGAGATAGAGAGGTTTATAGTCGTGGTCTTGAAGTCTAGTGAAATCCCTTTTCTTCTATATTCATTCTGTAAAGCTCTTGTAAATAGCTTTTCTTCTACCTGTAGAGCGTTCACCATAATCTCTTCCATAAGAAGGTTGATTGCGCAGAGGGTAAAGAGAGTTTGTATATATTGGCGAACCAGAAGTGCTGAAACGTGTATCTGCACATTTATGTCATGAATTGTTCCATTAAAACAAGTGTTTGCTTCTGACTTATATGACATATGATATGTTTGTGTAGATTCTGTACTTAGTTCTATGTGGATGATGTGAATGATCCTATCTTTGCAAACTTGTCAAGGAAAGTTACCCTGCCCCGAAACGCCATTTCTGATTGAAGTTTGGTTTTTGTGGGCATATCTGCCCCTGCAACATTGGAGAGCAGAAGTCAACGATTGTTGATCGCAGAACTAAGTGCAGCCCCAGGTGTACCATACTATGAAATCTGGAAATGACTTCAAATTTGTTGAGGTTGTCTCCTTTTGCCTTAGTAAACCTAGATAAAGGTTTTCTGTTCTCAATAATTGGCTTGGCCTAGATTATGGCCTTCAGTATGACTTGGAACCTACGTCGTATTAGTTATGAGCGAGAGATGGAGCAATTTGCTTGATCAACTATCTACACCTCTCAGCCGGTGAGGTCACCTATGCACAGGCTGAAACCTTTTGAGTTCGTGTTTGCCTGAATTCGCAAGCAGCACATCATAAACTCTCTCGACTGCCATGGGTTTCTTCAGCCATGTCCTGATCTATCTTGATAGCACGAGCCCTGTTTACCGCGTACCCCTTGCTTTGGACCTTGAAGAATTGGGTTATAGCGACGTTTTGCAAGAGAATCGGTTTAAGCTCCGTGCAGCTCTTAGAAATATGCTCCTGGAACTGTGTACTGATTTCAATGCAACATCTTCTAGGTATCTCGATAGAAGTTTTTCCTGTTCGGTCTCATTACACGAGTGCATGCACAACTTGGGCTGAACATTTGGTTTCGCAACTGGTTGCCACCTGCATCTACCTGGTTCGATCTATGCACTTGACATTGATTACACCTGAACTATATTTATACAGAAATCACCGAACTGAAAATGGCTACTCGGCTGTGACAGGAAGGCTTTCGATACTCTTCATCTTCTTCTCCTCCTACCCCGCCGTTGCCACCACCACCAGCAACTCCAGCAACACCGCCTACACCACCTGTTGTCCCCGACTTCCCGATAAACCAGAAGCATGCCTTTCAAGAATCCTCAAATAAGAGTGATGTTTCATCCTTTAGAGGTTGTGAAAATTATTGGGCTGGTCCAGATGTTGAGGTTGGCATTCTTGAACCGGAGAAGTTAGAAGCTGAGAATGTGAAAATCGTGACTTCACAAGCTACCGATAATGGATACTTTGGTCACCTGGGAAGGAATGTGGACAGGCAGCGGGATCACGAAGATTCTCATTCAGACGAGTATCTGTTGGAGAGCAGGTAATATACTATCAAATTGTCCTACGGCCTCAAACCAATACAAAGTTCTGTTGATAAAATAAAGTCCACAGCAGCAATACATTAAACAGACTGGAGAAATGTACTCCAATTGCTAACTTTAATCTTATAAAGGTTCATGGGGCACATGGCACTCGTTGTTAAAGGGCCAATGGGTCATGCTCCTAGATAAAGCTCATGTATATAAAGTCAGGAGTTGACTATATTTGACAATATCTCAGCTGGAAGACAGACGCTTGAAAAACTGATGGCTACTCGTGCTTGCTAGTCCCTCTCTCCATCTCTCTTATTTAAATCTGCATCGTTCACATATCTTGTATCTCGGAGGTTCTTGTTATTTTCAGCTTCTTCAAATAAAGGCTTCTGACACCCGTATACACCAATCTTATGTCCTTAATTGTGGAGGTCTGCAATCTCCTTAAAATTCAATACTCTTGATCGGCCTGCCTCTGTTCCTTTCCGTTCTGTAGAAGTGCGTGTGGCTTGGGTTGGGGCCATGGAGGCAGTCCTTGAAATCAAGTTTTGTGTTCGAATTGTAAGGATCCCCATTACTACTCAGATTTGATTCGCTTTTATACTGACTCTTATATCGGTCGGTTTTGCGATATCAGAAGCTGGGTACCGATACCAGACGATGATAGTGTTGATAAAGGTTGTTGGATAGCTAGCAACCTTTATAAGAACGGGGACAGAAATAGGTGGGCGACTGGGGACAAGCTTTCCGCTGTTAAGTCTTCAAGAATACGTCTCCCAAGCAGACGTGGCTCTAGAAATGATAGTACCATATCTTGCAAGCTGAGCTCGGATGAAGGTGCGTTGGATGTATTCACCACTTTATCTGAGTGTCTTCAACTTCAGCGAATTCTGATATTTTCGTGTAATTTCATTTCAAATCATTGTTTTGCTGAAAGTGGCTTTTTTGCAGGAGAATTAGATGTTTTTAAAGACGCTGTGCGCAAACTCTCCAACATTTTTTGGGAGCAAGAGGGCAAGCTGAAAAATTTCCAGGGAGAAGTCAACATGGCAGAGGCCGACCCATCTCATTCACTTGAGATGCGAAGTTTTTATGTAGATCTGCTCAAAGAAATGAGTCAACAGCTCGGGGAGCTTTGCCGCGATCTTCATGGAGACTCTTCTGAGGTCTGTTGGCACTTTGCAGAATGGATGTACCTGTAATAATTGATATTGATTTGACCAACTTGTGTATTTAACTTTGAAAATCGTCACCAAAACTTTGTGTTCGCAAAAAACACCTGGCTATAGAGGGCTTCCGCTTCTGAGGTTCGTGTTGTTCTTTCAGAAAAAAAAAGCTTAAAATTCCGGATTAAAGCGGATCAAGTCTCTAGACTATCTGTACTTGTACATAGAATATTCACTAGTAGCTTTCTCTTTGTGATGTCCTGTTCCATTGAATGCTCGAAGACACTAATTACTGTTTCTACTTTAAGTCGATTTCGAAATTTCTCCCTCCTTTTACAGTAAGTTATATAGTCGGATTGGACGGCATGTTCTTTCTGATCTCTCCTTTTTGTACTCGGCGCTCTCTACAATACAGGGTAGCCTCGAATGTCTTTCGAGGCAACTTTTTGTTCATTGATCTTAATGCAAGTCTTCTTGATATAGGAGGTAATTTGCACCTTCTTAAGACCTAAGCTGGTCATGGCTGAAGAATATGCATGGTTCGATGAACACTTCAGATGCACACATACCCGATTTCGAAACTCGTGTCTGACTCTTATTCTCACAAATTTGTTCGATTGTTGTGGAAGACTCAAGTTGCTTTTATCATTGTAAGACACAATAGGTGTGCTTATGAGCTCATCAGCGATCACTTCTCGAGCTATATCAAAGTGTGTCTCAGTGAAAGCGGGGGCGAGTTGACGCAGGCCCATTTCCTAAGCTGATTACAGCATCTAAATTTCTATGCAGTGCCAATAGAGTCCACCCTAGCAAATTGTTTTCTGCTTGTATTTTTGGTACAAGGAAATTTTTTCTTCCGTCTAGTTCTTGTAGTCTGCTAAACAACTTAAAGAACGACTTGGACTGCCTGCCATTCCTGCTTCAAATTATATACTTCACAAAATAAAATGCGTGCTTTTGCTGAGCTGTGCTTTGCGTGCTGCGTGACTGTATGCACTTTGTCTAGGATAATAAGCTTTCGCTACAAACCACTTTTGCCTCGTGCAGCTATCATTCCTCTTAGTCTTTACTACTCATACTGAGTACTTGTACTCGGCCTTGCTAAATGTATATACATAACGTTAGACCCTCACCTTTTATGGAAAACGTTGTTCCTTACGTGAAATATCTTCTGCAGAGTATAAATGATCGTGGAACGATGGTCCGGCCGCTTGTTGGTATCTCAGAAGTGGAGAATCTGAAAGCCGCCTTAGAAGCTGCAGAGCGACACATAGAAGAGGAGGTTAACATCAATCGTCAACTTCAAGAGAAGCTAGATGCAGGAGATAAGCATTTATGTAATGTTTTGGAAAATCATGCAGAAGAGCTTTCGAGGAAGGAAAAGACCATCAGTTTTGCTCAACAGATTAACCTTCAACTCTCCAATGAGATGTCCGTAACAGAGTCAAGTTTGGCAGAGCTCCGAGCCCGCTATAAGGGATTGGTTTCCAACCTCGAAAGCCAGCTGAAGGAAGCCAGACACGAGGTATGGTCGGTGCTTAAGAGAAGACATTGGAGTAAAAAAAGAGCTCATGTGCATACAAAATGCCACTTTGCATATACAAATACCAGCTGATCAGTTGACATGCCTGTTGAGTGTGTTGTTTTCGTCTACTCACGAGAAGTGTAGAGCACAGTGCATGAAAATATCTACATTCTCGACTTGTTTTCCAGGCAGCAAAGAAAGCATGAAAACACTGGATTTGCTTCCTCATTCTTCCTCACTGTTTGGTATTCTTACAGGTCTCAGGCCTACAATGCACACTAAGCGAGTTCAAGCTCGAGGTTGAGAAAAACCAGAGTTTGATTCAGAACTTAGAAAGAGCAGGGCAAGAGAAGGATTCACAAATCCAAGAGCTTACGAGACGAATGCAAGCCTATCAGGTCGAGACTGATCAAACGTCCGTGGAGAAACTTGAACTCCTAAAAAATATTCAGGCCTTGAGAAGGGAAGCAGACGATCAGCAGCGACGTATAGTAGAACTTGTGAAGATCAACGAGGAGCTTCTCGAGTTTGCTCAATCCAAAGAAGACGAGGTACCGAAACAAATGACCTTACTATCCGAAATCGTTTCAAAAACAAGTACAAGGTTTCCGACTTTCACGCTCTCGACCTTCATAATGATGAACTTTGATCAACTATGATAAATTAGAGAAGAACGTTGTTGGGTTCATTTGGAAGGAGAACAATGTATCGAATTTCCATAAGATAGAAGTATTTTTCTCTTTCTGTATTTTGGTTTCATTCTCAACTTCTCAACCCTTCCTGATTCTAGCACCGTTAGAAAAAGAAAACATCTGTGGAAGAAAGATGTCCACAGTAGTTGAGAAGGACTTTAGATCATGGCGGTTATACTTGAGAAACTCGAAGTTCATTTTTTATTGGCTTTTTCGAGTCAGTAATTTGAGGATGATATGAGGAAATTATGAGGAAATTGATCACCCAAGTAAAAGTATTGTTTACCTGATTTACGTGCTTTTTACGGGAAGAACTGAGACTTCAAGAAGCCGAACGTCATATACGTGATACTGCAAATCTGAAAATGTGCAGGTGAAGGGTCTCAAGAAAGAAGTGTCGAGATTGCAGCAGGTTTCCCAGGGTAAGTCTGATGAAGCTAATGGGCTTGCAAGGGAAGCTTCCATAGCTTTAGAGGAGCTGATGGACGCAAGGAAAGATGGAGAAGGGTATCGCCTTCGCTGCATGTGTCTGAAGACCAAACTGGAGGAAACCGAACAGGAGTTAATGTCAAGAGAAGACGCTTTGGAAAGATTAACTGGTCACCTAAGTTCCACCATTGAGGGCCAGGATTTGATTTCAGAAGAAAAGGAACAGCTTCTTTTGTCCTTGAGTAAGGCTCAGTACAAAGAGCATCGCATGGATGATCAAGTCCGGCAATCAAAAGTAATTATTCAAGAATTGGAAGAGAAGATGAGCTGCATGGAGGAGGAACTTTGCAAGGCGAGGATTGCTATGACAGAGATGAAAGTCAAAGACAAAGAAGTTTTAGCTATAGAAAAGGAAGCTGGAGAGATGAGGAACAGAATTCATGAGCTAGAAGAAGAGATAATGGAAAAGGAGGGCCAGATCTCTATCTTGAAAAGTTCTTTTCGAGGTGAATTTGATTCTGCATTTTAAGTGCAGAAGGCAAAGGCAGTGGTTAGACACCAGCTGCTTAGCAATGAATCTCCAGGAGGTTGAATGACGAATGATCTTCGATGAGATCTGCTGGTTTTAAGCGTGGTGTGTACACCTTGGAGCATGGATGGGTGTCATACCGAGTGAACGACGTCGGCATCCAGAAACCTCCTTCTTCAACACCTTTGGCTCATCAAGAGGAGGCGCTATAACTATGATTGAAAGTATCCTTTGGGAGGGAGTCATGGTGCATGCAAGGACTGTAGATGATTCATCATAAGCGGCATTGCAGTTATCTCGTAAGTCAATCTCGCAATGCTCCTTCGTCTTAAGTGGTGTATGAGGAAACTTTCTGCCTCTCCTGATATAACTTTCTCGGCTTCACTTTGATCCTCACATCAAACATCACTTTGGTCTATCCTCTCACAATCGAACTCACCGAAATTCATGTGGATTTGGCTGGCAGGGCGATTGTGGTTGAAGAATTCCTGCAGACGTCTTGAGGGTTTTTTTATGGGAATGGCGAAACATGATATGAACACGTCAAGGTGCCCAAACCATTTGTCATTTGCATGGATTTCTTTCATGAACGAGGTTGTACTTCTCCGATGAGAGTGTATGCTTGTGTGTTCTACTTACGTACATTTTGTTTCCAGTCAGGTGTTGCTGTGAACCTTATTAGAAAGAAGAGCCATGCAAGAAGGCTATACACAGGAATGGAGTTCCGATGAAGGCTTCTTTTGAGTTGTTTTTTAACACAGGTCCCGGATCAGGGGTGAAACCCCCAATCCGAGTTGACAAGGGATGTGTACTTACAAATGGACACAACCCCTAGAGTGGGTCAACCTGATCTTGTCTTGAAAAACAAGATGGGTCATATCATTTCTGAGAGTATAATAATTTCTAATAAACTTTCCAAGGTGGGCACAACTTCTTCTTCAATAATGGTGTTCAGCTCTTCAGTGATGGAACCCGAACAACTTGTTGCGTCCAGCTTGAAAAGTTTGTTAGAACTGATACACTGAGCAATGACTTTATCCATCTTCTCTTTCAAGATGTATTGATCATGTTGAACCAGTAGACTTACCCCTTGGAGATCAAGCTGATTTATAGAAAGTAAAGATCTCAGTACACACTTGAAGGACTCTAACTGCACTAGTCCGCAGAGTATAACTGTATTCTAACAAACCTGGATGGTCACATGTACCAAAGACAGCAGGCTGATTAGCCGCGTCCTGCATACTATGGTTCCATTATGTTTGCATCTCCTCACAGCTGCTTCCGATATCAGACAGGGATATTTCTTAGAACTTGCAAAACTCTTACATCTCTTCGGAATAGTGGAAAATGTAATTGTAACCTTTTGAGATAGTAGAGAATGTATCTGCAGTCTCTCTTCTCGACCGGAACCAATTTAGTGGTCCAACCGGAAGCTCTTCACGAAAATTGGCAGCATTGAGAATGAAACGTGATTATTCTTACAATAACCACATGAACTGGTATCTATGACTTGAAGCATGGAATTATGATCTGTAACGGCCACATTTTTATAGAGAATGGATTGGTGTGCTTTGTGCTAATTAGGCTTTTGAGACTTCCCAGTTCTAATTCATAACTAACGAAATGGAATTATTGGAAGTAGTCCTCTTATAGCTACAACTTCAATATCTAATTTTTTGTCTAGTGAGCGATTGGGCTGTAGATTCTAGGTAGCAAGTTATAGGTGGGTATACGAAACCCAACAATATCTGGATAAGGTTTGTCACATCCGTGAACAAATTAGTGAGTCACAGGGTTGAACCATGGCATGAGGCCGTGGTTTGGTAGCTTGAAGTTGGGGACTTAAGGAATCGAAATCTACGACACGGAGTCTAGACCTAAGATTCATATAAGTGTGGGATTGTAATGTTTAGAAATCTCTTGCATCCGGATATATTCAGCATTATCATATATGGTGTACATTCAACTGGTATGGTTACTGGAATAGGGACTGCCTCGTAAGACAAATCCAATGTGTTTCACGATAGTGAACAACAAACTGAAATCAGACTTTGGAGTCAAACCTCTTCAGACTCACACTCTTACATAGCGCTCTAACATTTGACCTACCACAAGCATTATCCATAAATGGTTCTTCAATCAACCCAATCAATTAAAGAATAGCCAATTTTAGTAAGTGTCTGCTCTTATTGATACTCGATCATAAATATCATCTTTAAGTGTATATGAAATTGCTGTACTCTATATGATCCTAGAGAGTTCTTCTCGAACCAAACGATGTTCACGTTACGAAACATCATCTTGTAACTGAGTTTATTTCATAATAAGTTGATGATCAATGTTTCAAGGTTTTAGATAAGTTATCAATTATGTGAGCAAGTGTGATGTAAATATTTTGGTTTCTTAGACTACAACCAAAATATTTAGAGTGTCAAGGGTGGAGTGCCAAGAAGGTTTGGGTGCAAGCTATGAGTGAGGCTGTAGAGAAGAAAGGAAAATTACTCTTTGTGCAGTACGGCTGGACGAGTGTATGGGTGAAGGATGCCAAAGCTGCGTGGTGGAGCGCGCCAACCCCGCTCCCCGCTCACCCCAGGCAATCTCCCGTCACCTGCCGTCGATCATCCGCCTCCAGTAGCTCCTGTCGAAACATTCGTAGATTTGGTTCCCAACACGCGAAGAGCACCACAGAGAGAGGAGGGAGGAAAGGCAGGAATGAGCGACGAGAGTAGGATTAAAGGCACAACAAAATTTTTCGGGGCATGCCCATGTCCCCTTTCAAGATCAAAAGGCATGCCCATATTACAATACGTATATTTCACGTATCAGTATATTTTCTGATATGTGAAATATACCTCTCTGGAAATAAAGCACTAAGTAGGATCAATCAACACGGAAATGAAAGTTTAAAACCCAGAACAAACCAGAGCAGAATCTCCAAGTGTCTCTAACGAATCGAAGAAAACCAGAAAATCCCTTAGTAAATTTGACATATTAGATAACATACTTCTATGGAAATAAAACACTAAGTAGGATCAATTAACAAGAAAATGAAAACTTAAAACCCAGAACAGACTAGAGCAGAAGTGTCTATGCCTTCGCAAATTGAAAGTGTACTTTTCTCACCGAGCGATGGCCAATTTTAAACAGTTTTATTTCCTGACTCATCCCACAGTCTATAACTCTAAAATATATATCTATAACTCTAGAACAGATGACTGAATTTATTTATACATACAGGCATGCCTCGTATGGAAAATGAAAATTAGGCATACCCGGGATCATACCCTTAGAGGTTGTGCCTCCAACTCTAGACGAGAGGCGAGAGGTGAACAACGAGGAGGAGGCCTGGTAGAGAGGCGTGACCAGCCACAGTTCGCGACGCAAGATCTCCTCGTGCCTGGAAACGAAGCGGACCGGTGGTCGAGAACCCTAAGGCGGTGACACACCGACCACGTACTTAGCGTTAGCTTGGTGAGAGGAAGGTGCCGCTAACTTAGCGGTACCTCTGAATGCTAGTCGCCCGAACGGACTCGAAGTGTATACAGAATTGCAGAGCAGAGGTTCGAGAGTTTGCTACGAGATTGAGCGAGCGGTGCTCGTCACGGGATCCAGGGTTTAGGGTTTATGTTCCATCGATGCGATGAGCCGAGAGTCTTCAGAATTCTCCGCATTCCCTTCGTACGTGGATCTGTAGGTGCTCTCCCGTCGAGTTTCTGCAGCGAAGAGCCTGACTTGTCTCTGACCAGCCATCCCACCCCATCCCGCCCCATCCCATCCCGACTCAATTGCTCCCTGGCATTCTTATTGAAGACGGGGAGCTATGAAGTTGGATGTCAATGTACTCCGGTATCTCACGAAGGATGAATTTCGCGTTCTCACTGCCACAGAAATGGGCATGAAAAATGTACGTTCTCGTGATAATCTACTAAATTGATCAAGAGGATGGATGGCTGGTGTATTTGCTCGTCAATTTGTTCATGCGGACTGCGTCTCTTGCAATGTGTTGAAGTGAATTCTTTCCGGGTCCAGCTGCGAGGAGCCCAGTTCGTTTGCTTACTCTGTGGGATCCCTGTTTTTTTTTGTTTACTCCAGCATGAGATTGTTCCGGCAGAGCTCGTGGAGCGAATTGCAGGGCTTAGGTAAGCAGTCAACTCTTGCAGTTGTCACGAGGTCTCTCTGTAAGGACAGGCTCTCTTGAATTTCGAGTATATCTGCAGGTGGATGATCGCCAGAGTGAAGATCAACTCTCTTGATTTTGCTACTCATAAGTATCATATATTTTTTCTTGATGTGTGTCAGGAATGGTGGAGCTTATAAAAACATGAAGACCCTATTGAAGCATAAATTAGTCCATCACGACTCTACCAAATGTGAGGTTTATTCTTGCTGTTTTCTGAAACAAATAATGAAAATTATCGTGGAATTTGTTCGTGATCGTAGTAGAATTTCTGAATTTGCACTCCATATATTTCTCCGAAATTTCGAAGACAACTATCTCTTAAGATACCTGATCCTGGATGGCAGATGATGGGTACCGGCTCACGAACTTGGGTTACGATTATCTGGCTATCAAAACTATGGTAAATCGTGGCCTTATTGCCGGTGTAGGACGGCAGATCGGAGTAGGAAAGGAGTCCGGTAAGATCCTGTTATTTGAAGTATGAATTTTTTTGCCAACCGCATGTGAAGACTTTCTCTCAATGTACTTTTCTGGTTGAAGGTTCCCAGAGATATTAGCCCTGTTATAAGATTCTTACCCTACACTTCACATCCTTTCAGATATCTTCGAGGTTGTCGGAGAAGACGGAAGAGTCATGGCTCTCAAATTGCACAGGTTGGGTCGAACTTCCTTTCGTGCAGTGAAGTCTAAGCGAGACTACCTCAAACATCGGAGTAGCTTCAATTGGCTTTACTTGTCGAGACTGGCAGCTCTCAAGGAATATGCTTTTATGAAGGTATGTCAAAGTTCGTTTACATTCGTAGTGCAGATTTGCCTTCGGTCCACCTAGTACTTGGGCAGGAAAAGTTGGATTCAACTCCTCCCTTGGGAGCGTTGCATGGAGGTGACAGAGTTGGTGACCTTCTCAGGACAGGCTGGTTTAGATGGACCTTTGGTTTCTGCTCACAGACTCCTGGCACTTGACTTTCACCTCTTAAAATCTCCGTAGAGCTTAATATTCTTTGAACAGGGACCACTTAAGTATGTAGTAAATTGTCATCAAGGAAGCAGTGAATGCAATTTTTGGAAACATGATTCTGGTGGAATCTAAATATGTGATTCTAAATTCACAGGCTTTGGGAGAGCATGGATTTCCAGTCCCCGAGGCGATCGATTGCAATCGGCACTGCGTGCTGATGTCCCTTGTTCCAGGTTATCCTCTGTAAGATCCATAACTCAATGCTTTACTACCCCTCGTTATTGCTTAGTTGGGAATTTTTATCTTCCGTAGACAACTAGTAACAGTCAGAGGGTCTTGAGTTGTTTTGCGGAAAGGTCAATTCGAGAAGTTTAGCAGCATGCTTGTACAACCTTATTATCAATGGGAAAATTTCTTGCTATCCCTCAATGCTAAACAAGTTCAGCTCTGGCTCAAATCGCTGCTACTCGCGTGAGGGGCAATCCTCAACCTTAAACCTTCTGTCCTCTGATGTGTGACGTGTGTTTGTGGTACAGAGTACAAGTGAAGGAACTAGCAAATCCAGATGTGGCATTTGAGACCATAATGAACCTTATTGTGCGATTAGCTCAACATGGTTTGATTCACTGTGATTTCAACGAATTCAATCTCATGGTAATTTTCTGTTTTTTGTTACTTCTCATGAATGGATACATGAATCTTCACGTATAAGTAATCTATTACATCAGTATTTGCCCCACACAGCCTGAAGACAACTCAGGTATCTAATACTCAATTTACTGTCCTTTGTTTTTTGGAAAACAGTATTTGCAGGTGATGGATATTAGACTCTGAATTCTCCCTGCCTGCGCTCCTGTTAATTGCTTTTTACTTGTGTTGCAGATTGATGATGACGACCAGATTATAATGATCGACTTTCCACAAATGGTTTCGGTATCTCATAAAAATGCTCAAATGTACGTACATAGAGTTTGTTCGTGGGTTCCTACTTTTTGATTTAGCTGTTTTTATTTCTGATCGAGTGCCGTTGATATAAAAGTTTTAGTTTGGGTTTGAAGCATTTTTCTTTTGGAATAGAAGTAATATTGTTGAACACTTCCTTGAAATATCTAGGTACTTCGACAGAGATGTGGAGTGCATTTTCAAATTCTTTGGTAAAAGGTAAAACTTTCGTTCATTGATTTGTGGAAGATGTTGTTTGATTTATTTTGGCTGGATTACCCTTAGCTCGTGTGTTGAGATTCTTTCTATTTAGTTTCACCAGAGATGACTATCTCGAAAGTGCGCCAGAATACTTTGTTTCCTTGTGATCGTGAGCTACTTGCAACTTGGGTAGTAGGACAATATTGACTGGGTTAGGTATGCAGATACAATTACGCGCCAACAACACTCGGCAACAAAGAAGAGTCTCAACAAGAAGATGAGGACGCTGAAGACGATTTGAGGCCGGTCTTTGAAGAAGTCGCAGGTCATGCAGGTTCTCTGGACCAGGAGCTCGCAGCTAGCGGTTTTACCAAGCAGAATCAAGAAGTTCTGGAGCAAGTAGGCATTCCTGCCGCCTGTCTTTTAATGTTCCCGTTATGCATTGTTTCATACTGACCTCGTGTACGGAGAATTAGCGTCATGATTTGAGACTGATTTTTCTTATTATCAACAACTGCAGTACGTGGAAAACGCTCCAGAAGAAGACGACGAAGACGATTTACAAGCTGATGATACGTCCGAGACAGATGAAGTCCAAGAGCCAAGCAGTAGTTCATTTGAGCGACTCACAATTGCGACTGAAGCAGATCCCTCAACAACGAATTCTCTTTCCATCGCTGGAGAAGTGGAGGAGGGGTTGCAAAAACGGATTGATGGAGAATCTCAGGTAATCTCCCACTTTTGCTGTTCACAGGCCTTGTTTACTCGAGAGTTTTTCTGTTAGACTGTCCTAAATCCTTACTGAGGAAGTTTGTTTTGCAATGCGTGATCAATTGACATCGCAGGAGGAGCCATCTGACGAAGAGCAAGTTTCAAATTCTCAAAATCCAGATCAGTTGAAACGACTTGAGAAGCAACGTAAACGAGTTGTTAAAGCTGTTCGGAGTGGAAGTCAACAGCGAACTAGCAGAAACGCCAGCAAAGATAAAGGTGGCAGGAGATCCAAACATGTCTCCTCTGATATATAATACTGCCTCACTTGTTTACAAAGTAGGGTGTAGAATAGACCTTTTCAAACATGTCAAAGATTTGTATGTCTTAGTCATATATAGAAAATTGCCTCTTAGTCATATGATTTTTGTTAGTGACACTCGTATTTCGAAACTTATAAGGAAATGGTCTTCACACAGTCAGGAGGGAGGGAGGGAGGGAGTGGGGTTGAGGAATTTTGACACTGACTAGGATTTCGGCAGAAATATCGACAGGTCTCGAAAATAAAGTACTGCATTTAGGTTTCATTGTACAAAGATAGTATAGGCACCCGACGTGCTGGAACAACTTATTCCACCTACGGTCCAAAACGTCGCCAATTTGGGACGAACTTAGTTACCTACATGGATGTTTCGTTGCACTAGTGTAGAAATCTTGCTGAAGGGAAAGGATTTGTATACAAACCGGGGTGTTGTGAACCATGTCTAGTAGTCTGCAGCTTGACGAGCAATTTTAGATGAAGATAATGGGGTTTTGATACCAGCGTTAAATTATATTCAAATGTTTGGTTGCAATGTACCATAATCATAAAGGTTGTGAACTTGCCGACGGACACATGTTTCTGTACGTTATAATATGGGTGTGAGGCGTTTCGGATTTATGGTGGTAGCAAAGGCAGGTAATAATCTTGTTCTTTTTAATTTGTTCCGCGAGCATTGTGTGACTACTGCGACAGAGGACCATAACTAAAAGATTTTCACCAGGTTACATCAAGCTTTGAGACAGAACTCTTAAATATTCTTGTTGTTTGAAGACTTTTGGGAGTATGGGATGTATGGGTTAAGAGTTTATGGAGCTTATGGTTAAGAGTTTATGGGATGTATGAAGATGTATCAGAGCCCAGATCATTCGGATGGTCTTTCCATAATATGGCTTATAACTACTTGGCTCCCAGTCCCCGCTTCTGACCAAACCTTCAAGGCTTCTCATCTGGATTAAAACAAAATTCTGCCATGGGTTTCATCGTTACACAAGACACAAGCTCTGGGTGAAGTTGGCCAGATGCTGAATTGCAATGAAACTGTTGAAGGAAGGAAGGATAGGAACATGAACAAGTCGAAGATGAGAAGAAAGAAGTGACAACCATTTCTTTTTCGTTTCATAGCTTCAGTGAATAGCTGCAAGGGAGGAGAAGAGGTATTGAAGTCGTGTTATCTTAACCACAATCCAAACTGCGAAAGAAGTGGGGTCACTTCTGTTTTTATGCCTACACTCATGTTTACAGAATCTATTCAGGTTCTCAAAATTTAGTACAAAGTTAGTACTTACAGAAAATTTGTGTCGGTAAAGGTTGGGAAATGACAATCATAATGTTAATATCAAAGCTCTTAATGATCACTTGAAAGACCATAATATTTTGCCTTCATAATATTTTGCCTTCAAAAAGAAGAGAAGACGAACGGAGAAAAACAATATTAAATGGGGACATTATGTACCATCAAATCAAATTTAAGATCATCGAATAAACCTTTCACCAAGTCCATTGTGTACGTGACCCACATCAGACATCGTTCTCATCGAGTTATCTTGTTAGCAGCTCGTCATTGCTGATAGTGGCAGTGGGGCTCCTCCGTCCCAGAACTCACTATGTCGGTTTCTCGGATAGAACGCCCCCGAGGTCGATCACAGAGCATCTGATCTGTCAATGAGCTAGTTGTATGCAAACGAATAACCCGTTGAGCAAAATCAGATCAGGTATCCACCTCAGCGTAATGAAAGTCTTATATAGGAAATAACAAGGGGCCAAATGGATAAACCGATGCTAAGCACAGAAACTTTCTCCTGATGCTCGAGAAGGAAAGGGGAAGGGACCTCATGACAGACACCAGGCGTGTTCATTACTCCTCATGAAACAAAACTTCGGTCAAAATGCCGATGCGTATATGAACTCAAGTTCCAACCAGATTTACAACTCGCAGGGAACAGCAATGCGTCCCATGCAGGCACTAATCTGCGCTAGTGCAGGCGCTTGGAAGAATCCCGAGTTCGTCTAAAACTGAAAGTTATTGTCCTCAAACCGATTAAACAATGTTCTACACTCTGTGACGCAAATTTTTAAAGGGGCTGAATATAAAATACAGGCACTATGTACAGAAAACAACCCTCTCCAATTCAATTCAAACAATACAAACACAACCAAACGACGAAACTTCATTAGCTAGCAGTCTTTTTGACTGATCCCCTCGAGGCAGGCCTCAGAGGCTTCTTCGGTGTGGGGTTTCTGGGAGCTGTTGGAGCCAGAGTCTTGTCCCTTTGCTTTTCCAAGATCTCCTTCTCCTTCTGCTCGATGTATCTCCGCTTGGCCACTTGAAGCTGCTCTCTGAGCTCGTCGATCTCAGACTTGTGCTCCTTCACTCGGGTCTGAAGACAGTCATCAAGTCCGACGTCAAACGATGTAACCAGCTGCTACTGGTACCTCATCCTGAGTACGAGGGAGATGCTTATGGAAACAGCCGTAAGCTTGTTTCTTTTCGCAATAATATATAGCATGCAATTGCAGCAACACAGCTAAGAAGCCACTTCCAACCAAAATAAGTTTCTGAAATTTATCCCTAAACGAAGCATCAACGTGAGAGATAACCTTCCCCTACTATTCTTCCTCAATTCGGCATGAATAAATAATTCACCTGGTAAAGAAAAAGCTCAGATGACATGGCTTTCAGTTGCCGAGTCTTCTCGCTGAGATTTCTGGTTAGATTGTTCAACTGCTGTGCAGCCTCTGGTCCAGGCTGGCGAGCCAGAATTTTCTGCAACTCAATGTACAATTTTTCTTTCTCCTTGATCAGCAAATCTTTTTCGACCACCTGCAGACACGAGGTCATGTGGTTGATATCTCTGCTTCTGAGGGTTGAAGGGTTTGAAACGGGGCCGAGACTGGTAGAATTGTAATGACGCACGATGCGGTTATAGCTGGATTATTTGTGATACCTTCATGCTCCTGAGGACGTAACCTTTCAACTTTATCCAGACCACATGTTGGACCACACTAATTCCAGCCGTGGTTCCGATCACATGGGTGGAAAAATTTTACACCGAGTGTCTTGTAGGCTGCTTGAAGTTTCAGCAATCGAAGATTAAGCTCATTTGTGTTCATGGAATCAGGCCGACCCTTCAAGCCTGTGTTACCTCTTCTGTCTTCACGATGAGGCGTTTCTGCAAGGTTTGCACTTTAGTGATCATCTCGTAGACGGTAGGATCCGTGGATTCCAGAGTTCGCCAACGGTGAATGTTCTGAGGAGTCTCCAACTCTTCAGTCATTATGCGTACCTGCACCATACCAAAAACTCCGATCAATAGACTTCCCACATATCATCCTTGACGAAGTAGGATGGCTCCCTCTCGGTTGTTTAGAGAGACCCGAGAGTGACACTTCACTTATAATTCATTGATTAATGCTTCAAAACTCGTCGGGAGGTTCCGTGAATATAGAACTTTCGTCGAAGGGCGGTTTTGGATCATGGAACCTTCAGTTTCTCCCTCAAAAGCTCACGATTCAGGCCATTGATCTCTCGCTTAAGAATGCTGATGCTCTTCAGCGATCCTGACAAGATCGCCTGCTCGCGTTTGAGATCAGTCAACTTCAATTTAAGAGTTCGAAGCTCATCGAGCCGATCTAAGTACTGCACCCGGCCTTTATCAAGGGTAGACTGTTGAATTCTGATCTTCTCGTACACCTCTTTCAGTTCGTCATCTCTCCGAGTCAGCTGCACAGAGACGGAAATTAGTCAGTCAAGAGCTTTACTTCCCTGCCATCATGCTTCATATTAAATATGTTTACGTCGCAAACACTGATATGTCAGAAGCAGATTTGTCGAATCTGTTGCTTGATCTATCTAGCTTTAGTCCAGGCTCGGCACATTGAAATGAGATGATAACTCTCGTGTACTATGGACTCGGGACCCTTCTACCCGCACCTCGTTTCAATGCAGTGGGGTCTAAGGGGTGGTAAGAGCGCAGAAAGCTCCAGGACTAATATACTGCAAGAACCAAGCAAAACGAGAAGCACCTTGATCTATCTAATGTCATAATAAAATTCTCATTTACTAGAAGTTGTGGCAGTCCAATCTATCAGCAACTTCTCATGTTAGTACTATCTTGTATGTAGACTGCCAACTAAAGCCATACGATGAAATGAGCCGAATGATGGCACAGGATCAGACCTGTGCTGCCAACATGTCGCGTTCCGTCTTAACCATTGTATACTCTTTCTTCAATCGAACTGTTTCGTCGTTTGCCTGATTTACAAGAACGTCGTGGGTCTGTATCTTAGAAACATAAGTTGCAATTTTGGCCTGAGCATTCTTGACCTTTCCCTGGATTTGGCTGAGGTTCTCATTTAGAACCTCCTTTTCCTTCTCGACCTGTACAAATTCATCAGTGGTAGAGAGACAATGGTTAGAATAGATTCAATGTTATACAGAAAGCTTGATGCAAGTCTTCTCTTACCCCAAAAAGCAGCACGACATGCAGTCTAGGGTGCAACTGAGCCTCTTGCATACTGTGCAGAAGCCCAAAAAAAATGGCAGGTGAATGTAGTCATTACATGAAAATTATCACTAGAATTACCTCTTAAATCTACACTCCACCCTCGGAAGTGCGAAGTGAAATAACAAAAAGGATGGGAAGACCCCATCGAGTCGTAAGATAAATGGTATTCCACACCTTAATTATTTCTGATGCTCCTTTCTCGATTCGTCCATCCATGGCTGCAAGCTTATCCTTCAAAGCCTGCACCATCTGAGTTGAAATCTGCAACTTGCGTTTGGCTTGATTGATCTCGTCTTGTGTGTCAACCAAACGCTTGCTGTAAATGTTCTTCTCTGTACGTACGACTTCAAAGAGTGCCTTTTGCTGTTTAATCTCCAAATCTTTAGCTTCAACTATCTTCTGGCCCTCTAATATCTCCAACTCCTTTGCCTGCATTGCATCTAGTACCTGGAGAATGAAAGGTACGAGAAGAAGGATAATCAGAACTCATGATTTCAGTTTTAGAAAGGTCCAAATGTAAAGCTTTTCGCAAATGTAGAAAGTCTTTGCTTAGGAGAGATGTGACACGTTTCAGTTTTGTACTTGCGAAGATTTCTGGAGAGCAGATCCGAAAGACGTACTGCATATGCATTCATCGCATTCGACAACTAGCACATCAACGATCAAATCCATCGTCGTTCTGATGCAAGTGTGATACTTGTAATTAAGTTTCTGAAACTTTGGAAGTCCACTTCTCAACTTAATCGATTTAGTTACACTTATAAAACCCAAGCCTTTCTGTTCTACTTGGCATGGGCGAATTTGTACCTTCATGTACTTTGCTGTCGCGTCAGAAACTTCGGCTGCACATTTCCGACGTTCTCTTTCAAGATGCTCAATAGCATGATCCTGAGCGGCTGCATGATCTCGATATTGTTGGAGCTCTAATTCTAAGTTCTTAATTATTGTCTCCTTGAGCCTCAACGTGTCGGCATGCTTACTCGACAAATCCTCCGCCTGCATGACACTGATGGATCTTACCGCGCATGTCCATTGTAGATAATCGCCAAATAAATGCTGTGATTGATATGGACATATGTCCTACCTGAGATATACTCAAGGTGGAATAGTCAAGAATTTCGGCACGAATAATAATGCAAGCTGTTCCTACTCATATGAACATAGCTTCTCTAGCATAACTACCACACGATGCAACCAAAAACTGTTTGGGGACATCATCAGATTTCAATCTTGTCCACTCTTTCGAAAGCTTGTTCAAACGAACAAGCTTCGAAAGCTGGGCTGACATATCTCCGCCTTGGATGGCCGTAGCTATTCACCTGAGCCTTCATCTTGGTCAAAACATCCCGTTCTCGAATTGATTCTTCATAACGTTTCTTGTCCGATTCTGACAGCTTGCGTTGTATTTCCTTTTCTTTCTCCAGCTGAGAGATTTGACCTTGAAGGTCCTCTTTTTGCTGCTCAATTTCCGCTTTTTGAGCTTCTGTGACCTTCAGCTTGTTCATCGTTGCATCTCGTAACTGGAGACCACATCCACATCAGACTTGCAAAAAATTGACCACTCCTCGTAGTCAAAACTAACGTAGATTAAATCTCTTCCCGACGATGATCTTTCTTACTAGAATCAAAATCGGATCTCAAGCCCGCTAGGTTCACCGATCATCAATTCACGCGTCTTAATTGCATATATTGAATCCGGAGGCTGCTTAAGGTCAGCTGTTTGAACATGTCTTAACCGTACATACATTTCCTGCTCTGTCAGTGTATGGTGGTTGTCTTGTATGTCCTGAGGAACATACCCGCAACCTTTCTCATTCCGTATTTACTGTCTCGTTCGAATTCTCGCCAGACACTCTTCTACTTCGAGTTTTACGTGAAGGCTTGGTGACATTTGTTATAAGATCGAGTGGTAAGAGTCAACATTACAGCAAAACAGTACACAGACAAGTTCGAGCAAGATGGATTCGAGAATAAAACTGCAGGTTTCTGGTTCCACAATAATCTTCCTTGGATGCACTCCGTCAGCTCGACGTTAACCAACGCACATGGACGTATATACTCGAAAAAATTGAAGCCTTTTCTTCCCAGGCGACACTTTAACATCAAACTACTGTAGCTTGTTTGTAAGAAGGCGGAGACCGAAAGGAGCAACAATCGTACCTTTCTGACTTTTACAACCTCATCTCTCACTGTTGTGATTTCATCTTCTCTCATCCTCATTTCCACCATTCTTTCGCTATTTTCAGATAAGAGCTGCGTGTTGAATCTGAGCTGTTCTTCCAAGTCATATTGCAACTTCACAATCTGCAACAGATGTCAGCAGTCATAAGATTTAGGTGCAGCAGATGTAACTTAGACTTTAGGAAAAATATCTTATTGACATTGAGATCTGACTGTTCAAGTAGGCCTTGTGGTCAAAAACTTAGTAGTATATCAATCCGTCGTTTAAAGATCTACATAGCGATCTGTTTCCACAGAAATCCGCAGGCTTTAAATCGCACCACAGCTCAGTTGAGGTGGGGAGGCTGATTGTAAGGTTGATAATCAATTCACACGTCGCATAATCAGTTGGGAGTGTTCTGTAGAGCAACGATGACCTTGGTATTCAGGAGGTCAATCAGCTTTGAAGACTTTTCGACAGCATGTTTTTCCTCTTCAAGCAAGGCTTCCGTTTTAGCGTTTTGCTCCAGACATTGAGCCAGCTCTAACTCCTTTTGTTTGTAGCGCTCGTGATTGGTTTCTATCGAGTGGTTCAACTCTTTTACATCTTTTTCAAGCCTCTCTTTTCTTCTCAACTCCCTGCATGAAATATGGCTAGATGAAAAAAAGCACATGCCTCTGAGTATTCCAACGCAACGACCACGTCCAGTAGGTAAGGAGGTACACCGGGACTAGAAGCTCAGAGGAAACAGGGCACCATCTGGGCACATTCGGAGCTCTGAAACCTTTGGAGCTCTGAGACTGCCAAGTGCTTGAGTGAGGTACCACATTCACTTTTTCTGGACATAAAGCGAAACTTTATGTCCAGCCTTGCCACGTTTACAAGGTTTGTAACTATAGTGCCGACTTTGTTATGGAAAATCGACGTGGAAAATTCACTGGTGATGTTCGTGACAAAAAAGTGGACGCAATCAGTCGAAGTACGATAGGAGTATTGTAGAGGAAAGTCCTTTACTACTAACTGAAAATTCCCTCGGGACTCGTTGCATGGGCAGTCGAAGACAATGACAATCACGGCCTGGAGTTGTATGGCAACTTACTTCAAGTGTAAAGTGAACATGATGTATGCGCCTTAAAAGTCGTTCAAGAAAGCGAACGACTACTTCAATGTCAAGATGTATGTTTGTAAATAAAACAAAGGAGAAATGTGGAGACCAGAACATTAGAGCGGAGATCTCAAATAGTTCTGTTTACAAACCTGTCACATTCTGCCCTCTTTGCGTGAAGATGGCCTTTCACAGTGGCCAGGTCATTCTCGGAGGTCACCTTCTCTTCCTCCAAGATCCTCACTCTTGAAACCCAAGCTGCAAGTTCTTTCTTCAATTCGGATGATGTGGCGAGAAGACGATCTCGCTCTCTGACGAGTTCTAATTTCTCGTCTTCCAAGCTTCCCACCTGTGGACGAAAGGGTCAGCGTGAAAATTAGCATGAAACTACTGCCGAAATTCTATATGGTGTGGAATCCAGCGACAAGGAAAATTTACCTGCGTGTCTTTGCTGACAGCAAACGTCACATTTTGATCCACGATCCCGCTCAGATTGGCGATCTCTTGCTTGAGTGCTCTGCTCACAATCCACCAAAGTTACATCAAGGACAGAGAGGCAATTAACCCGAGCAGACTTTGCAAATAAAATAGTCGCCATTCCGTCAACCTTCAATGCAAATTTTCTCATAAGCTCACAAAAAGCAGCATCTTTATATAAAGTTCTTGTGTGAAGATGGAGACGGAGACATGTCTTTTGTTCATGGCCTTCTATAATTCGAACTTTCACTCCTATGCCGAAAAATCACATGAGAATTACACCACACATCGCTCACTATATCCGAAAAACAAGACGAACGATCTGCAAAGCTGGTAGCTAAGAAGTACAGACGAAAAGAAGACTTCATGCACAACTTGACCACTTAAATGATTTTCAACGAAGTAAAATATATCTAACTGGGAAAATTAAAACGATTGAGTATGACCCAAATCGTAGTGCACACATTTGTCTAATTAATTATGAAGATGGTGAAAAAAGATATATTTTATATCCCGGATATAAAATATATCTTTGAAAACACGGATATAATATCCGTGTTTTAACAAATTTTCACTGAAATGTGTATACTCACTCCATGGAACAGAACCATCAGAACTTTGAGGATTGCCAAAAGATTTTAGTGCAAAAAATTGCAGTTTGTTCTTGCATTGCGCCGCTGCCGGGGATCGAACCCGGGTCACCCGCGTGACAGGCGGGAATACTTACCACTATACTACAACGACTGAATACAACCGGAGAAATCTACATTCTATCAATTCTAAAATGAGTGTATTGTTACTTACTGGATATTCTCCTTCGCTTTCGCTTCTTTCTCTTGGGTGGCATCGACCATCTTCCATGCCTTCCCGATCTCCTCTCGCAAGTCGAGAATCAAAAGCTGATCCTCTTCGCTATTCGTGAGAGCAGTCTGGACCTTCGCGGTGTTCGTCTGAATCTCGGAATTCAGTTCCCGACACTTTTTGATCAAGCGCTTCTCGCTCTCTGCAAGCAGTCACCCCAAGTCATTAATTCACCCCACGATCTCAATCTGGAGCATTCTGTGGGCAGGTAGGCGAGCGAGCAAGCAGTTCCGAGGAAGATGTAGCGGAAAATTCTCTCTAGATTTTAGAACCAGTTCAGACACAATGGGGCGATGATGATGAATCTCAGTGAGCCCGTCGCCATACAGCCTGTATCCCCTCGGCATCGAGCGAAGCACTCGAGGGCATCGTCTCTCCTTTAAATTCCGTCCCACGACAAGAGATCAATGACGATGATGCTTACCATGAGATTTTTTGAGAGCTCGATGAAGTTTCTCATATTCGTTTCGAAATTTGTCCAGAGATGGGTCCGTTTGAAGCTCGTACAACACCTGATGGGTCAGACCGATCATTTTAGCTCTCCTCGGTTAGAAGCAGAACCAGGTGTCTGCTGAAGTAGTTTGCAGCTACGTGGTGTACCTTACATCAGCTCAGAGGTTCACAAATCTGATGTTATCCCCAATACCATAGAAACGTCCGACAAACAATTTCCCACTGGTACATGCGTTTGGGAACAGGGGGATAGATTTGTAGGACAAGGGGTTTGACGAATTCGACGAAGCTCAACGAGGCCAGGACGCGTAAGAACCAGCCCGGTTCGCCACAGGAACACACTACCTCTGTGTACTGCTTCTGAGTTTAGGCACCTCATAATCATCTCTGTATCAAATTGTAGATGTAATTGGCAATAGCATTGAAAATGTGAAATTGTAGAAATGTTTATGGAGATATCCTTCCCTCTAATATCAGTGGCAGGATGGAGAATGGTACCCAAAGTATGAGAAAGTCATTGTTCACACCTGTACTAGGTCTAGAAAACAAATCTCGATTAATCACATTATTATTCTGGAACTTGTTTCTATCAGACCTTTCCGGGTGTTAACGATGGTGAATTTCTTATTCCACCTAGTCTTCTGTTGTTAGAGCATCGAGATTTCACCAAGCAAGAACCCTCGCAACTTCCACGAACACAGGACTTCCCTGAGAGAATGTACTGTAGGTGGGAGTTGCTACCATGTGGATTCTCCGTCGCAGCTAAACAAGGAAGACCATCTACTAGCTTAGTGTAGCATAAGGTTTTGTTTGGTGTCAAAAGTCACGTAACATTATTATATGGAAATTATAATTCTTCCACTGAGAAGCTTGTACTCTTCGCCAGCCAGAACTCTGCATACTGCTAGATCCCCGGCTGGAACTTTCGACCAGACCTGTGCTGAAACGGCGGCAAAGGCTGCTATCCTCCTAACACTGGAATCCCATCCATCAATCCTCGAGAATTTTTCAAATTGAAGATGGAGTCAAAATGGCATCCTCAGAATCTGACGAGAACTTTACCTGCTGAAACTCCCTCTCTAGCGTCTCAAAGGCTTGTAGTTCAAACCCACTCGTCAGTTCCTTCTCTTTTTCCATCCACGAGACTTGAGATGATGGCTTGCTGCCACTCTCCGCTTCCTCTGGCCGAGACATTTTGGAGTAGATTAGAGTGCTCGAAATATGAAGCTCTTCTTGGTCGATCGGAGTCGTGAAACTCGACAGAAACCCCAACAGCACGAGCCGTTCGTCACAGGCATTCAAACTCCGCCTTCAGACGATCTGCCGAAGTCATAGAGTTACATCCCAACTCGGCATCAACAAAATGTCCCGCAACTCAATCAGCCAGAGTGCAATGAAAAGGAGACTGTCGAACGACAAGCATTTCTTGTAATTCGATTTCAAAGCTTAAACAAAAGTCATCACGTAGAGAGTTTCACAATACTACCTTGTACCCGGACCAGAATTATCATGAGTTATATATCGGTAGAATAAACGCATTGCTGAAACAGAATTTGGAATTATCGGCACTTCACCTTGCGACATTGATATCCGGAGAGCATATCTGAGAGTGCATCCAATCGAAGGCACACGAGGCCGTAAAGAAAGCAGATGCCTTACGCATGCTCCGCGACCCATGCCCCCATCGCCAGCACGGAGCCGGACCTGCAGTGTGCCACGGATCTCAAGGACGTAGAGCCAATGACGCCGAATGGAAATCGTCGCATGCGTCACCGAATTGCATGACTTCTCGTCGCAGCGAATTGCCTGACCTGTGCAACGGGAAGAAACTGCATTTGCCGCTCGAGTCACCGAGTTCGAATCGGAACCTGCTGATCACGAGAGCGCGCATCCCATGATTCTGTCGATGGCTGCGAGGCGGGAGACGCGATCCCGCAAGCGCATTGTCGTCGTTCGCGACACTCGCGATGCCGAAAAGTTCGAGGCCCCGGCGCGAGTTCGCAACACCAAACGCGGAGAAAAATCAGCAACATTTTCCGGAGCGCAACACTCGGTCGTACCCCCCGTCCCTCTCCCCCGATTTCACCTGAACTACGTACGCGTACGGTGCGTAGGATTTCGTAACTACGTACTTGTATTAGTTTTGTAGAACTACGGTTCAGGATACTCCGTCGGTACGCGCTTTCACACTCTCAGCTCTCTGCGTTCTTGGTTCGGCCTTCTGTCGTTGCCATTCCATTCGTCTGATAGGGTGTTATATTTTTTATTTAACTAAAAAATATTGGGTATGGACAGCCAGAGTCAAAAGCTATATGAATCTAGTGGAGCATCCCTACATATCCTAGCTTGATGTAAACTAAAACACAATCTGAATTATTTGAAGATTTCTAGTAATTATTAATTGAATTGTAATTATAATAATTTGAGTTCTCAATGAATATTATCGAGGACTCGTAAAGGCAGGACTTCTCAGAATTATGCAAGAGAATTGGACGCCTACTCGTTTTAATTTTAGAAATGTCATCACGCCTACTCGTTTTGATTACTCACTCATATTTTTTATTGAGTGTTGAGATCAGCAGCCTCATTAGATCCAGACTGTCATGTGAGTACAATAGCCTCCCGTTGAGGTATTCATATTTTTTCTTTAACTTTTGGGTTCAAGATACATTAGTTAAGCATTAAGTTAAGCGTTGAATCTTCAATTGGCACAAGTTTCAAAGTTGTTTGCGATTGGTTGGGAGGGTGATCATTCGTTTCTTGCTCTCAAATCATTCAAAAGATTTTTAAAAAAACAGAGTCGAATTTATCTTATATGCGATAGTGAAGATCTGCTTATAAAGGGATTCTAAGCCCTGAAAGACAATTCCATTTTCTGAATCAACATTCAGTTATTGAGGCCAGTGATGGGATTGCGGCCTTAAGCAAATATGCTGCGTAGAATGTTTAGATATAATTCTTTGAAGCTAACACTCGATGGTGCTTTACAATATATTTGGGACGTAGAAAAATGGATCAACATCGCCGTTTCAACCAACTTCATCAACTTCAGAACCCCTTCAACATCTCCACTACCGCATTTGCATATTTTTCGTTCTCCTCATCAACATGAACAAAATCCGCCAGTTCGAGCCCTATCAGTGGTCAGGATTGAGCCCTACAAGGAGGCCGACCTGTTCAACATCATGGGGAGGGAAGACCTTAGCAAAGTGATCCGTCCAATGGACCAAAAGATAAAGAACATTTTTTTTAAATATTTTTCGATCATGTGCTCACATTCTCAACATTGATTTTATTCTCCAATTCTGGTTCCAAGTTCATTAGTTCGGCCTTGATGAAAACATTGTTGACCAAGTTTGGCAAAACACATATCTTGCAACGTCAAGCAAGTGCATGAGGTTTTTGTAAAAGCACTTGGAGCATCTCGTCGCAATCTTCGCCCCTGGTGAATCTTAAGTGTGCACCTACCGGCTAGTAGGCACAAAGTTTGCAAGTTCAAGTTGAGTTTTTTATGTGGAAGCTTACTCTGAGTGGTGAAGATCTTGTTGAACATCTCTCAACGATGCTAGTTAAACCAAAGCTCAAAAAATGCCTTGCAAAATTTTCCGAATTTTAGCTTGATGATTGCAAAACATTGGGGATATACTTTGGGTCACCTTTCTAATGACATTAGTTAGTTTTTTGATAAGTTCTGCTTGCAAATAATATCTGGTTCAAAAATTTAGAAATACCTGGTCTCCAAAGAAATCGGAAAATTAGGCACTTTTGTCGATTATATCACATCAACGTATGACATTATGAATATACTATTATGGATGACTTTAGAATAAGGTATGACATTATGAATCTAATACTTGTTGTTTATCAAATGATGTAATGTAGTGGATTCTTGAACCATACATTGATCGTAATTCTCAGCACACCTAGATGTTCCATAAAGAGAATAACGAGAATTACAATAATTTCTTTGATGAAGGCCATATCAATCATACATGTTTTAGAAATCAAATCCATGAATCCAAACACGACTAATAGAGATATTTGAAAGTGGGTTTTAATATGAGAAAAGTGGTGTAAAAGACTTAAAAACAAAGAAAATATCTGTTAGTTGGGGATAGGCGAGTAAAAAATAGCTGGCCGTATTAACAAACAGAAAAATGGATAACATGTTACATCGTATGATAAAGCACATATTCATTCAGTTTTCTTGCTACGATTAATGTCTAGTAGTAGATTACATTTTCTGAAGAATAGAGGATACCGAGACATGGAATGTAGTGGATGGACTCCTTGAATATCGTATTATCTCATAGACCTGACCTCAAGCTAGATTGAAGATCAAAAGTACAACAGACATAATTGGACAACTTCTTGATCACTAAAGTATCAAATTCCTCGTGACACGATAAAGAGAAGAATAAGAATGTGAACAATACTGCACATCGAAATTGTTCGTCTCAGTTTGTGGTGCTCAAGGAAGTTCACAGAAAAGTCAAAACCTTCACTCGCGTGTCCTTCGAGAATGATCGTAAAACTGCAAGTGCTCGATGACAGAGTCGGAGGTCAAAAAAGCCATCATCTTATTCTGCAGAGTACTACGATATCTCCACTCGATCCAGTCAAGCAGAAGAAATGTATCGAGACCTACCACATCTTCATCAGACGCTCCTCTATAACAACTCATAAGGAGGAGGAAGAAGAAGAACACATTCGTCGATTGCCAGCCAAACGCAGCAGTGGCAGAACTGCGCGATTCCCTTCGTGGTTGGAGAATATTCTTTTCCTGCATGTCGTTGCAGTTTCTCGCTCAGAAGTCGAACCGAAACCGGAGACGTCCCCAGGAAGGAAGGAATGGTCACAGGACGTCTAACCAGGTAACCTTCCATGAGAGAGCTAACCGCGGCAACGAACTACAGTCAAGGTGGAGCCGACGAGGTTGCATGAGGGAAAACCATGTGGCGAGCGAGCGAGCGATGGAGGGAACGAACACGAAGAAACCCGAAGCTCTGTGCTCTTCGCTCTGTCACAGGCCCAGGCACTGGCTCTGGCTCTGGCTTCCATGAGCATTCTTCCCGCAGGCACGAACGCAGGTGGCGATGGGAGGGAAGAGGCGAAGAAATGGCGTCCGCCACTGGTTGCGCTGATGCCCGCGGAGAATTCATGGGGGAGAATTCGTGCTGACGATGGGGATCATGGTGCTGGAGGAATGGATGGGAGACGATGGAGAGAGCGCCGGTGACAGGATGACACCTTCCGTCGGGATGGGAGGGTGAATTGATCGATCGATCGATCGATTGATTGATCGCAGGCCGGGGTGGAATTTTTAGGGATGATGATTGTCTGTTCGCGTGGTTAGTGGGCACTCGTGCTTCGAAGGTGGTTGGCTGGGCGGGTGGGTGGATTTTGGAATTGGTGTAGGGCGAGTACTCTCGCGGTCTTTTCCTGCGCGGGTTTTCGTTCGTCGCTGATTTGAGGATCTTGTAACGTCGAGGGCGGAGGAGTTGATTTCGTGGCAGGAGTGGTTCGAGTGAAACGGGAGTGGAAAATAGACGTGGGAGAGATGGCGGTCTCTATGGCTGCCGAGTGGAGCGAGCTGTACAACAGATTCTACCGGAAGCAGGAGATGTATACGATGTGTTGGCAAAATGTGGATCTTAGTCGACACAAGGTAGCCTGCGCCAATTTTGGTGGGCCGATTGCCATAATTCGTGACGACTCGAAAATTGTGCAGCTGCGCTCCGAATCAGCTCGTGCGAAACTTCTCATATACACTGCGTCGGGAGTTCTAATTACGTCTTTTCTGTGGGATCGACCTGGAGGTCGTTTGATTAGCTTGGGATGGACTGCTGACGAGGTACTGCTTGTCCTCGTTCAAGATGGGACTGTATACAGGTACAACATTCACGGAGAGCTAACCGATCGGAAGTTTACGTTCGGCAAAGAAGTTTGGGAGCAAGGGGTTGCGGATTGTATCATTTGGGGCAGTGGATTGGTTTGTCTGACAGAAGCGAATCAGCTGTTTGCTGTGACTAATTTGGAGGATCCACAGCCTATCAAGCTCGCTGATCCCCATCTTGAAGAACCACCTCACTGCATGGCAATAATTGATCCACAGTTCACCGTCTCAGGCAACGTGGAAGTCTTACTGGCAGTGGGAACGACCGTATTGATCGTGGATGCCGATGCCGTCCAGGATCATAATCTTCTCATTGGGCCCTTACAGAAGATGACAGTGTCACCCAATGGAACATTTGTGGCTTGTTTTACACACGATGGGCGATTGTTGGTGGTTTCTACTGACTTTTCCAAGACTTTGGTGGACTTCAACACCCAGGTGAGAGTTGGTCAGTGCAACACCACCGTCTCAAGACCTGTATAGAGAGGGCGGCTTTGTGAAGTGACAGATTATGTAATTCAACCGGCAACCTTTTCACTAGAGCATCAAGTGAAATTAGTTTTCTTCAATTGAGCTCAAACAGAACTTGCTTCTTCTGGAGCGTAGATATACGGTTTCCTTGAATCGTGTTCCTTAATAAATTATGATCTAAATGGTGACCTCTCTGTTGTTGTGCAGTCAGCACTCCCACCAGAGCAGCTGGTTTGGTGTGGATTGGACAGTTTATTATTGTACTGGGAGGACATCCTTATGATGGTTGGACCGTATGGTGATTCTGTGAAGTATCCATACGACGAGCCCCTGTTTTTGATCCCTGAATGCGACGGTGTAAGAATCCTGTCAAATACATACATGGAGTTTCTAGAGCGCTTATCGGACGCAACTGTATCCATATTTAAGATCGGCAGCACCACCCCGGCAGCTATGTTGTACGATGCTCTTGACCACTTTGACAAGCGGAGCTCGAAGGTAAATAAGACATTCATATCTCTGATACTACATGCAGTGCTTCGAATTTGATATCGTGTGTATGTGATTGCGAGCACTTTTGGGGTTATCTATATTTGTAGTATGTCTTTATTTCAGATATCTGAAGGAACTTTTTTATCTCACAAACATCTTACATTATGTGTATCGCAGGCAGACGAGAATATTAGATTGATCATTTCATCTCTTCCTGAGGCAGTAAAAGCTTGCATCGATGCTGCAGGACATGAGTTTGACATATCACAACAACGGACTCTTATGCGGGCTGCTGCTTACGGTCGAGCGTTTTGCAGGTCCCTACATGTTCTTAGGCTATAAAATTTACAAGTTTCGTGCTCTTTTAGCATCAGTTTATTGAGTCAATTTTGATAAGATTGTTTCGCATAGTTGAACGCCAAGGTGTTTGAAGTCATTGAGCCGTGAGGTCATGCCCTTAGGTAGTAGAATTTTATGTTCTGCATTAATGAGGTGAATGAGGAAATGACGAACGAAGGATTTCGACCATCAAGGATCAACTCTCAGGTTCAAATGTCAACGGTCTGTGAATTGAGGTCCATTTTAACGGTTCTGTTGTTTTGTGAGCTTAATATGAGTTTTTTCTCGATGTCGTTGTGGCAGTCAATTCCCGAGAAACAAGTTCAAGGATATGTGTAGGACACTAAGAGTGCTCAATGCTGTGCGAAGATTCGAGATCGGCATTCCTCTTACTATTCAGCAACTCGAGGTAATCTGACTGTGGTGCAGTGAGTTCAGACTTTGTCTCCGTGGTTGCATGCACCTGGACCCTCAAAGTCGACTTGTCAGATTGTCAAATCGCAGGAAGATGGCCTACATCTGAGGAGAATGTTTTTCATAGACTGTTTGACAAAAAGTTCAGGGCTCCTGTCTCTGTTTTGAATCTCAGGACGTCAACCATATGTTTCCAAAGTCCTTGCCGTTTTAGTTGATTGATTTTGGCAAACTGACTAAGTCAGATGGGGAAATGAATTTTATGAAGTATTACGTTTTTACTAGTCAGGGCATCTGCGGGTTTCTGTCCTTACATTTGCCTATCGTATCTACTCACCATTTTTCTTTGTCTTTCTTCTACCTGTCCATGCACTGGTTAGAATCTGCAAGTTTTACGTTAATACTGCTAAGCTTTCAGTCTTGTAACTATCCTCCGTTATGCTCCATGAAATGCTATTGGTAAAACGGTTTGTACCTAACGTTCTTTGAACTTATTGCTACTTTTTTAGGTTCTTACTCCCCCAGTTCTCATCGCCAGGCTTATCAGCCAGCATCGACATCTTCTCGCCCTTCGAATATCAGAGCACCTCGGTCTCGGCCAGGTACGTTCAGTAACCATCATAAGTCACATGAGCTGTTCCAATGCTTATATATCGTTAGAGGATGAAATGATGTACTTTTCACGTATTTTCTTACAAGTGAATTGTCATCTCGTATCAGGAAACTGTTCTTATCCACTGGGCCTGCTCGAAAATAGCAGCAGCATCTGATGTACCTGATGGCGTGCTGCTTGATATGCTGGTCGAGAAGGTTAGTACATACTATACTTTCACAATCTTTGTTGTTGAACATAAGGTTATGGCATCTTTTCTCAATAGTATTTCTGGTAATCAACCGCTTGCCGCAGATGCTATTTGGTCGTTCAAAAGCGTTTGGTTTACTGTTTATAACCTGAAATACCTTACAGCTGAAAGTATGCCCGATGATCTCCTACGCGGCAGTTGCAGCAAATGCACACCGGAAAGGCCGACGGAAATTAGCTGCTCTGCTTCTCGATTATGAACCGAGATCTTCGGAGCAGGTGAGTTATGAAGTGGATATTCGGATACTTAGGAAAGACCAACGAAGTACAAGCGACGTTGTTTTTTCAACTTTGTGAGGATAAAGCTGGTAGTGAGATGTGAAACCGAGCGAGAGGTACTCGTCTACTCGTAGCTTACAAGCTGAAATTGAGTTTCTTCTAGAGCTTGAAGTTGTTGGAACAGAAGACATTTTAGAGACTGACATTTTGTTTGGATCTAAATACAGGTTCCTCTGTTGACAAGCATGGGAGAGGAAGAGAGGGCTTTGGTGAAGGCAATCGAGAGTGGTGATACAGATCTCGTTTACTTCACCATTTTTCACATCTGGCACCAATCACGTGTTAGTCTCTTCTCCCTGTCCAGCAGTTTACAGTTGGTTGTTGGTGGACTTCCTCTTTTGGTTCTTTTGACCAGATTTCCTCCCTCATATTTCTGGTGTTTCATATTTTGTGCAGAAGTCGACGCTGGAGTTTTTCCGCATTATACAATCGAGGCCCCTTGCCCGCGATTTGTTCATTGTCTACGCTAGGTAATCAGCTAAACGTCCTTTGCCTGGAGGAGTTTTCGAAGACTATCGGAATGTGAAAACCATTAGGCGAAAGAGGAGTTGCATGTATGGGACGATCACCAAAAAGATATCGACGCAGATGTTTCCGAGTAGAAGTGCCTACTGAATATATCGTGTTTAGCACTTGAGGTTCGTAATGCATTTGTAGCATTGCGTATGTCGCTATCGCATTGAACATTCATCTCGTCATCTTGCTCACAGGGTGAGCGAGCCCGAATTGTTGAAGAAATTTTACGTCTCTATCGGAGCGCCTCAGGTATCCAGTTGATCAGCAGAGCATGTCCTCTTTATTTCTATGGGGATCTGAAATTGTTGTAAATGCAATAGTTTCACCTTCTGAATATGCCTTGTTGGTACACTTACGCATCTTTCAGTTCTAACGTCGTATTCTGGTGTCACACAGTGTTGTGCTGAGGTCTTTTTGAGGGAGTCATGGAGCTGTGCTCAGAGTATCGTCGTTCGCCAAGGTTCTGCATTACAGGGCCCTAGAGTAAAATTGATTGAACAAGCTGCAGACCTATATGCACAGACGAAAGATTACTCTTTTGAAGCCAAAGCTGCGGAAGAGCATGCCAAACTGTTGAAGTACGTGGTCAGGTTCTATACATCGAATTTCTTTCAGATATGTTCTGTAGATTCTGACATTCATTTTTATTTGTCCCCTCATTTCTCGTCCATCTGAATTGCAGGGTCCAGCAAGACTTAGAGGCCGCCACGGGTCAGCCGATATTTGTAGATTCTAGTGTTAGTGACACTATACGCACTTGCATAACTCTTGGAAATCATCGGGCTGCTCAGAGAATTCGCACAGATTTTAAGGTAATATGCCTCCAGTCTGAGTCGAGCGTAGCCACCCGATTCTACACTATCTTTGTGCAGAACTCTTGATGTCTCGGTATTGTTTCGATACTTAACATATATGTTCGTTATCGAACGCTTGGAACTATCCTGGTCGATTTCGCCATCGCCTCATGTGTCTTGGTGTTCACTGGAAGTGACTTTCTTCTGAAAGTTTCTGTGTTCGTTCTGATAGGGACAAGGAATCACCTTGCCCTCGTGAAACCTGACGAATTTGACATATATTACATGTACTAAATTCATTGCGCAAGTTAGCTTTGAAATTAATTCCTCATCTCATATGCTGTGATGCAAAATGATCAGGTGAGCGACAAACGATTTTATTGGCTCAAAATTTTCGCCCTGGCGATGACGAAGAATTGGGATGCTTTGGAAAAGTTTTCTAAAGAGAAGAAGCCTCCAGTCGGTAAGCCCATTTTTTTATCCAATTCTGATTTCAACGAATGTGTGGCTGTTTTGCTGCTCTATACGTACATCAGCCTGCGTCAAGCATTTAGCCTAAGCATTTAGACCAACTGAAGCGTCAAAATATCCAAGATGAAATTGACAATGTGTTAAGGTCACTGAACAGGGAGCAACTCGGGTATCTGCAATAGCTAAGGTGTAGTTGTTGAAGTGCATCAGGCCTATGTTTGCCATAATGGGATCGTCTTATTTGTCCTTACGCTGTACAGGTTACAAGCCATTTGTTGAGGCTTGCATAGAAGAGGACGAGAAGGACGAAGCACTGAAGTATATTGTTAAGTTGTCGGATCCTCAGGAAAGGGCAGAAGTAAGTCACCCAACATCTCTTACTCCTCTTTTTCCATCACACAAAGACGCTTCTCTGCACGATTTAACTCTTCAGGGAAAGAACTGGTGTGACATCCAGATAAAGTCCTCATGAGGATGTCGAGTATATCGTACGAATCTATTGTTGTTGCATACAAACAATCCGAACACTCTGGACGAAGTTGCTACATTTCTTATGGTGGATTCTGATATTAAAGCCGGTGTGTTGATAGATGCAACTTTGCCACAAAGATATCTCGGATGATTGTTCCAAGCCCTTAATTTACACCGTGTACGAAGATAGACGATTCACTCACGATTACCCGTTGGATTTCAATATGCAGTCGTATGAAAGACTAGGCATGTCGGCAGAAGCTGCAACTGCAGCTGCACAGACGAAAGAGAGCGAGATCTTGGGCCGTCTGAAATCGACTTTTGGTCAAAATTCTCCAGCTGGAGCTCTATTTGACAGTTTACGAGATCGCCTTTCTCTACCTGGTGTCTCATAAGACGTGTGGGAAGCTATCAGTTGAAGGTGCCTCTATTTTGAGCAAACCCAGGCGTTGATGTGTAGTTATTCAGAGCATCAACCACCTCCCTACTCAGTAGAAACAAGCCAGGCGTTCAACCCTATTGCACTGCACATATTCCGGTAGACTGGCACACATCAAATTTAGTGGCTGTTTGTTGAGTTGGAGTTCTTTTGTGTGTTTGTTGGTGTTACTCATTAGTTTCACCTGGAGGTTAGGAGCTCCGACATGTACTGCTTAGTGAAGTGAACTGGAACCTCAACAACTGGGGGTTTGCTGAGCTGTCTATACTAATAGGTCATATACATACAAATTGGAAAGGTGAAATCACCCAGAGATTGTTTCCTTAGAACGTCCAAGTACGTAGGGTTGATCCTTCATTTTGTCCGTATTACGTTGAGAAGTGTCAACAGGTGTTTGTGTATTTTATGTGGTGAAGGTTGTGACATATGGACGTTTTGACGTCTGAAAATGACACCAACATTTTTTTGTAACAAATAGTATTCGATCATACACCCAATTTTCGACTGGCGTATGATTAATATCTTTATGTAACATGGCCTGAGCGTCTGCAAGAGCAGCCGTCACATACAGCACAGAGGAAAAGATTACACGTTTAAAAGTGTTCTTTGTGCTTGGCGACGGGTCTGAGATATTGATTGTAGTCGATACTGCAACCTGCAGTTTCTACTCCACGATCAGTAATACGGAGGAAAACATTCACGGAAGTTTTCCGGGCGAGGTGCGGTGCCGCCCTCTCATCTTCTCGGCGGACTTTGTCGAGAGATGATCTTGTTCTCTCACTCGCAAGAGTTGACCCAACGAAGTCACGTGGGTTTCTTCCTCACATACTTAGCCAAGCTCGTACCGCAAACAGAAAATCCGGAAGGAGAGATGGGTGGGAAAATTTGCGCTCGTTGTGAGGGAATTCTGTCAGGTCTCATGACATATCCACACTTTTGCGGATGGAGACACCGTGATGGTAACAGTTAGCTTTAGCACCCGTAAAATCTCCCCTCAAATTACGATCAAGAGGAATCGAACCCACAGGATTGCCAATTTGTTGCAATTGAGACGGATGACTCAGTGCTCCTTTTGCAGCAAGCCGACTGTCATAGTGCGGAGGAGAACTTGTGAAGCGCGCCCGTTCGCCCACAATTACTGCTTTGAGAAATTGTCGTCGGCCTACGAAAGAGTGCCGTAGAGGAGGTGGCATCGAGCGGGGTTTTGACCGAATTGCGGATAGAAGGAACGAAGGTCGATCGATCGAGTGGGAGGAGAATTGCGGATATTCCAGAGGCGAGAGCTCACCCTCTCGGCGCCAGGGCCACGAGCTATTGGCTATGAGGTGGTCCCGATGGCTCGCTGCGTCGGCCGCCATTGGCCGGCCCTCCTCCGCGCAATCTATGCCTCACCCTATCGCCGCACATCGCGCCCCCTCTCACCACTGCCCGTACTTTCGCAGGATAATGTCCGATGCTCACACCATCCACAAGTTCCCTGACCTCCTCCTGCGAGCCTCTGACTCGTGTCGTCTCCTCACACTCTTGTCTGCACAATTTAGAGCCCAGATTAATTTTTCCACGAATCAATATTCCAAGAAAAACCCGTTACACTCGAAGACCACCCAACTAATCGCATAAGTTCTATCATAATTCACAAGGAAAAATCAAACCAATAAATTGATCATGGTTTTTTTATAAGCAAGGCGGATTGGGAGGGGAAAGGTAATTCGGGCATAAATGGGGTACTCGAGGCTAGATTAATATGGACATTTCTTCGAAATGCCCAGATAACCTTTGATATTGCATAAATACTATCAAAATTCAAGGTTTTAGAGCTTCACAAGAAGAAAAAATCCAAGAAATCGATCTAAATATTCACTTAATGAGAAGACGAGAAATAAATCGATCGAAACTTCAAAAGCAAGGCGGATTGGGAGGGGAGAGGGGATTCGGGAGTAAATGGGGTACTCGAGGTTGGAGATGGAAGGCTTGATTAATGTGGACATTTTTTTCGGATGCCCAGATAACTTTTGTGATAGTTATATTTAGGAGGCTGCAGGGAATGATATCCGCGAATATCAATCCGCGATCGATCAATCACAGGGAGGCGAGAAGGGGGCAAGGCATAGGTGGGCCAAATTTGGCTCGTGGATAGCACGGGCGCCAAATTAGTAAAAGAGAGAAGTGAAAACCGGAGCGCGGGCCGGGCAGAGTGAAAAGCCGGGGGCGAGAAATCGCGAGGGCGAATGAGAGCCATGGGGCGCGGGCTCGGAGGCCACGTCACGAGACCGCGAGGCCAATGGAAATGCCACATAATCCTCGCGATAAATGACTTGGATAATCGGGCGCTAGCGGACGGCCCGATGGTGCGCATCGGCCCAGGAGGCCGCGCGGGCCAACCCATGGTGGAAGATTCTACCGCGCAGATAACGCCGGCGGTAGAATCTGCTTTCGCGATTGGCGCTGTCGCGGGGGCCCGGGGGTTGAAGATCAGAGCGCAGCGGCGCTTTTCTTGAGGGAAAGCTTCGGGGCAGCGCAAATCAGCGTCGCCGGCAGCAGAGCAGCAATTGGAAGCGGGAGCGCAGAGAAGGAATTGAAGCAGGGCCGAGAGAGTGTGCAGCAGCAGCAGCAGCAGCAATGGCGGTCGCGAGCAGTGCTTCGATTTCCCAGTTGACGGCCTTGGCGAGGTCTAGCTTCGTCGGCAAGGCGCAGTCTCTGCGCTCCTGCCCACAGGTCGCGTTCCCCCTGGTCAGCAATGGCTGCAGGATCATGGCCATGGCCACCAAGAAGGTCGCTGCTAAGCCCGCCTTCAAGGGAGGAAAGGGAGGAAAGCTTTCGTGGGTCCCCGCCATCAAGAGCGGAGGTAGCTTCGTCGACCCCGAGTGGCTCGATGGCTCGTAAGTTCGACATCCTTCTCCCTTTTCTTCACCCGGCACTCCAGCACGCTCTGCGTGTCGAGAAATTCTCGCGGTTTTTCTTGTGAATTTTGTCTCGCGGCTGGCGGATGCGGGAACAGCCGGAAGGATATATCTGCCGAATGCGGCGCTCTGTTCTTGTTTTCTTCCCACTTGCGAATGCCGATGTTTGAGCTGAATGTGTGCCTCGTGCATCAGTTCCATTAAATGGGTTCCCTTCTGTCCAGCTCATGTCCCGATGCAGACATTGTCTCGCATCACTGTGCTTATGCCCACGAATGATTATGTCGGTAGGGAGGAGAGCTTAGAACGCAATGTAGTTCAATGTCGTCCTTACCACTTACTTTCATGACTGGTTCAGGCTCCCAGGAGACTACGGCTTCGACCCCTTGGGACTCGGAAGGGACCCTGCTGCTCTGAAGTGGTACAGGGAAGCCGAGATCATCCACGGCCGATGGGCGATGGCAGCTGTTCTTGGAATCTTCGTCGGTCAGGCCTGGAGCGGTATCCCCTGGTTCGAGGCCGGTGCCGATCCCTCGGCCGTGGCACCATTCTCCTTCGGAACCCTGTTGGGAACCCAGCTGTTGTTGATGGGATGGGTCGAGGGCAAGAGATGGGCAGACTACGTGAACCCCAACTCTCAGTTGGTCGACTGGGCCACTCCATGGTCGAGGACCGCAGAGAACTTCGGTAACTCCACCGGCCTCCAGGGATACCCCGGAGGCAAGTTCTTCGACCCTCTGAGCCTTGCAGGAGATGTGAAGAACGGAAAGTACACCACCGACTACGACAAGCTCAGCAGGTTGCAGCTCGCCGAGATCAAGCACTCCAGACTCGCGATGTTGGCCATGCTTATCTTCTACTTCGAGGCTGGACAGGGACTGACCCCCCTCGGTGCCCTCGGACTGTAAATGTAATTTAGCTGACCCTGTGTATGATGTGTAGTAATTAGCCGAAATCCAGGACTCGACCCACTGAGAATCTTCCGACAGTCAAATCGACTCTGTTTTTTGTACCGAACTTGTGATTATATTCTTGCCCTTCACGAAATAACATTGTTATGGTTCCTCTCCGATATCAGTTGTCTTTGCGATGTGTCGTGGGCGTTCCAGAGAATTTTGGATTGTATAGTGAATTAAAATGCACTGACATTGCTACCAATTGAATGGACGTATTGAGTCGATTGTCCCCACGCCAAAGCCTGAAAGTGCGCGTCGAATACCAAAGCCTGACTGAAAGGGAAAAACGAAAAAATCGGAATGAAACTGATGCCTCAAATAATTCACGTGATAGTGAAATCTGTACTCTGAATAGTCGATGAAAATTACAAAATTTATGAATTGCAAAAAACCTCGAAAATACGAAGTAGAATAATAGAAAAATGAAAGTACAGTGGCCAAAAAAAATGATGCCGATGTGTACATTGTGCAAAGGAGGATAAATGAAAGGAAAAAAAAGAAGGCGAACGTCTGAAAACAGTATACATTTATGTTGATAAGAATTTATCAATGTTAACAATTGAACATGTGAAAACGCAAAATACTATTTCCGAGTGGAAAGAAACCTAAACCTGTGAAGATAAAATATGAAAGTAGAAGGAAATAAAAAATACAAAAACTATGAAAGAAGAAAAAACTCCCATTTCCATCAAGAGCAAGAACCAAAAATGCAACGAGAGAAAAAATAAACAACAATCCACGTTGCAAACAAAATGTTTAACATCGACCAAAACTCAAATTGCTGGAATAGTATATATACAATTGGTAAATTAGCTCGAAGCTTCAACTATGATACTAATTAAACAGAACGAAAATTGGGAAGAAACATTCTGTTGCTCAGCTTACTGGCAAATGTTCAACCTCGTCCAAACCCAGTGTCGCATACAAGGGAGAACAAGACGTGAGAACAGTCAATCCTCCACATTGATCGCATTGTTAAACATCATCTTGTTGCACACCAGGCTGATCATTATGTTCCATGATTTACTTAAATCCTCAACTCTCATCCTTAAATAAGACAAGAAGACAAGCAGATTCCGATGATACTGCACACCCAGCACTACAGGGCTCATATGTTGCATGTCTAGGATTTACGCTCACATTGTCAAGCCTGGTTAGAGATTCAACAATGGAGTAGACTTTTCCTGTCAGAGATTGGACATCGCAGCGTAATAATGTTTATGGGAACGGGACAAGTACTGTCGCCTCCAAATGATTACAGAATGTTCCAATGATGAGATTCACTCACATAAGTTGAAGATAGGAGCAATATTCCAGTTCCGAGCAACAGTATACAAGAATGACCATGCTCACTGCTCGCCTGTTCAGTCGTTACCACGATGATGACTACAAGTACACTGCATTGCTCAAGGATGCCATTTTCTTTCATGTGGTTTTTAATTCGCGGATAATGAGTACCGAAGGCCCGGAGGAGGATAACCCGAAAACTGTAATGTACCCTTGCAAGTATTTTACATTGATCCCAACAGATCAATGTAAAATACTCCGGCGAAATTATACAAAGCAGGGGAAATTGCCTTTCGACACGTGAAATATAAAGATGCTAGTCTCGTTCCTCGCGTTTGCATCCACCTTTCATGTCCCCGTGGTTTCCTTTTCCTCGTTCGCCTGAGGAGTTATGTTTCACAGTGAGCGTCGTCACCTCAGGTTGAGTTGGTTCATTACAACCATGTGACAGTCGAATTCTTTCCTTATCCAACAAACGATTCGAAATGTTCAGCTCTGAGTCTCAGAGTCCCGGTGATTTTGGGTTTCGGGATGAAAGCCCATGTCCGTAACGAGCTCGGTGCCAGAAAATATATTGCTGGCTACGAAAATAAGAGGCTTTCGTCATGAACTCCCCTCTGCCATAGAGTGTGCAGAAGTGCGGTCGATGGTAAGTCCAGAACCACAATTCCAGACGAGTGACCGGGCAAGGCACTCAATAGAATCCACGCTTTGGCTCGCGATTGAAATGTCCTCACAACGCTGGAGCAGTCCTGTCAAGAATCGAAATGCGGAAACGCATCTTACATTAAACAAAATCGCGAACTCTCCTACCAGAACACGGCGCATTTGAGACACGCATGTCCCACCAAAGACAATGAGATCGCGCTTCTCGCAGAGTCGAAGAAGGCGAAAGCAGAAAACGTGAAAGTGTCTACAGGTGCACGACAGGTCTACAGGCCTCGCTGATTGATGATGCACATGAACCAGACGAGAGAACAGGTCGGGACTGAGGCCAGGCCGCGAGCATCCATCACTCATCCAACAAATTCATCCACTTGCACGACAACCTCAGCCGCTATCGCCATCCCGGAGGATCATTGGCTATGGCGGACGACAGAGAGCGAGGCCTGGTGCCCAGGGCACATGGCCAGGGAGGCCACCGGAGGCCAGATGCTATGACAACAGTGGCACTATAGCAAGAAAGGGCGAGGAACCTTCGCCGAGGTCGTTCTTGTAGCACGAGGAGCGGCAGGCTATAAGAATGGCGCGGGCTCTCGAAGTCCAATCGCTCCAGACTAATTCGAATCCGAAACCTAACCCCGCCCATAATTCTGCCATCGTAATCTCGAGAGGATGAGCAGAGTTTTCGTGTGAAATTCTCGTGGGCCCGTCGGTGATTTGGTGGGTTGAATCTGTCGACCTGAAATGGATATTATCGCGCTTCAAATCTCTGCTCTTGTCGTCACAATGATGCGGTTTCTGATCTTCATTGCTTTTCAAATGGAGCTGTGAGCGGGATGCTTTGTTTAGCGCTAAGTACGAGTTTCTGCCCTTGCCATGGACTGAGTTGCAAATTCGACGACTAAATCTGGCGCAGAGAGGCGTCAGTAAGCGACGATGACAAGTCTCTGCTGGGCCAGAGAATGGGTTTGGTCCTTGCGACAGCTGCGCGGTACTACTACCTGCTCTTCATGTTTGCCCTCGTTACGTATTGCCAGAAGTTTTGAGTGTTGATGTGGAGTTTTGGAAAATTCGCATTGGAAAGGTTTGACTTGGATTTCGGAGCACTCTCGTTCGTTATGGTCCGTGAAGTTGGACTTCACAGGCTCAAGCACCACGAATGCGGCTTCCCTATTTCAACTGAAGCGTCCAGTCTATGTTATGGAATGAGATCATCAAATGTTTTCTCAGGGCTTCGGTTGCGACTAGTAGGAAGACCATGTGCTATTCTAGCTCCCTTCCTCCATCCCGGATTCATTTTTGCCGCTCGCAAAATCTACTCGAGATTTTGCCATGTAGTCTAGCACATTGCACCTAGCTATCGGAAGAAAATAAATCTGATCACGGTAATTCGTAGTCTGGAAGATTTTAGGGCTAGGCCGAACATCCCGCCCATGACAGAGTACTTGGGCTTTCAGGATGGTTCTACTTCGAAAGTTAAGTGGTTATATTTTAATACACGTGAACCAAGCGTCGTTTTCCAAGAATCATGTGTACGGGAGTATTGTGCTCTGCACTACTCGACCACCTTTCTGTGTAAGAATGATATGGCCATCTTCACGCCATGTCTAGGCACTTTTTTGGCATCTGTTATTTGGTCCTTACATGTACTCTTTCACCATTTGGATCCCTTTCGATTTGTTTCATGCCAGCCTTCCTTTCGTCCTATGGTGTTTCTGTTGAATTCTATGACTAGATGACAACAGCAAATTCTTCAGTTATGGTGCGGGTTTTGATTTCCTGTGTTCAAATCATGCGACATATGTGGTACTTGTACACACGACTCATGCTTTGTTATTCAATCTTCACGGCCAACGAAGCTGAGAACTTATGATACAGCCCAGGTCCGAAACTGGGCGCGTCATGCTTTTTTATTATGTTTTGCCCCATATTGAAGCTGTGCCATTTTACCGTAGTGATTGGATGCATTCCTTCGTGGGGTTTCCGTATTTGTCATTACTCTTCACTTGATCTGGAAGTCTGAAAGATCTGCAAACTGTAGCAACTGTGCATCTCCCGATAAACTCAATAGACTTTGAGTTTCAGGTTGGTGGTAAATTCACTACCTCGGACTTGTCCGTGAGTTGACTGCTTAAGAGTGTAGACTGATGATATGACGAAGTCATCATCCATCTGCAAGTTTTTCTGTGAGTACTTGTCGTCTACGAGGAGCTGTGATCTCACCACCGCGACCACTCCTGTTTCGGAACATCGCTTGTTCCTCACCTGCTTCATACCAATGACGGTTGATCCGTAAGCACTGAACCTTATTTAGAAGACTGCGAGATATTATAGCTCACAGCTTCCTTTCCCATGATTTCGTCATATACATAGTTTCCGAATCAGAACCTCGAAGTGAGCTGATGGGAGTCCCGAGCATGCACCATGTGTGTAACCGCATTGGAAGGCATTCGGAGTGCTTCTGTGTCCACGAAAAATACGCTTCAAGGCAATTATGCCATATTTGTAGTGCTTCTTTCTTGGGATATGACTCTTACGGATATCACCTATGTTTTTTGCTGCTGAATTATTTAGCTCTTCCGATATTCTCGGAGGTCAGTTGGATATTGTTTGCTAACCTAATATGCGTGTTGGCTGTACACATTTTCAGGTTTGCATGCTTATGTTACTTTGTGTATTTCCCTGTGTATGTTTTCCCCCTGTGTGTTTTTTCCTTTCATCTGTTTCCCAGCAGCAAATTTAAGTCTGTCCCTCAATCCTCATAACATTGACTAAAACCTAGGCACATAACCCATTTTCGGAAAATTCAGTATAAGTTGACCAGTGACCCAGATGAAGTGGATGTGATAGTATTGGTGCCTTGATGCCCAGCTCATGGATGCTCTTGACAGTCTCCTGGACTGTTGTACTTATCATCAGCCAAGTCTATCCTGGTAGTAGATTAATAAGTAGATTTCTGACTTTTTTGTGTTGAGAGCGAACTTGTTGACCCGATCGTGTGCATTCTATACTTCATATCTTCTCGTTATCGTATTGTCTTCATGCATTCAAGATTGGTCGCTTGTATATCAACTTGGTTACACTGTACTCACTATCTCCTAGCACAAGACTTCGAATTGTTGCTGCTTTTTTCCTGATCTTAGATAAATTATGTTTCTCTCATACTTCTTCATTACAACAGAGAGTCCCTTGTCGGTCGAAGCTTTCTAAATAATATAACGCTTATAGTATTCATCTGTATGTCATTTTTTCTCCGTGAATCCAACTCGTAATCCTCACAAATCCTCACGACGGATCCACAATGAATGACAGTGAATCCGTTTTGCCCAATGTGGAAGGTGGGTTCGTTCAGCCCAAAGTGTGCTCTACCTGTTACTCAACTAGCAAAATATTCTGGACTAGGCATGATAGCAGACCTTACCTGCAGTGTATACATTGTGACTTCTAAAGGGACACTATCACCGGTGAAGCCTGTGTTGGGCTTGTTTACAACCTCGTGAAGTATAACACCGTTTATACGGTAGAAGGTGGACAATGTCGTCCTCAAACTCACGATACCTAGAGCAGATATTTGAGCAGTCTGGTCCTTCATGTGCGTTGAATCTTTCCAGACCTTGTCATCCTTGCAATGAGACGCTCTTAAAACATGCTCTAAAACATAGCATTTTTTTTACACATTGCTTGAAGAAATTCCCAGCCACTATCACAGGTGAGGGGGCCCTGTGATAGTGGCTGGGATTTCGACTACCCTTTCGAGCTCGTTGATGATGTTGGGAGTGGAATACTAATTCTTCAAATTGTGGTAAAGATCCGTAACGAACCTTAACGTAGCCTCTTCCGTAGTTTGTTGATTTTGTGTGGACTAAGTTGTACCTCAGTCCACACGAAATGAACAGACATATTGAAGAGGCTACGTTAATTTTTTCATTTCGCATAGCACTGAGGATTGACAGCCCCAGCTTCTAACGGGAGTTGACAATAATACCTGGTATGCTTTAAATTGTGGATTGATTCTTGATTCTTGATTCTTGATTAATTGCAGAATGTACTAGATCAGACACGTCTATTAAGCACAGATGCTCATCTAACCTCATCTTGGTCATTTAACCTTGAAGCGGTGGAAAATCTTCTGACTAATACAGTACGCCAAGTCGGCACTGAGTTTCATAGAATTCAGTCGTGTCGGGACTTACATCGTGATTGGGGTTCGTGACATATTTGTGACCTCTTTCTCACATCTCCTCACTTCATGTCGACTATGCCGCAGTGAGTGAGGTCGTTATTTCAGAGAATCTTGGTGACGGCTGAATTCCTGCGTGCGAAAAGTACATTACGGCCAGGCAGGTTATGTATGACCTTGTTGCTTAACAAATGCCATCAATTGACATGTCTTTCGTGTGAATGAACAAATTGGTTTCATAGACGAGCATCGTTCCGTCTGTCGAGTCAGTAAGCTACCAAAGGAGCTTTGGGTACAAATTTATAGGCGTAACACGAATTCATACGAGTAATACGCTTTTACACCTTTCGGTTTTAGCGGTCTTTTCCGCAGCATGTTTCTTGCGGAAGCCTGCTCCCTCGTTTTAGGGAGAAAAGGAAGAGTATCTTTCGCGTACTTTCACCCTACGTCTCGGTCTTGCTTTGCCAAAAGGATCTCATGCGAGTTGACTCTTAATTGGCCGCTGCTAGCTGTAGCCTTCAATGTCCCAGGAAAGAATGCTTTGTGCTCCAAACAGACCCCAGCGGCTGTTAGCTCAGAGCTTTTACAACCACATCTTCCCACGAGGTCAGCCGAGAAGAGCTGCGTTGGCTTTTTTCAACCAGTCGGCTTATGTTTCATGGTTCTGGCAAGCTGTTGGCAAGGAACTCATTTGATCTGAAATGATCGACTTCTGAATATGCGCGGTCATATGATTTCTTGCCACTTTTTCCGGTATGACGAGGGGCTGTCCGTTGGGCCAAATCCTGGATTGCCTGCTTTTAGAGCGTCTTGTTGGCATGGTGTCTTCGCTTTCATGCTTCGTTCGATGTCCGTGTGCTTTTCCTCTTTTGGTGCATAGATCCTTGAATTCGTCGGAGTCATCCACGAGCCGACTCTGCGATGGCTTGTTACCAGCTGTCGGCTATAATTCCTCTACACATAAGTGGAAAACTGCAGCAGTTGTGATTACTCGCAGTTTCAGTGTTGCGCATCCAGGCATGTTTGGGTACTTGTACTAGGACCCGCCGCGACAGCATAAGGCATATGGGTGGTGCCCATTCTACTATGATTTCCCAGCAATCTACGTGGACTGCTGGTGAAATTCCAACCAGGATATGCCTTCCGGACGGGCAGATGTTGGACTCGTAAAAGTTGTCATACTTCACAACTTTTGATATATTCGGGCTGATTTTACAACTGGGGCTGGTTTGTCCTTCGCCAAAGAGATCCGTCGGGCGTTGGCTCTCGTTTGCTGCTTTCTAATTAGATTCCCCACCAAGAATCTAAATCGCTTTTATCTTTTGTAATCTTTTGTATCTCTCCGAGGGTGCAAATCGAAGATTACATCTTTGAGAAGGACTTTCGTGTGAGGGAGCATACTTCTTACGCGAAAGGTGTAAATTATCCGAGCATTTGGTGACATGCTTGGACGAAGGAGTCGGAAAATAGATAATACCTGATCCACTACGGCCCTTTTCTGATCTGCCATCATGACCTCGAAGTTTACGAGTCCTGCGCGTTGAAGGTACACTGGTAAGTAATATCAGGTTGGGACTAGTAAGAAGAACTGGATAATGGGGCCCTAACGAAAACGACGGATCTGACCGTCAATGCTGAATTCGGTTTCGAGCACTCAATCCTCACGGGGACGGAAGGGATCAATGAGCTTTGTGAGTGTCTCGAGGGCTATGGACTGGGGAGTGTCCTGTACATATTTTGGGCAACTTTGCCTAAACCCCGTCTCGTTGAATTTTGTGGCTTTGGATCTATTCGGCCTTAGCGATCAGATGGTGGGATCCCAATGACAATCATCTGGCATTCTGCAGACCACTTGCTAAGTCGCTGTCCATGACTCGGTTGACGTCTGCCCATAATAGTTATAGTAAGCGCAACTGGGTGGACAATTTCGTCGCCATTTCCGTCTCGATCTGACGTTTTACTCTCGCAGGCGTGTTGTCACTAGACGCTTTTGACTCTGGCTTTGACTTTTTTGATGCAGCACTATTTTGTCGCCCGTGTTGAGATGCACACTTTTGTTTCCCTCGGACTCCCTCTCCTCACGCTATGCTCTACTTTGGCCTTTCACTGCCTCCGTGAAGCTGGAATGTTCCTTCTCGCTTCGGGCGCTTGAGTGAACACATCATGGTCCTCTTCATATGGACAATGTCACAGGACAGAGCGTGTGAATTCCCCGGGCTCATTCGCAGCTAATGACAGATCGAATTGCAGGTCGGGAGTCATATGAACGAGGCGAAGAGAAGCCAGTCGCACCCAACCTCAATCCAAACATGGGACGGGGCGGACGAGTCAAAGCCACAACTCGCCGACGTGCCAAGGAAAAGCAACAGAATTTCGGGCGGTGGAGTGACATGACATGCGCATAGCTGGATTGCCTATTTGTTGGATGTAATGTAGTGCGAGAGTGACAAAACCTTCCGGGGCGGGGATGACAGCTACGAATTTCCACGAACCTCGACTGTACGTGTTGTGACAAGGGAGCAGGAGGCGGCGGCAGAGACAGAGACGGACAGAGAATCCTCACGCCCTGCAGCCCGATTTCAGCGAGTCCATCGCAGCGAGCGAGAGAGAGGGAGAGAGAGAGAGAGAGAATCAGATCTGTCAACGAAGTGTCCATCTTTCGTATCGTCTTCTCATCTTCTATTGAAGCCTGTTGTGTTCTGCTGTAATGCCTCCGTCTCCGTCTCCAAAGATAGCGAAGAAGCTTCGATAAGGCTTCGCGGGCAACTCTGACAAACGCGCTAAGCCCTTGTGAGACAGACATCTGGAGTATCAGAGCTCGGCCAGTTTGGAGGACCGCTGAATCGTCGGCGCTCGTGGTGGGATTGCGTTCTATCTTCTCCGACGCAAGTTCAGGCCTTGCTCCCGTGTGTCAGGACGTGAGCGGTAGCCGGTAGCCGGTCGCCGGTCGCCACGTAACCGATGACATCGAGGACTTTCTTCTCCGCTGGAACTTCGTCCTCTGTCGGACGGACAGAACGAGAAGAGAAAGCGCGGGAAGACGGAGGAATGGCCACAGCCGAAGCTCCTTGCGAGGATCCGATCTTCGGAGGATCGCGAAGTTTAGCCCCGGCTTTGGCTCCGATCGCAATCCTTAGGTCAGAGCGTCGCGACAAGGCTCGCAATTCGACTTCCGTGGGTCCCACTACGTTCAGCCATCGCATCCCATCCCATCCCAATTTGGAGTTTATTGTCATTACGGGAAGGGGGGTCGTGTTGACCTGCGTGGCCTGTCCCACTAGACATCTCCGGGCAGACCGAACGAAATCCACTCGCCGCCCCGACGCGTGACTCGTGGACCCGTCGCGCGGCGCGATCGCGACTGATCTCGGCGGTTTACCGGAACCGTCGGCTTCGGGAACGACGTTGGGCCGACCGATTCGATTTAGGATTCGCGGGCGGGCCGGGAATCGCGACGGAAAGGGGCGCGACGAGGAATTCGGACCCAGGAGCGACGAGAAGCTCGGGTCAGGCCAGGGAAGGGACCCGATGGGCCATTCGGGCAAAGGATGCTGCCACGCGAGGGAGGGACGGCTGTGCCTTTTCAACGGAACGAACCGGTTTCTTGTACCCGAAGCATGAACTCTCTGTCGAATGAAAGTGGATCCACAATCCTCGACCCGGCAAACGATAAGATTGCACATAATTGCGCTGGAATACCAAATCTTCGGTGGAACCTTCACTTCCAGCTGCCAGCATCTATGTTAGCCTTAACTACGTTATAGTAAAGCAAAGAGCTCGAATTGTGATGGTAGTGTTGCTTGTGTGTTTCCTAGCAGATGATGGCCACACACATCACGAACATCGGGTTGTCCGAATTCCAACCTAAATAAAGATTGCCGCCCTGTTTGCCAGTTTGCTCTGTCGGTGGATGCCCCATACTTATAGAAACTCTAAGGAAATCACTAAGTCCATATGATTGAAATCTCATATAACTTGAAGAACAGAAAATTCAAGATTTCTCAAAAAAAGGAAAATAGGCAATGATGGTTAATTTCAATATTGTTGCAATGAAACTGTAATTCGTAATCTGTCAAAATAAAGTAAAATTAAATGTTATTGCATCCTTTAATGTGAATGTAGTCATATATGTTATTTGGCTCAATGCTATACCTTTATATGATGGAGGCATTATTTTATAATAGATTTTGCCATACATTAGATATTTTCACATTAATGAATTTGATGAAACATTGCACACACTCATGTATATAACAAATTATTGTCTCCACATGATGTTTGATTTTTACACAACCAACATATTTAGACAAGAAAAACATACACACTTACTTTAAAAAAAAAATCTTTTTCATAAATTATACAAATAAATTTATAGATGATCAGATGATAACAATTAAAGTCACAAAATTTATACATTTTTTTTCAATTATAAATTTTCATACTTTATTTTTTATCTTTTCAAGCCCAATTCAACAATGAAAGCATATAACAATCTATGTTTTCACTTGATTCAATGTGATCTATTGCTTCGTGTTTTGAATATTAAACATTAAATTCATAGACAGATATATATATATATATATATATATAATTATATTTGAATTTGAATTTAATGTTTACTATTCAAAACATGTAGCAATATTTGTAATCAGATAACTATAAAAAAATTCCATATATTTTAGATGAAACTAGATAAAAATAGAAATATACTGTCAAATATATTTTTAGCATATAAGATAATTGAATTATCTAGTTTACATTATAACCTTGTACAGATTTTTTATTAAAACTATGATTTTGATCATTTAAAATTAAACATATATTTTTAATATTATATCTTAAGATAGTTTTTAAGCTATTGATCAAAAATGTTGTACAAGTTAGAGACAAAATATAATTTCATCTAATGTAAAAGTTGATATTGACTAATTCTCATAATACACAAGTTTTGATCAATATGATATCTATTTCAACTCATTTATATCATATTCTCAAACGCTGTAACAAGGACACATCTTCATAAAACAAGCTATACATGAGTCCAACAATTTTATATAATTTCAACAATTTGAAATTTGTCCATCTGATTTCAAAGTTAAAAAGTAAAAATAAGATCTAACTATGCATTAAAAAATATTTCATAAGTTTTAGGATATTTGTAAATATTTAAGTATTCTTTTAGAAGCAATAATATTTGAACCAAATTAGTAGTTACAATTCGTATCACACAATCAAAATTATGAAAGTGAATCAATTGTAATGATTTTGATATGATGATTAACAATGGCGGAGCCAGTATCTAAGGCCAGGAGGACCATACTTTTTATTTGGCCCCGCAAGGCAAAAACAATTTAACAAATAATGTTCAACAAATGTTTTTTCTATCTTGTGTTTGGAGTTTGATTTTGAGACATGGTACAGATATTGAATCTTATCGAATGTTAGGGGGTGCATGGTCCCCTGGCAAATGTTTATTTTTTCTTTATAAAAATTAAATGTATATATAAATTTTACAATATCTCATTAAATTTTATTTTTTTATTTAAATTAATTAGTTGTTAAAAAATGTGTATTTTACTCAAAAGATACATATTTTCTATCATTTTTTAGAAAATACTTGTGTATACACTATTTGGCTATCATATACTTAATAAGAGATTTTATCTTATTAAATCATAATCATCACAATTTTGAAAAAGCCGAATGAAAATAAGATTTCCAGTTATATTATTTGAAATACTAATTTTCATTTTAATTTTTAAGATCAATACTTTAAAAACAAGTCTAGATACAAATGTAGTAAAAAATACAAAATGAACTCATAAGACAACACAATTTGCAAGTGAAGATTAACAACATTGAGATTGAAGCAAAATTACACGGTCAAGTCTTAAATCGCAAAGTCAAGCAATTTGAAATGAAACCCAGTTCTAGAAAGTTGACTGTTTGAAACATAACATAGATTTATGTTATGTATAAATTATATTTATGATCTCCAAAATTGAAAATAAAATGTTGATAAAAATGAAATCAAACAGCATACAAAATTCTTTTTAATCATAATATATTTTGTTCCATCTAAAACAATCAATCTCTTTATTTGACAGAAAAATTGTGTTAATTTTTTATTCTTTTTGCATCTTGTGTATATCAAAATATCTAAGTTACTGGATTTTTGAAAGCATTTGAAGCATAATGAACAACTTAATTCTCCAAGGCTTTCAATCATATTCTATATGTTGACTCACATGAAATACAACCCATCTTTAACTAAAATATCACCGTCATATGAACTATTAATGGAAGCATTTGACAACACACATACTCTCAAATTAAAAATATGTGTTATCATATACTTCTTTGGGTAACTATATGACATCAGCGGAGTAAATGATGAACAAATGTCTAGAATAAGATATATACAATGCTAAAGAGAGTAATATCCATGACATAAAAACTAACTTGGTTTCTTGCACTTTGTTACTATCATATTCAAGATGGAACCCAAATTTTACAAAATAAATAAAAAAAGCTCAAACTTCATGCATTTTCATATATTTGAAGATGCTTTAGTTTATCACTCTACCGGACCAGGCAAAAGTATGACAAATCACAAATTCAAATTCGAAACAATGCCAGTTCTATGATTTGTATCCTCAACTATGCTAAATTAATTCCATAATTTCAATCCAGATGTAAGTAAACTTGACCCAAGTCACACATTGCATTTACAAATCCATCAATTTGGACAAAGACTGAAGGTCAAATAAAGATACTCACATGCATTGCAACTGCAACAACCGATGCTCTTAATAGTGAGTATACATATACAGATGCCTTGTGACAATCATTTACTTCTTGTGCAAAGAAAATCAAAAGCTATCCATTCCTCCTTAGAGTAAAGTCATGTTAACTGGACCCATCACGGAAATTCTTGAATTAGCATTGCTCATGCCCAAAGAACATGACTCAATTTGATTAATTGTAGATCATTGTAAATTTGTCAATACACAAAATGTAATTTAAAAAGTATGTTACCCACAAATGTTCGAGGCCGATGAAATTGCCTGAATTCTGAAGTGTGATTTTGGAGTAAAGTGTGAGGTATGTGTGAGATGGAACGGTGTATCTCATTGCTCACAGACCCACGGTCGTATATTGGACAGTATTTGTACGAAGCTTATAACTCTCGGATACGGACATTTTTTTCTCACCGACTGCATCTCGTCCATATTATGATGGGAGACATGTCAATATCTTGTAGCAAGCATAATGATCAAAGAAGAGCCGCAGCAGCCGCTATACCACTCACTCCTCGTATATCTACTTCGCTCCGCTGTAAAAAATTCTTGCAGCGGTTTCAAGATGTGCACGGTCCGATTTGAATTTCGTACGTTCGAGTGGCCTCGAGCGAGCCTTGTAAAGGAGAACGACTTGAAGTCGTCTCCGCATCATGCATTCCTTGACAAAATTTGTTCATCCCTCCGCGGACTCGTACCAAAACGCAATGAATGTCTCCCATGTTTAAAACCCTCTCGTCTCCGCTCCGCACTATGAAATCGTTTTGCTCAATCATTGCTTCTCGCATTCGAGTCCCGAAGAGATAGTGTCTCACATGTGGGAGAAAGTGACAACATAGGCCGAGCTAAATTTGATCCAAAGTATTCTGGATTCCTTAATTGGAAGAGCGCAAATGCTCGGGTTGTCTTCCGACCACCATTGCTTGATTTGACCAAATCATTAAAGTTGGTATACATCAAGATGTCATGCACTAATTGAGTCAAAACAAGTGCAATGAGCCATGCTTGCATCACTCTTGAGTTCAGATCCTCTTGCTCTCATCTAAAATTATTATAAAACTTTTCTTAGATTGTCATATTATCAGTGCCAGCACTTGATTTATTTGTTAATTCTATTTCTTAGAAGTTTTGATGAGATTTTACAATGGTTTTGTATCCATTTGGCAACGAAGTCTTTGTTCTGCATGTTCATGCATACTTATTGATAAGTCCAGTAGTATCGCTGTGGAAATTGCAATGTTTATATATTTTTCAATACTATGACATGGAATATTTGTCTCTCATTAATATTGGTTGAAACTTTGATATAATGTTATGATTGATCATGTATAAATGAGAGTGACTGTGAACATATATAAATGAAGAAATGGTATGTAAGGAGAAAATATGCATGGATAGAAACACATAACAATCGCATTAACTCATCAACATAGTTTAGTGTACAACATGTCTTACATGAAGTTGGACTAAAAATAATATATAACAAATGAAACTACCATGCTTTAAAATGGAAAACTTGATATAAATTTGTAGCAAATTACATGCTGAGATCACAAATTATGATGCAATTTCCAATTTTGATGAGAAAATTCAAAATTGTAGCTTTCATTTAGTATTTAAAATTTTCAATTAAATTAAAGTTTATTTTATTATTTTCAAAATAATAAAAATGAAATAAATTAAATATAATTTTAAATGCAAATTAGCTAACAACATTAAAAATTTAATTCATAATTTTTAAGTTATAGTAGAAAAATATATATATATCAAATCCACACAAAACTAACTTTTTTTTAAATAATTCAACTTATTTTTTACGCACAGTTAAATTTTATCTAAAATCATGAAGACTTTTTCATATAATCTACATTTATTTTAAAAATAAATTTCAAAAAAATGACTAAAATATAACCAAATCAAAATTTAGATATTATAAATCAAAATTTTATTTTTTGTCTAAGAAAACTATTTTTTCATAATATATGTTCATAAAATAAAATTATTAAAAAATTTAATTGAAAAATAATCTTCTTTTTTTTAATAACTTTACAATTTATAGTTTTAATTT